TCTCCCCACACACCAACGTCAAAAGATGAATGTGCTGAAAAAGCAACCACCCCAACGGATCATTGACAGCCGTAGAGAGATCACAAAATTGCAAACAAGCATCACTCGCACTAATAGCCTGAGCGGCAAGTGACTTCTGATCCCTCGGCACATTAGCCTCACTCGAACGGATAGACCTCCAATCCCGCTCAAGCATAGCGCCCTGACCAACGATCGTAAACACCAGTCCGATACCCTCCCACCGTCCGGAAATCCGACGAATATAGTCATCCGGCGACATAGTTGGCTGAACAGCCAGTGGCTTAGAACTATCCTCAAAGATCTTTTGCGACCAGCGAAGCAAACTCGACTGCAAGTCCTTCGCATCCGCAGCCAGCGACCCATGCAAATCCTCCAACGCCTCAAACATCCCGCTCACCAGCCGATGACCCAGGACACATCCCTCGGGCCAGACCTCGACGGCCGTTTCAGACAGTCGCTCATACAGTGCGAAATGCTCAAACAGTAAGGTGAGCAGTCGAGCGCCAAGCTGGATCTGCTTCGTATCGGGCCGAGCCGCGGAGGGCGCATCAATGACCAGGGAGCGTTTGAATTGGTCGCCGATGTCGCTAAAGGTCGCTGATTTATTGGTGGCGAAATCGAAAGATAATTTGTCGTCGCCGGCGTTGAAGGAGGCTCGATTCTGGAGAGCAGCGGAGTCGGGGCGGGGTTGGGCTGTTTGGGGACGAGGTGATGCGGTGGGCGAGGGAGCATTGTCCGAGTACCAGGTACGAGAAGCCGGAACGGGCGTGTAAGCACAGCTGTCTCCCTTGTTACGACGGACGCAATTCTGGCATGTTGGGGTGGCACCATCGCAGCGGATTTTGGCTTTGCGGCAGGGCTCGCATGGCAGAGCCTGCCCGTTGCGGCGGGTAGAAGTCATTGTCAGGTTCGGAGAAAGGGGAAAGGAATGACGGGGTAGGGGAGGGTGGAATGAGGGAAAGAGAGTTTAACTGAAGGTTAACATTGCAATGGAAGGAAGGGGGAAAAAGTATTTAACACCTGCAAGTCATGGATGATAATCTCAGCTGGCTAAAATGCAAGTGGCAGGAAATCGAGCACAAACCATGAATCAATGGAAATTATCCCGGAGGTTGGATGCTCCACTAGCCCCGATCTGGCCTAGTGCCTCGTCATGGGATGCGGGGCGCCTGTTACTAATTTAAGTCAATTCTCATTTAAATTGGATCGATCCAGATCAACTTAAAACCTTGGTCTACTGTAGTCTAGTAGTAGTTGATAGGCGTATACTTTTACCATTGTTTAGGCTATCTACTTTGCTGGTCATTGGCGCTATCGCCATGGTTGGGGCTTAACTTATAAACCATATCACAATACTGAGGATACTACAGCCTTCGATAGGGTAGAACCTATGGACTTGTGGAGTTTTAGAACAACAAAATTGTCAGTCATGTTACTTTCGGCGTACGTGGTCTTACTTCTTAAGAATGAACCGCATAATCAACATGAGCTGCTGTTGTGGCTGAACCATTGCAGTATCAGTACCGCTGTCACTGCCAACATTAATCCACATACTCATTCAAGCACCTCAGCTAGCATATCCTCTCCACAGCTGACCAGATCTTTCATGCTCCCTATTCTGCACTGCATCAAATTCCAAGGTATCCAGACATAAGGCGAATTTCATGGCTGCTTCACACAACATCGTGAGAAATATGCCATGATATCGACCGGCTGAATACTGTTATCACGTAGTCTTATCGCATTATATCTCCCATTACCTTATAGAAACGAATATTAGATTGTTGTGATAGTCAAACGAGAGCGCGACAGGAGGGTTCATGTTGTAAATCCATTGCTTCCGATCCTGCAGAGGCAACATCATTTTCATCTCCAAAACACCGGACGCTTCCATATTTCTGTCGGCAGAGTGCTGCAGATTACGGCAGCGAGTATGAGTCCAGATTCCATCATGCCCTTCACCTCCAAGAATCTGCTTGTAACATGTCACATTCTAATCCATGCGGACTCGTTCTACTCGATGGAAAAAGCGACCAGGCCAGCCAAACTCCAAGCCGACGATTAATCCAAAGTATCAGAATTAGTCCCGTAGGGTAGTCCAGCAGTGTACTCTAAATAGGTACCTGCTTAGCTGATCGTACAAAAGCAATAAATACTACTTCATCTCTACTATTAAGATAGCTTGATAAAATCATTAATACATCAAGAACCATGCTGTGCCTGGTCCTGAGATAGGATCAAGCAAATAGGATCGGAGGGTCAATAAGGTGCTCAGTGCCTGATCGCTTGAATGGAGTAGTTGTGCTTACAGATGTGAGTATTCCTCGTAACCGGGACTACTCCAGCCCATCGGCTTTCCTCTTCCTTCTTTACCTCAATCAACCAAGCGCCCCTTCCGAATAAACAGCCATTTGATCACTGCAGCCTTTCTCAACCATATCAAACAAGTTCTTTCTCATTAATCAGGACTAGCCTAACCGTTTTCTGAATTCCTATCAGTGTCGCTAAATACTGGGCTTAACCAAAATGTCGCTTTAGAGGATCCTATGGACAGCCTGCTGAGAGCCTACCCAAATCCACAATTACAGCAGAATGGCTCAAGATTCGAGTAATTACGTGTATCTGTCATTTCTCCTATATCCTGCTAGACCAAGGCTAATCTGGAGAAACAGTCATGTTAAGTCATCCTATTCGCTCCTATATTGGTAGCCATGCCTAAACTTACTGACCGCTCACCGGTTCATACGTAAGGCTGTCTCCAAATGTGGAGACCGTATTCGCAGAAAGGCTAGGATACCAGGCTGGATTTTGGATGCGCTCTTCCGTTGTCATGCTTGCCACGAATTACGCAAGAGGCTATGTTTGGCATGCTCCTCGGGATTGGGACGCTTGCTGTACCGTGGACACAGCGATCGATTCCTGATCCCACCTCCCGGAATACTTGGCCATGGAAGGTCTAATAGAGTTAAAGTTTGCGATCGTGGCGCCAGCTCTATACTACTCAGCATGACTATATGTAACGCCAACCCCTCGCGCCTACATTTGCTACGGTATCTTGCATCTTCTTCCGCACAGCCTTTATAGTCATCCTAGTGATGCTATCATGACACGGTCGGTTAAATCCCGCCTTGCTAACACATGACCCTGTTGACTTATGGTACAGAACACCAGCCGCCAAATATATCTCCCTTACGAACGCATTGGAGCCGCTGGACCCAGCGGAGGTAGATCATGTCTACAGCGAGCTCGAGCCAGCAGATCCAGCTCTTTTGGAAGGTGAATGGGATATGCATGTCATCGATACGGGGCATCCTGCGCAAGCATTAGCGGAGGACATCCTTCCTCTACTGAGTACCATGGACTTCACTGAAGATGCTGAGAAGGTCAGACAGTGCTGCGTTCCGCTGTTGAACATTTCTAATTGGCCACCGGTAGGTCCATAAAATCAAATTTCACGGTGCTGCTGGGAGTCTGATCATCCCAGATGATCAAAATTCGACGCGGCGTTTCCGCTACGTGGATGCAAGTACCATTGCCGCTACCAATGGTTACAGGGCATACTACGGTAATTCTGGTGTTCTCCATTTCTACCTTACCCGGGCAGAAGATTCGTGCTATATAGCTTGAAAATTCTGGTAGTTGCCAGTCATTGTCTTCGCATGGGGTACGTCACTATCGCATTACGCGACCCGCCACAGCATAACAGGCAAAGCTGTTGTATTATTATTTGCATCGAATTATACAAAATATGGACAGGATTGTTCAACTTTGAGCGAGTAGCATCCTTATCTTGGCTAAAGTCTTTTCTGCAGCTGCGACACATACAACCAGGCAATATTGTCATGGTTTGAACCTTACTGAGCCCAGATTGGCAAATTCTGGATTAGCGCCACCCAAGAACCTTCATACCCCCATACCCTAGCCAGATCAAGAGCTGCGTTCTGGGCTCTTTCTGTGAGACACATACATCGATCAGTAAGCAGCAAATGCATGAGATACTCATTGCGCGTCTCTATAGCTTGCCCTAATGGGGTTTTACTGAAAGGTAGTACCTGGTGAAGCTGCAGCAGATCAATATATTGGCGGCTCAGCATAGCTTCGACCGCTCCGACGAGACCTTTTCGGACAGCAATAGCGAGGGCTGATTCATTTGTGGCATTCAGCGCCAAAAGGTCAATGCGAAAGCGCAGAAGATTCTTGACCATACTCTCGGCCTCACTATTGAGAAGTGCAACATGTAAAGCTGTATCACCCAGTCTGGTTTTCACTTCAAGCACTTCAGGCACCATGGAAACAATCAAATCGGCAATTTCAACGCAACCTTTTCCATACCGTGCCACGCGAAGCAAAATCTTCTTGTAACCACTGTTTGGCCATTTGGCGAAGAGACCAGGGGGCTGCTGCACGACCTTTCGCAGGAGGTCCAAGGAATCGGAGAGAAATATACTGTCCAGAACGTTGAAATAGCTAAAGCTGCTGCCAGCGTTGATTAGCATTCGGATGATGGCGTCCTGGTGACCAAAGCTGTCACTGAGAGGAGCGGGCATGACATAGTCAAGAGGCTCCGCAACGAGCCAGTAGCCTCTTGTTTTGGGGGATGCACAGTACGTTAGCAGTAATTCAACACACCCAGGCTGCATATGTACCACGGCCAGGGAAAGTAACGGAATCCCCGCCATATTGTATCCGTCAGCGTCCAGACCCTCGTCAAGTCTCCTTTTGAGCCCTTGGACGTCACCATTCTTTATCTGATCGACCACACCACCAGGATGATTGGGCTCGAAGATACATGTCGGCTCTTCAAGGTCACAGAAGCCAATGCGGTATTGATGTGCCGCCTTCTCGTAAATGGACATTTCAAGCAGTTGGCCTGGCGTGCAATTATTGTCACGGTATCTATTAGCTTCCCATTTCACAGAACTAAAAAAGTCTTTCCAATCGATTATGCTGAGGGCCTGTCCCACCGGTAGGCCGAGGCAGTGCTCGATGTGATGGAGGAGCTCAGGCGGCCAGATTCTGGGCCTTTCCTGGGCACGTTGTTTCCGAGGGAGTTTTATAATCTCCATGGTTTATACTTGGATTGGGGGAATAACTAGAAGACAGAATCAGTTATTCCAGTGCAGTCGTTGCGTCGATGCTGAGTATATGGACATGAAAAGATAGCGCAGGACAGTTTCATATGTACGTGGTATAAATATTAGAAGATGGCATTGACTAGGATGTGCTTCCAAAGATTGTGAGTAAACATTTGCACCTAGTCGACACTCACCGGCAATAACCTCTCCTCTCAGTTATTCCAGCGGAGATAGCCACCATAATACACTTAGCTTTGGTGCTTCCTTGATATAACCCGTTATTCGCCTTATTTGATATATGTACCAGATTTTCCAACTTACAAAAGTACAGGCGTATCTCGATAGTTGCCATTGGAGATCCCTTCACTTCAAAATCCTAGTTAGACCTGTAACTGAGTCGCCATCATCCTATGTGTGGGATTGAAGGAGATATCCTCCAAGCATGGAAGTGAGAAAAATTCAGCGCCATCTCTTCCCGAGCAGAAATCATGAAGATTTCGCAATACTGCGATGTATCCCCATCCGGACAGGCTGGATAAGGCTAGGACACCGCAGCACAGGTGGTACCTTGATCTCCACTGCGGGATGTCTGTTCATCTACCTCTGACGATCAGTTACTGCGGATATACAACGCTTATAGAACTTGAGTGTATGCTTATTCTGATGCCTAAACGATGAAGTAGCAACAAAGCTCCAAATGGAGAGGAGTCGGACAAACCGGCGAATTAAGCTCAGAGAAGCTCATTAGCATCGGAGTTAGCACAACGAATTATCGTGCGATGCTGGATGTGATCAAGTAATGTAATGTCGATCGCAAGTATCAGCTATGCAGCTAGACTCTATGTAGCTTAATGACGAGCAGACTGATTCCTGATGCCCTGCTGGAGTAATTCCACTTGCATCAGATGGTATCTCCACGGTGAGCATCCATGCCTGAAGTAGACTAGTCTCCGCAGCGCCGCCTTATCAGATCGGAGATCCACTCCCCGTTTGAAGCTTCTTTTGGAGTAACTACACCCTAACCATCTGGGGTACGCCCAGACAGTTTTTTCAAGGTTGTTGCACACATTATATAAACCAGGGCTCGATTACAAGGTCATTAAGTACATTATGTGCTGCCACCTGTCCAGTTGTACGAACAAGGTTGAACTGACTATTTTGGAACACTGCTCCATAAACCACAAGAAGATAGGACGCATCATATCAACTAACTCCATAATGCCTAGTATCGGTCATAACGAGTTCATACCCCTCCTCGGTCTTCAACTCTCAATTCAGCAACGTGCCTGATGATCACCTCACCACTCCAACACCGCATCATCCACCTCCATGCCGTACGATGCTTCGGCCCGTCTTTCTGCAGAGGATATGACGCGTCTACCTCTGCTCAATAACCACAATGGCACATAAATAGCGGACATTCCCTCTGGGTCTTCAATCCTCATCAGCAGCTCATTCCAGTATACAATCGACCGCACCTCAATCACAACATGAGGTACCAGATCCCTCTGGCGGCCTTTCCCCTCGTGGGACTCACCGCGGCCACTGCGATTTCCAGCACCAACTGCTCTGCATCTGCATTCCAGAAAATCATCGATGCCAATGGCACCGAAGCTCGCGTTCAATGGGCCACCTACGTGCCAGAAGGTGGTTCTCTCAACCCTATGAACTACACCTCCGCCTCCGAATACCCGACTGGCCTGCCCGAGTCGTGTGCCGTGCAGGTCAACGTCGCATCCGAGGGTAACTCCAGCTACTTGGTTGGCGTTATCTTCCCATACAATTGGAACGGACGCATGCTGTACGCTCTCCCCAACATCTCCCTTCTAAACCACCATCACTTTACTGACACACCCCAGCTCCGCAGCAGCAGGAGGCGGTATCAACTGGGTCGACATGGTACTTCTCCCCTCCCATACCCATCCCTATACCCAACGCACTCACTAATACCTCCATAGGGCACCGGCACGCACTACGGCTTCGCCGCCGTCTCCAGCAACCTGGGCCACGAAGGCATCGACACAGAGGGCACCTGGGCACTCGGCCGCCCACAAGCCGTAATCGACTGGGGCTACCGCGCGTGGCACGGCGCCACCACACTTGCCAAGCTCCTCATCTCCGGCCGCTACGGCAGCGGTCCCGCCTACAGCTACTTCTACGGCTGCTCCACGGGAGGCCGTCAAAGCATGAAGAACATGCAAGTGTACCCCGACGACTACGACGGAATTATCGCGGGTGCCCCGGCCTGGTGGACCACACACCAACAGCTCTACAACCTCAAGCAAACGACCTACCAAGCCCCGGCCAACAGCTCACACACCATCCCCGAGGAAATGTTCCCCGTCCTGGCCGCTGAAGTCCTCCGCCAGTGCGACCCGCAGGACGGCCTCGTTGACACCATCATCTCGAACCCCGAGGGCTGCGTCTTCAACCCATCCACCCTCGCCTGCAACTCCACCAGCGCGCCCAACACCTGCCTTACCACAGAGCAACTCAACACCCTGTACAAGATCTACAACGACTGGGTCGACACCAACCAGACCTTCGTCTACAGCCACCTCTTCTACGGAAGTGAATCCTCCTGGCTAGACGGTAACATCGGCCTTGGCGAGGAGTCTACCATCTCCCAGCAGTACTGGTTCCTGCGTGATCTCATGGGCCTGGGCGATTCCTTCGTCTGGCAGGATCTGGACTTCAGTACCGTCGAGCTAGCGGACCACTTGAACCCCGGTAACGCAACAGCTGGACAATACGATATCAGCGAGTTCGAGAAACGCGGTGGTAAATTCATTCATTACCATGGTCTGTCGGATAGTTATGTCTCTCCCGGAGCGAGCACGTTCTACTACGATCAGGCGAAGAGCGCCGTGCAGGCGAACGGCGTGGATGATGTGGATGATTTCTATCGCCTGTTTTTGATTCCGGGAATGGAGTAAGCCCCGACCCAGTTAACAATATACCCTTATGAAGATCTATGCTAATTGAAATGTGGTACAGGCACTGCTACAACACCCCCACCGACATGAACGCCCCCTGGTACATCGCAGGCGCGGACCAAGCAGCCTACATCAATACCTCGACGTGGAGTGTCCCCGGGTACCGGGATGCGAAGCACGATGTGGTTTTGGCCATGATGGCGTGGGTGGAGAATGGCACGGCGCCGGATAGTCTTGTTGCCACGGTGTGGAAGAATATTACCACTGCTGATGAGGTGATCAGACAGAGGCCTGTTTGTCATTACCCGTACCAGGCCAAGTATACTGGGAAGGGGGATCCAGATGAGCCGGGGAATTGGGAGTGTAAGTTGTTGTATTAGACGACTCATTTCTTGGGATGTTGGGGGTTGAGGTGAGGGGAAGAGGTCTGTTTGTTGGGTAGTATGTGAAGAGATGTTGTACTATTTATTGTATTCTAGTTGAGGTGTGTTGATTATTAATGGAATTTGATTCCGGGTTTTGTGATTATTTAAGTATAATGGGTTGGCTTACCCTTTGTGGAGTAGTAAGTGGAATTTAACTATAACTTAGTGTGCTTATGCGTAGAAGTCATTTGTAAATGCAGTATGCGACAGATGATCATTGAATAACTTGTTATCTTGAAGAGCAAGTGGGTATATTCATCAACTCCTGTCAGCTAGGAACCGCTATGTCACACCCAAATACTATGCAATCTAGCTAGATGGCCTTGTCCCAAACTCCACGCCTAAGAAATAAATCCGAAAGTTACAAAATATGTTATTTTAAGCGGGTATCATCATGGCCGTCGTTCAGTCACAGTCCAGCGACGCTTGTGTCCTGCTTCACGGTCCTTGCTGAGCGGTGCGCTCCCCCAAAGTCCGCGCTGGGAGAGCGTTCGCTGTGGCACTTGTTTGGCAGAGGTCGGCTCCTCCACCTTGGCCGGCAGCGAGCTTTCCCCAGGCACCGATGGCGCCGGGGCAGGCCAGCCAAAGTTGGGCACGATATCGTCCTCTGGGCCATCGGCGGCGCTGGACCCCCAAAGCCCGGGGGTCCTAGGAGTGACAGCCGTAGAGGGTCGCTCGGCATTCCAAGGAACAGTGCCGGGGCCAGATGTCGACGAGGGTCCGATGATGAACATGCCTTGTGACATGGATGGGCGGTTTGCTAGGCGGTTCCGGTAGGACGAGATTGAGGGGGAGGTCACCTGGCTCGGAGAAGAGACACGTGACGTGCTGCCAGCGATGCGGAGATGCTCGGTTGAAGCCACCATTTTCATGGCATAATTCTCCACGCTGGCTGGCTCGTTGGCCCCCTTCGTCTGAACTGGTCCGCCAATAGTATTATCTTGAACCATTTCGGGCATGTGATCATTGCGGACCGCCAAGGTGAGAGATGCAGTGCCGAAATTTACTTGGGATTGCTCCCCGGACAGCGCTGAGACCAGTGCATTGCAACCCGCCCCGTGCGTAATGAGGACCAAAATCGTCTCCGTATCGTCATCCGATTCATTACGGGAACTGGCCTCGCCAGAACTGTCGAGCATCTGAGAATGTCGTCGAGGCCGACCGGAAGAAGTTGACTCGTAGTCTCGATACCACGCAATCATGCGGTCGAGCCCGGTGCTGAACCGCGTATGCATCGTACTCCATTCTTCGCCGTACTGGCCTCCATCACCCCAGTTCTGCTCCCCGTGCATACTGTCCCATTGGAAATCGATCTTCACGCAGGCGTCCCGAGCATGCGTTACATACCCAGCTGGAATGGGGTCCGACGGGGAAATCGCATAGCTGGGCGTTGGAGGCACGTAGGCGGCATCCGGAATGGAGGGAAGGTTTGTGTTGATCTTGCTGAGCAGCCGCCGTCCGCGAGTCGTTTCAGCAGCGCTGAACGTGTCACAGCTGCCAGCGCGGGACCTTTGTGCCTGCGTCTGACGTGTACTGGGTGGGGCCTCCGTCTTTAACTTCGCTGTCACATCATTGGCGGGAGAAACCGGAGTAGATGCACTTCCCCAGCCACCAGGGAAAAAGCCAGCGGAGGGTCTGGGGACGATGTCCGCCTCGGGAACGAAATTATGTTCGCGACGCAGCAGCTCGAGCTTTGCAGCAGTAATCATGCGATCCGAGTTTGGCGGCGGGATAATCTCGTCAAAGTATCTAGGGCAAAGCCATTCTCCAAGGAAGGCATCCACCCGTAGCAGACATCGATGGTCGCTTGATGTAATGGGACCTGGGGTCAAGGCGGAATCCGAATTTGACTGAACTAAGCCGGGAACCTTCGATAGCTGGTTGAACTCTGGCTCGCCCGAATTCTGACAGATCCCTGAGCTGACCGCGATGGCTGTCTGTAGACATCGAGTGAAGGGAGATGTGTGAATGATGATTCTGCGCTTCGGTTTTGGCTTTTGTAGACGGTCGGAAGGCGACTTGACACTGTTATCTCCTTGTGTTGTGGAGTCTGGTGAGTCGTCCAAAGACTGGATAGCCTCGATGATGCGAGCCCCCAGAGCCCGCGACTGTAGCCAACCGCCATAGGAGAGGGGAGGGTCATAGGGGGTAGGTGAAGTGAGATGCCAATTCTTGTCCGCTACATCCAAGCGAGCGCCATGTCTGAACAAAGATAAGGAGTTAGCTCTCGATGTTGTATCAAAAGAAAAAGTGGATATACCTGGCGACGATGATGGCCGCAGGGAATTTCCCCATGACCGCAGAAGTTCTATGTCTGATAGATGATTGAGATGATTGAGATGCTTGAGACGCTTGCGATGCTTGCGATGCTTGAAATGCTTGAGACTCCTGAGATGCTTAAAGAGGCAAGAGCAGAGGGCGCGAAGGAGAATATATAGAAGGCGATGAGAAGAGATGGGAAGAAATGAGGAGGTGGACACCGACAACAATGAAGGTGGAGGGGAAAGTCCCTATTGTTTCTATTGAAGGCCCGGCGGGGTAAAGCATTAATATTCTCCAGCCACGATCACAACGCGTCACACCCGATCCCAGATCTCACGAAAGAAGACGAGGGAGAGCAAGGTCAGTGGCATGGTGATGGGATGAGGCAGTTGGAGTGCAATCGGCACTTTCACATTATTTTTTCCTTCCCAAATGGCAAACTGATGGATGGTTCTGCGCGCGTCACTTTTCTTTTAATTGTTTCGTGCAGGCGTGGAAGCCCCCGACTTCAGGCCGCCACTCTTTTTTTCCTCCGGTTGCATGTGATGCGCCTGCTGCCTAGCCTGTTCTGGAGGCGGTCAGGAGCTAGCCGGTCATTAGCTTGTTTTACTGCCTGTCACGGGATTGCCGATCCTCGGCTGTCGTCGGCTCCATTGGCGATGTCGGAGATCCCCTTTCTTCAGTTACTGCTTTCATGGAAGCCACAAAATAGTATGAGATACTAATTGGAGGTGCTGTGTAACTGGAGATACCAGAACTATGCTCATTCAACTTCTCCCCAGAGAGCTCAGCCACAGGTGAAAGCCGCCACAAACCTGAAAGTGAATATGAATCCAAGTATCTGTCGAGTCTCCTCTGACTGACATCACTTCAAAATTGACCCACATGATCCAATAGCTAGGTTTGTCGCACTGCAGTCTGGGTTGAGCAAAGAATCCGAAATTGACTCGGAAGTCTATTGGTGGTAGTGAGTGCTGGTACTCAAACACCAGAGCTGCCCATCAATCTTAAGTAGTTTTTCAAGAGATCAGAAATTATATATATCAGGATCTAGCCCTTCATAAAATACCGAAGAGATAATAAAACACAACATACAATCATTCTTATAATATCAATTTAATAAAATCTAGTATAATAGAAAAGTTCCTGGGGACTGACCTGGTAATAATATTACCCAAGAAGTAGTCAGGAATAGGATATTTATTTTACTGTTTATTTCAGTTACTATTATATGCCGCTACATCAAAAATCTAGAATAGAAATCTAAATACTGGTTTACAGAGCTTCTCAACAGCTAAGCTAAATATATGTCTAGAATAAATAAAATATATCTACCAATTCTGACACGACTTCTCGATAATGAAGAGAATAATAAGAAAGAACAACAGTAACTACTACAAGAGTTTCAGAATATTGTTTAAGTTATTATCCTTCTTGCTGTTCTGCTTTCTATAGATACATTTTCTGTGTTTCTCAAGATAGAAGTGGAACAGATTAGTAATTGATTGGATTCCTTTCGGTTGGTTCTTAGTATCTCCAGGAATAAAAATCAGCCTATTAAGATTCTCCATCTCTCATTTCCGGAATTTTTGGTCTAAACTATAACTAACTTCCGGGTAGATGCGCTATCTAAAAATAAAGATATTTTAACTTGTCTAAGAAGTATGCAGTATCTGCTACGAAGAAATATCTGTAATTTAGCAGGATCCCGGAGTATATAAAACAGAAATTGATCCTCTAGATATTCACGAATGTCTACTATCAGAATTATAATGCTCTTATTACTACTGGACGCATTATCTTAAAAGTAGCCACGCTTTATCCTTAAATACAAAAGGTATGCAACTGTTCCTCCATAAATATTTTCATTAGATAGAAGCAATGAGCCTGCTGGGGCTAGTGTCAGAAATGATTAATATACTTGATCTTCTCCGCACATTTATACAATTATGTATATGGTGGGCAGTGACTCCTGAATGAATCTGATTGGTGTAGGATGACCTTCATATTCCCCTGGCCGAATTTTTGCATGACGCAAAGCGCTTTGTCCTAAAAAATTACCAGATAGCGGATGTAGCATCACTTCATATTTATTATGCAGGGCTGGTATCTACACCTCGAACGGCAATATTCGCAGGTTGTTCCATTGTTCCATTCAGAGCTTCCAGATTGGATATACCAGTTACCGCAGGTTCAGGAAACTTGGAGCGCAGAATCACAGACTCTCGAGGGCTATACAGACCTAGTTCATTCAGTGGCATTCTTATCCAATGGCCGGTTAATAGCGTCCAGCTCGTTTAATAAGACAGTACAGCTCTGGGACTCAGCCACAGGAACTCTAGAACAGTTATTCAAGAATTATTAAAGGCCTGTCCAGGCAGTGGCCTTTTCCCTGATAATCAGCTGCTAGTATCCGGCTTTTATAATAAAATAGTACAGTTCTGGGACCCAGTCGCAGGCGCTCTACAAGAAATCTTAAGCACTAATGACTCTGTCACGGAACTCGAATTTTTGCAAGATAGCTCCTATCTTTGCACCAACCTAGGACCGTTCAAGGTTCAATCTAGCTGTGGCAACCCTATCTCCAATTCACTCAACATGGTCCCACGAATCTCTCTACAGTGTGCATGGATAGCTTCAAATGGGAAACAAGTATTATGGCTACCTCCCGAGGCCAGGCCTTCTTGTTAAACAACACTTCTTGTTAAACAACACTTCTTGTTAAACAACAAGATCAAATACACTTGCCTTAGGGCATGCGTCAAGCCGAGTTACCTTCCTAGGATTTCGGGATCATTAAATTTCAATGCACTTTCCTAGTCTTAATTTCTATATTTTCTAGTACCCTGGCAAAAGAAGAGTACGGGAGAGAGGTGGAATTTATTTCTACGTATTTCTCTCAAGGACATGATAAATTACTTGGTTCCTCAAGATTCAACACGGGGGCGAATCAGTAGGGTCTTGTTGCCACAGTTCTACCTGGTTAGCCAGGCGCAGCCTGAAAACCCACAATCTCCTGGATCTTATACACTCAAGTTCAGAACCGGCGCCCGGGTCTAAAATTCGTTAATTTTTTTTTTTTTTTTTTTTTTTTTTTTTTTTTTTTTTTCCAAATCTGTTGCTAAGACCGCGCTAGTCCTCCCTCCGACAGGTTCAGAAAACCGACTGGCTGAAGCCGTTGCTAAATAGTGAGTGCGAGCCAGTCCATATCGGCAGTGCATCCTTGGACACGCAAGCAAACAAAGGGAATGAGTAGAAGATCCGCGCGCCGATTTTTGAATATCAGTCTAACAGTCTCCATCCTGCGTAGTTTCAAGCACTATAGCATGGTCTTCAAGGGATCTCCATTGTTCTTCTAGTATCCTGTCGTCATTAAGAACATTCCATCTTCCGATTTTGTGAGTCCTCCAAAGGTTTGATCACCTTCCCTTGAGCATAATGGATGTTTAGATACAGTAGCACCTTATGACAAGACTACCTTTCAGGTTTCCGAACTGAAGCCGATCTTATGGCCATTATGGACAGCCGCAACAGTGGATAATTCTGCCCTGACAAGGCCTGCTAGGTACAGTACACTGGTTGGTTGATCAGTTGATTTCCCTGACTCCTCACAAAGTAATCAATACTAGTAGTAAGCATTTGATCCAACATTACTGCCTATATATGAAACCAAAATATTAAGATTCTTACCATAATCTTTTAATTTAAACGTATTCCGTACTCGGAAAGGGCGAAGGACAGACGGATTACACTATATACAGATGCAGCCGGCTCAATCGAATTCCATCATAAGGTATGTAGGGATGCAGTAACACTATTATGAATTTCACGCGTGCGAGGACACTTTATGATATAAACCGCCGTTCGCCCACCCCTAGATGCTAGAACACCTATTCTCCTATCCAGAAGATAATAATGCTACAGAATGTCACACGAAAGGTCATTTAGAGAGCCTATGGCTGATCCAGAGACCCTCAATATGGAACTTACCAAGATCAGAAATACCATAAATGAGGAGCTCCCTCATATTCACGCTTTTGTTGATGACGCCTAGTCATTAGTGGAGACTCAAGGAGTTCCCAACCCCATTTGACCGCATGGGCGTACCCTTTAACATTTAACTAAAGCTAACTTCAGACTTAACTCTAGTATTATATAGATAGATCTTATTATTAGTAAGGTGGTTAAGGTGGTCAGTTATTAGGGTCAGAAGTTAGCTATATTATGATTGATATACATACATACATACATATATATGTATATATATCAATCATATCGTATTTATGCATGTTATACATCACCACTGATATGGAGCGGATCCGGTATACCAGAAGGCTTAGTTTCAATCATAAATACCCTACTACCCTCGTACAGGCTCGATAGCAATTAGTTAGATAGCAAACTTTATGTCTACTAACGCAGCCATCGAGACCAAGAAGGGGGTGTAAATGCCATTTTTTCTACAGGACTGGGTGGTGGTTACGCCGACTCCGCCAAGATGGACCTACCCCCTCCTTCCCTTGATTTGTATGGGGGCCGGCCGCCAACTCTGGGCGGATGGTGCCCGTGGTCCTAGGAAGCGTCATACATGAGGAGCGGTGGATAAGCGACGGGTCGGGGCAATTATGTCACCGAGAAAGTATCCGGTGATTTGAAATGATAGTAGTTTCCAAGTTGATTTCAAATGTTCCCGAGTGTATGGAGTGAGAAGCCCCACTGCGACCTCCGTGGCTGAGATCAGAGCTCAATTGGTGATCCAATATCTCGCCAGGTAAAGAAAAACAACCATACTTCGGGTAGGTTACTTATTTAAGTACCGGTAGTCTAAACCTGTTCAGGCAAGTCTACCGCACACCCTAGTCTAATTTGGTGAGTGGTATGTCAAAGGTTTGCGTTGCCCCACTGTATACGCTAGTGATCCCGCCTTTCTGATATAGTAAGATCAAGGTGATACGAGATAGAGATACTAGCCTGACCCTACGGATGAGGTGGAAGGATTTTGATTCAAATGTCCGGACCCTATTGCACGTTGTAGTTAAATGCGACCATCATGGTTCTATCCAGTCCGTTCTAACACATAACCTTGGAGCAGTCGACATCACTCTCATTTGCGGTAGCAAAGCTATTTGGTTGTCTCAAGAGAGGCAGAAGAATTAACCGTCCATGCATCGCACGAAATTGCATGACTAGGTATGATTTCCATGGCAAAAGATATGACTGATCAAACGATTCGACTCTCGACCCAAGTCGAATAAGACCTATCTCCTCTGCAACCTGCCCTGACATGATCAGGAATCGGTTTGCGAAAACAGAGGAAGGCACGGTCGCTATGGTCATGTGCTAACTTTCCAAGCAGCACCATTAGAAAGCACCATTAGAAAGCACCATTAGAAAGCACCATTAGAAAGCACCATTAGAAAGCACCATTAGAAAGCACCATTTCTCTGTGTCCTTTCGGATTTATCTGCGTTGCTCGAAAGAATAAGATCAACTTCTTCGTCCATGACTTCAAAAATATGGTCCGGCGGGAACAAAGGCTTCCATCCGATTTCATAACCATGCTTGGCCGTAAACGTGCACCTACAATTCGTTAATTCGTGTTCTCAACATGAGGTCTAGGTACGCTCACTCTCCACTCAATTGAGGAGCCACCATATCCGTTGACGACTTGAGTGTCTCGGCCATTACGGCAAGCACCTTCTCATCGGCGGGGTGGACAGCACTATCTTTTATCAGACCTCGTTTGAACAGAGCAGCCCCGATGGATGCGTAAACATCCTTCCAGGCAACCCGGCCGCTGGATGCGAGATAGAAGCCCTCCTGGCCATGGTCGCAGTCTTCGGACGAGAGTATTTTCTTAAGAATGGCGATGTACAATAAGGCATTATCTACCACATGACACACTGGCCAGGACTAAAACCGGTCAAAACAATTCTCTCGCCTATTGGGAGGTCACTTACCGCCTGTTGGGACTCGTTGAGGTTGCGGACGTGTCCCGTAGCCCTAGCAGTACTAACTATAGCAACAGTCTGAATAGAGACCTGGTTGCCGAATCCTTCACCTTTGCCATCTGCTTATGATTAAAAGAAGTCCCTTGCATGATAAGTATAATAAAGCAATACTTACAGACCATACAAGGGCAGAAGATATAGCTTCTAACACCCAGACTTTCGCTCAGCTCAACAATCTTCGTGTTGGCACCCACAAGCTGTACTAGTCAGACACAGAGGTATATAAGCAAAACAAACATGATATACCTGTTGTAATGCGGGGAGATCGGTGTGTTGCGACTTCTGCAGTTCAAGCAGACTATGCTCAGTATCAAGAATGGTCCTATCAACGGGAGCACCCGCATGATCAGAAAAAGCCTTGGCTCCACTGGTCTGGCAAGCATTAGTTAAGTTAACAGGAATCGGCAGGGATACTTACATGCAGAAAGTGCACCACCTGCCCGGTCTTTTTCTTCAGTTCGCTCAGCGCTCTTATAAAGTGCTCTTGACATGTAGAGCTGTATGCATCGACCAAAGAGAATACGACATTGATTTTATACTTCTGAATATTGTCTAGTACACTTTCGTAATCATGGATGTCGAACACCAAGGGCTCAGCAGCATATTGCTTGACTGCGTGGGCTTGGTCGGGATTCCGTATAAGCGCGAATAACTTGTGGTATTTTGGGAGGGGTGCATTCTTTAGCCGATTCAACAATGTTCCTCCGAGATAACCGGAAACACCAGTGATCAGGATGTTGTATTCCATAATGCAGACTCAGGTAGGTAGAAATGATTAGAGTATAAAAGGTCAAGATAGATCGGTCGATATGAGGACTATATATAATATTTGACCTTCATTGCTGCGAACCAAATGATTCCTCCAAGCTCCATTCGCTAAGCCTCGCTTGGAAAACCACGTCACCTGAATTCTCCAAATTTATTTCCCCCAAACCATTTTCCCCAAAACGCCTAAAAAGGCCGACCCATCAGGCTATAGAAACGGCTCGAAATTGACGCTTGCGTGATTTTTTTGTTCATCTTGGCGCGGCCGACATTGTGACATCAGTGCGAGATTGGTTTGTAAAAGTCTCCGAGTGTTTCCAGGTACCATGGGGACGCGAAAGCAAATGCATCCTAGCTTTTGGTCGTGATTACCAATACTTGATGAATCTGTGCCGGGAACAACTGGCACACGGCGGCAACATGCAACTTTCCCCGCCTGCTGGAGTATTTCTCACCGGGGAGCGAGTCATTGGCGCACTCGTAGGTTCGGTTGGTTGACGGGAGTCGACGTTATTAATACAGTAATAATCACAATAATATACAGCATCGCTTTTTGCTGGGGGGTTTGTAAATTATGTGTCTAGCATGCCATGGGGATCTCGCACTTACTCTAGACGCAATCTACTCGTCGAGGACCTGTGCATGACGTCACCACCAGATGGTCAACAAAGTCTCCCCTTTGACACTGGCTGCTCCTCTTCACCAGATAACTTACTTTCTTTGGCCAGGTGCAGTTACGGTCAGGACTTCCGATAGAATTGTTGGCTCTACACAAAAGTAGCTCGTTGAGCGGGGTACGCGGGATAAGCAACTTGGGAAATTGATATGTCCAGACCATTTGATAACTATACAGAGCCACAGTCATGTACCAAAGATCATTGTGGCTAGCGGGTTTCTTAAGATGCCACCGAGTATGAACACAGTTGGTTGCCAACTATAATCATGTATTCGTCGAGCCTATTTAACCGTCCTTTCCATTACTAATTCCTCAGAAGCTATTCATTGAACCCCTAGATTGATCGCTGCCATGTCTCGACAACGTCCCCATACAGTATGATTGGTTCTTGGTCGCTGAAGTTCGGAACATCTTCAAATATAGCTTTGGAGTCTTCAGCCTTGCAGGCTTCAGTTAAGCCATTCATGCTATCCCAGGTGAACATAGCTCCAACCACAAACGGTGCATCGCTAGATGTGAATTGAACTACCCGCCAATCCTTCAATCCATGTAAGGACCATCTCTCGACAGCAAGGGTCATATGATTCGAGAAGTAGTATTGTAAGTCGAAGGCCGCGTCTTTAGGGTAAAGCACAGTTGCGTTGACGGTCATGTTGAGATTCTGGAAGCGGAATGTGCCGAAAAGTAATATGGCAGTGTAAAGAATCAGAGTACTCCGTAGAAAGTTTGATGTTTGCAAAAAGAAAGGTGGTAGACTATGTTTAAGACAGTGGCACAATACCCTTCCCACCGGCTACCAAATTTTTTGGCGGGCCATCTCCTTATTTCCCGATCTTATGACAACTCCATGATTTAGTTACAAATAGTTATTAACTGACTAAATACCATCAACTACATTATTAAGCAAATCAGTAAAGTGGAGGCCAATATTCGGTAAGTTGTTGCTCCGTAAATGTCTCCAGGTTTATGGAAAGATACAAATCCAGCCATGCCTCGGAGGTTTTCCCGAGAAGTACCTGATAGTGGACGGAACTCGGTAGCACACTTTTTTGGATCTCTGAGGTTTAACTTACTATAACCCCTTCTCGGCACCCTTCTCTCGCACGCAACTGGAAGAAACTAATGATTAATAATGAGCCAAGGTCTCTCTCCAAAAGTGCCACATCACCGATTGATAACCCCAAAACGTACGTCATCACAAATATATCTATAAGAGTGAGCTCTAGTCCATACAGAACAGTAAGAAGTGGGGAAAATTATATCAGAATTTTGTCTTCCCATACACCATTCTTTCATACGAGCACTCCTAAAAAGCCATTATCACAAAAAGGGGAACAAAGCAAAATGCCTAAGATCGTCGCAATTGTCGGTGCAACTGGTACCCAGGGTGGTGCAGTGATCTCTGCACTGGAGGGTAACCCTTCTTTCCAGATTCGGGCGCTCACACGCAATACCAACAGCGAAAAGGCCAAGGATCTCGCTTCCAGAGGGATTGAAGTGGTAGCTGCGGACCTGAATGACGAATCCAGCCTGGTAAAGGCCTTTGCCGATGTCAGTATCATCTATGCCGTTACCAATTTCTTTGAGCCCTTCGCAACGGTCGGGCCTGAGGCAGCCATGGAAATCGAGTATCAGCAAGGGGTCAACCTCGCCCAGGCTGCGTCTCAGACTCCGAGTCTGGAGCTATACATTTGGAGTACACTTCCCGACTCGCGCACACTCTCCAGCGGGGCGGTTGTGGTGCCCCATTTTGCTGCCAAGGCTAGGGTGGATGAGTTCATCAAGCAGGACCAGGTTTTGTTATCAAAGACGGTTTTCCTCTGGGTGACTTTCTATACGTCCAACCTCTTCTATCCTCCTTTCGCTCCCGTATATGCGGTAAGTTCGCCCTCCCCGTGGAACTCTCCTTGTCGCCATGGCAGTAAACTCATTTTAACCCGCATTGAACAGAATTCGATCGGCAAATTTGTCGCTTTTACTCCAGTGTCTGCACAGACGAGGATTGCTTCCCTCGGTGCGATGTCTAATGTTGGTACTGCTGTTGCAGGGCTAGTCGAGAATGATGGGCAGACTTTATGGACCAGCAAACTCGGCGCTTCATCCAGTGGGGCCAAGTATGTCATCGTAACCACCACTTCTTATACTGTCCAGGACTACTACTCCGCATGGGCAAAAGCCATTGGAAAGGGTGAGGATCAGGTTAAGGTTCTGCCAATCTCCTTTGCGGACTACGAAGCTCTCTTTGCGGAGTGGGGAACCGAGTTGGGCCTGATGATGAGATTTTGGGAAGTCGCTGGGCCTGAGAAAAGCTGGGCTACTGTAGGACAGACTGACACCCTCATCGATAGCCGGGAATTGTTGGGGCCTTGCAAGACATTGGTCGAGACGGAGGAAGCATTTGCTCAAGTCTCGTGGGACAACATATAAGCCCCGATTCTGACAATTATTCCTGTTGATCACTGAATTTCTATCGCTCTGTATTGTTCCCGGGAGCATGTATCTGTGTTGCAACATCATAAACCACCGATTTTTTTTTTTTTTTTTTTTTTTTTTTTTTTTTTTTTTTTTTTTCTTTTTGTGGCTGTCAACTCTAAGGGAGCACCGGCCAATTCTATCGTAACATTCTCTAACACTGGCTCCTGACCCACAAGCCTACCGAGTAGCCACACTGCATGCTTCATACGGGCCACTGCGCCCCGCAAACAGTATTCCAACAAGGCAGTTATCAGATCCATTCACTAAGCTACCTAGCATAGATACTCTGGCGGGCTGTGCCAAAGGGTTACAAGCCTGCAAAACTTATCCAGGAAACATCTGATTGTGTCGCATTCCAGGACACCTTTCTAAAAATTCTTCTTTAATATATTTATAAAAACTTTAAGGCTTTGAAGGAATGTGACATCGACACTGACCTTCCTGCAGCTCTGTCTTGTGCAGACAGAGGGCTTCGATGAGGATCCAGATAAAGATCAAAGCAGAAAAACAAATATTAAGGAAGCTATCGAGGACTTTATAGAGTATATTATAGATAGTTTTCTCCTTCCATGTATAATATGCGTTTAAGATGTGTCTGGCTCTATTGTTTTTAGCATCACCAAATACGCGTGGGAAAATTACTGGTAGTCTTACTGGATAGCTGGCCACATGCAGTAATTAATTAATTAAAAATAAATAACTGGGATATTCAATATTATATAAAAGCTGATTGAAAATATTTTATTTAGTATACCTAGACTAGAATATTAAACATGAGAAGAAAAAGAAGAAAGTATAAAAGAATATATATAAATAATAAAAATAAACAAACGAAGCAAAATAAATAAAGCAAACAGAACTATGCCATGTGATCCAGTTACATGCCTCCGAACACCGCTCGCCATCACAACTAATAATTAAGATCACGTGATCTGGGAACTCTGTAATCTTAATTACTTCTCTGAGTGTGCCTAGATAATAAAGAATCAAGTGTTTCTTATACCTTTAATATCGACCTAAAACGTCGTTTTAACATATTATTATCATTGGCGGAGCAGCGAGGTTGCTGCGTATATCAGAGACAGGTAAGTTACAGCGATCTGCCCCTTGTAACATACATTACGCGCCGAGGATCAGGGGGTCTTCCGGAATAATCTAGAGAATAGTTTAGCCCTTCTTGGCATTAGGGTTTGGGAAACAACAGAAGACTATAGATGGTGACACTGTTTACCGAACTCACTGTACTAGTCAGCAGTGAAATGCAACATCTTCGAAGATAGTGTATGTCAGCCGTCACTAGTAGTCCATCCATAATGATACCTCATTCGGGATCAGGTAATAAGGAGAGGACATCAAGATACCCCCTTTAGGATTAGCGTGGGTGCAGCCGTGGAAGACTTAAGACGAAAGAGCCGCGCAGAGATGCATCATGTATGGGTAGGACTGCTGGAACAGGATGCAAGGTTCCAGTTGATTCGTTAACTGTCAGGGTGCTGTCATCATGGACTAAGATGCGAGCCCCAACAGAACCAGCAACAGATGTTATCCGTCGACCGGGTAAACTCTTTCCTCCCAAAGAATCCCTGTTAACTACAAGATAGATTGATGCTTCGCAATCTGACCCCATTTCGGACCCGAATGTGAAAATTCTGTCTTATCGGTATGCCGCTCGGGGAAATTAGGCTCATTTGCATACCCTTTTTGGTGTTATCTATAGTCCCTTGCTTCTACTCCCGACGGATCAGTCTCGCTTCCGACGGGATGTGAACCTTCATCTGTCCAATAGTCTCATTTTGGCTCACCATTAACGAATAGAAAGGCAGGGCTACGCAACGGTGGCAACAATGTGGGTCGACGGCAGACATCATACTAGGGACTGGTATCTAGACTCTTCATCGACCATTATCTTTCCATCGTATATAATGTGAGTGGCCCCCGAGCTCGGCCGCTCGGCCGCATTCTCGTCCCCGAAACCGTGTCTGCTCGGAGGTGAATGAAAATGTCATCGCAAAGTGCAGAGGACAGCACCCGTTTAGAGCAAGTCTTAGATGGGTCGACTCCATACGACTCCGAGTCCACCCTCAGTCGCGGCGACTTGCAGGAAAAGCCATCCGAACTCGACGATGAGGACCCCGAGGCCCTGACTCGGCTCGAGACGGCCCAGTCAGCCGTTAAGCCCCCCTCCGAACTATGGAAAGAGATCATCTTCATCGCCGTCGTCTGCATGGCTCAATTCATGACCCAAGCCGGTCTATGCATGTCCATTGCCCCGGCTCACATCATCGGTGCCAGCTTTGGCACCACCAATGCAGGCCAGCTCAGTTGGTTTGCTGCAGCCTACAGCTTAACTGTCGGGACCTTCATCCTGGTTGCTGGTCGGCTCGGGGACGTCTACGGCCATCGGCTCATGTTTATCATCGGCTTCTCCTGGTTCGGTCTCTGGTCTCTCCTGGCCGGCTTCAGCGTCTGGTCGAATAAGGTCTTTTTCGACTGCTGTCGAGCATTGCAGGGAATTGGTCCCGCCATGTTATTGCCGAACGCCATTGCCATTCTGGGACGAGCCTATCCTCCCGGTCTGCGCAAGGAGATGATCTTTAGCTGTTTCGGAGCTACAGCCCCGGGCGGGTTCATCGTCGGAGGTGTCTTCTCCTCCCTCTTTGCTCAGCTCGTTTGGTGGCCGTGGGCATACTGGGTTATGGGCATGGTGTGCTTTGTACTGGCAGCGCTCGGTATTCTTGTGATTCCGGTTACCCGTCGCCCGAAGTTCACAGACGACATGACGGCCTGGACGCGACTAGATATTCTCGGTGCCATCACCGGTATCTCGGCCCTGGTCCTGATCAACTTTGCCTGGAACCAGGCTGCCCTTGTGGGATGGCAGACACCCTACACCTATGCCCTTCTAATTGTCGGATTCGTCTTCTTTGGTGTCTTCATTTTTGTTGAACGCTCGGCCCCGTGCCCCTTGATCCCACGATCAGTCCTCTCCGGTGACCTGGCCTGGGTGCTCGGGTGCATTGCGGCGGGTTGGTCCAGCTTCGGAATTATCATCTACTACTTCTATCAATTCATGGAAGTTATCAAGGGTGACTCCCCACTACTCGCGACCGCTAAATGGTCCGCCGCTGCGCCGTCCGGCGCCGTTGCTGCACTGGTTACCGGTTTCCTGCTGGGAAAGCTACCACCTAGCGTGATCATGTTTTTCGCCATGTGCTTCTTCACTGCTGGACAAGCCATCTTCGCCACTGCCCCTGTGCATCAGACGTACTGGGCGCAGGCGTTTGTCGTTAGTCTGATCACGTCGTGGGGAATGTACGTACCGAGTCCAATAACCCCTTCATTTTCGTTACATATATTAACCGACAATAGGGACATGTCCTTCCCATCAGGAACACTTATTCTGAGTAACTCGATGCACCATCACCACCAGGGTCTGGCAGCGTCGCTTGTCACGACAACAGTCAATTATTCTATCTCGCTGGGACTGGGATTCGCCGGTACTGTAGAGTCGAACGTCAACGATGGCGGGAAGAATCCCCTGAAGGGATACCGCGGGGCGCTTTATCTTGGCATAGGCCTTGCTGGGTTAGGAATGGTCACCTCTATTTGCTTCATGTCGGTTAGCTGGAGACGTCATCGTCTGGGGAAAGAGTCGACGTGATGTGGTAATGCTCAATGGTCATGATAAATGGCGTGAGTGCGGAGGCTGCTCGCTTTGAGCTTCGCTTGTCTGCAAACAAAAAATGTGCTTTAATAGTCTTATACCCTACATAGATGAGATGCTTTTTTCTCCGTTAGATATCAATAATATGTGCATTCCTTTGAATGCTCTTCTTTGGATAACCATAAGCCGTGGGGGAAAGCCCCTCAGCGTGCCTGCAGCAGGTGAAAGTCTTCTGATACTTGTGGAAGGTCCATCTTGATACGCAGGGAGGCAGTTAGGGCGATTAGACTGGTGCCGATAGGAGAGTTGTCATTGTTGGTTCCGGAGGCAATTCCGTTGGTAGATGGGTTCCCAACGGGGATTTATATACATGGCTGAACTGTTGTAGAGCATGCCTACTAGTAGATAAGCCGTGTTGGAATAGTGATCCTATAGGTTCTCGGGGGAGGCTTCGGGCCTGGGCTAATGATCAGCGAATCAGGTTCCTCCCGAGCTGTTGTCGTCCCGGCCTGATCTATAGGTCACTTAGTTGTACTTGAGTGGGGATCCTTGCTATCTCGTTGGAGTGGGATTCGTCCTGGAAATTGGCGCCATTCTATGAACCAAACATTAGGACACCATCCAGGATTTGGCTGCGTCGTTGGCAGGACACGGAATGTGCATCCAGCCTGATCAGTCCCCGATCGCGCCTTCCTAACCAGGTGGGCACGCACATCGCCTGATTGTGGCCACACAACTGGAATCCAACTACTGACATCTTGCCGTTGCTTGATTCTATCCAAATCAACATCATAGAATTTCTCCGAGGCTTTTCAAACCATTAATTTCTCTTCAGAGATGTTATCGTTCATGTCAATCTCACTGTAGCGCTTCAGCTGAGATGAATGTGAAAGGGATGCGACCGTGGCGCAGTCGGCGCTACTGAGATATGCATGCATCAATGGTGAGCAGTTGTGTCCTATCATTCCGTCTAAGGGTTATGTTAGTATGTGTACTCGCTGTGAGCAGTGGAACGATGAGCCACTAATCTTGTCCAAACCACTCACCATAGGCGCTGGCGCTGCAAGGCTGTTTTGTTCTCTAGACTATGTGAATGGCGTATGTCATTACATGATGGCTCAATGATGCACTTCGCCAGCGGCCGGGGCAGTGACTCCCGACCTTACGTACTATTTAGGACCGATGATCGAGTATGGCCTATCAGAATGAAGTCATGACTGATCTTTGACTAAAATTCCAACATTAACTATCGGTGGAATCGATAACGTTCAGCTAGCAGCCTGACGCATTGCCGAATTGTACTCTAGCCACGCTTCACTTTGATGCGTACCAAAGAAGTGAGGCCCACTGGGAAAGGGTTTCGGCGCGCATTCACTTCCTGTCAATTCACTTGGAGGAAGTACAGAAAGTACACGGACTTGGACTCAACATTGCTCAATTGTAATAGGCTACCAGATTAACAGCAACCCATAACACACTGCCACATCACTCTCTAGCCGGCTGTCGGCGCCTTGACGCGTCGGTATAGGAAAGATAATCAGCCAGGGGTCCCATCATTTGCTACCATCAAGAGAAGGCTGCATCGGTAGCGCCGCTTGTATGTCTTGCTAACAGGGATAGCATCCCTCCAGATGGTGAGTTGGCCCCATCGCATCTATTTAAATGCTGCCTGCGGTACTCGTTGTCAACTAACAACAGTCATTCATCTTTTCCGCAGTACCATACCACTATCATAACGCTTCAACAAAATGTTCGTCGCTCAGACTCTTGCGGACGTTTTCAATCATATCGCCTTCCCCCCCAAGCTTCCTGGCAAAAAGGACCGGGAGCCAGAAAAGGTAGAACGCGACCTCATCATCCGCTTGCGTTATGCAGTACAGACCCTCTGCAACGTTGCAGACGACGCTTTGAAGCCTGTCTGGGAGTCGATTATTGCGACCCTCGACACATGCAGCGCAGTGAATCAAAATGGAATGGTGAACAAGGTCGCTCTGCTCGACGCGTTGGGGAAAGTACATCCCGGGGGAGCTGTCATAGTGAATATCGGAGAGCAGAATGCGGCCCTTCTTATTCGGATGCCCCAGTAGGTTTGAACCAGCGTTCCTGAGATTCAATACTGACAGTCTCTTGCCAGGAGCGGTGATCATGTCATCATTGAGGCCTTTGAAACATCTCCAACCGCAGAAAAAACTCTTGCCGCCTCGGGAGCATTACAGTGGACCTTCCCAGCAACGGCCGTCTCCTTGCCCGTCGAAGAGTTTAAAGATCCGGTCCTCCAAGCTTCTCTCGCGGACTTTCTCGAAAAGGTGAGCATAGAAAAGCTGGAGCACAGCGCGGCCAAAGCACGGAAAGCTGGAAAGGAGGTGGTTGAGAGCCGTGATACGGTCGACCCAGCCATAATCACCTATTTTCTGATAACGCTACTTGGGGCAAACGGTAGCCATATATCCCCACCAGCATTGCAAAAGCGTGTCAAGGACGATGTGTGCTGGGACAATTCCGAGCTTCCTTGGCGGCGGAGTCCATTTTGGCTTGTGCTTCGAGTGTCTCTTCAGCGCTTGCTTTATCTGTACCTGGATCATGACCTAGGCCGTCTACAGTATAAATTTCTGCTATGCACTGTTCTGGCACATCTCCTCGGCGACCTTATCAGTAACGGAGTCTTGGAGCCGGAGCAGTGGAGCTGGCTAAACACCAAATTGTGTCGCCGATTAGCCAAATTGGAAACAGAAAGACAGACGTCGTCAACAGCGGTGAACACAGTACATGCCCACCTGTCCCAGAAACTTGGACCTGCTTATGAAAATAACGTCACTGCCGCAAGAAACGCCATGAGCAATAAGTGGGAAGCATTTAAAAGGGGTACTAAGCGAAAGATACCGCATTTGCCACTTTATTCCCAGCCCAAAGACCTTCTATTGAGCTTACCCAATAGCATTTCCTATCTTCAAAAGGTTCTGAGTCTTCCCCAGTCTCTAGCACAGAGGACAAGGAATGTAAAGCCTGTCGACTTGTCCACTCAGAGCAACAAAAGCACTGGTGATCAGTTTGCGTCTCTAGTTAGGCGGTATACGTCGATCGCTGAGTTAGAGCTCAAGATTGAGTTGGGAAAGAAAAAGACCCCAACCTCAAAAGACGAAATTGAAGACTTGTGCCTGAAAATTGCCCGCTGGATCAAAGGTTACTTGGACCTTGTAGGGCAATCCGATAACCGAGATCAAGAGCAGATGAGCTTTGTGATTCTGACTGTGCTGGAGCTATGGATATACATGGACAAATGTGCCATAGCTACATATCCCGTCCTCTCAGAGTATCATCCTGTGTTTTTCCCTGAGCTATTGGACGTCTTGCTGTTGTCGACGCTTGCCGATTTGAAGCGACTACAGGAAGTCCAAACATACCTACATAATCGTTGCACCGCGGCCGTTCGAAAGGAAATGACAATTTTCACTGATCCAGTACCAGGATGCTTCGCCGACCGCTTCCTGGAACTCTCAATTGGCAAAGACCTAGTTAAGCTGCAAGGCAAGATCGAAGCCGCATCTTCGGTAGCTCAGGATAAAAAGATGTCTGAGCTGATAAGTGTCAATCAAGAATTCAAATCTTTGACAGAGGCCAAAGATAGTAGTGTTTGCACCCAGCGCATGAACCCCGACGGCACCCATGACATCCGAGGATGCAGCCACTGCTATTATATTCGGCGCCGCCGACGTTTGCAGATCGCCGTGCATGAGGATTACCTGCCTACCGATCACAAATTGTACGAAAAAAGGGCCATTGTATTTGAACTAGGCTTACCTCCTGTGTTTGCCGCGTATCGAAGTGCGACTTGGACCATCATCAATCGTCTGGGGCCTTCAAAAGACTCAGACAATGCAGATCAACCTCATAAATTGCTCCGGGAGCATGCTCCGCTTGCTAGCTACTTGAAGAACAAGTCGAATGGAGGAATTTCCCTTGCATCCTATACAAAATCTCATCTGGGTACACACTACAAATGGAAAAGCTTGCCCGCGTCAACGAGCAGTATTCTTCGCCCTTTTGGACTAACATTCTTGTACTATGATACTGACCGGCAGGTATGGGTCAAAAGCAAGCATGAGCCACTCACATTTGCGCACAATTTTCTTCTTCGTCTCCCCCCAAATCTTCCGTTCTCAAGTTTGTACTCCTCTTCCAATTTTGCCCCCGATGGCCCTGGTCCTTCTTCATACGAGTCCATTGCAAAAATGCGTCATTGCCCGTCTACAGTGACGGTACACGAGTTTTTGGCTCACCAGACTTTGATGTCCGGTAAGCATCGTCGGTGGTTGTCAATCCTCACTGAACTTGGATCTTCCAACATCAATCTCAGCTCGCTAGATGCGATGGTTCTTCTGCGCCACCTTGCTTTGCAAGTCGGTCCCAATTTGGAGGATGACACACTTCGAGTGGTGCATACGGTATTCAGGGATATTCGGTTTTGTAGACGGCTGATTGAGCAAATCGATCAGCACGCTACCACCATAGCACCAAACTGGCGTGAAGTTACTTATATGGAGACTCTACTTACCTTGTCCATTCAGGTATATAACCTTGGCTGCCAAGATTCTAAAGCAGGAGCGGAGGATTTGTTGCTCAAGATCCGCCGCATCACACTGAACTGGATCAGCCACTTGCGCTTAGAGACCAGGAATGCCTTAGAGGTGGACATTGCCGAAAGAGCAGCTCGCTACTGCGTTTTAGCTGCTTTGCTGTGTCGGCGAACTTTTTTCCCAGAGGCTCATGCCGGTGGCACTCTAGATTCGGAAAGCTTCCAGTGCTTTATTGAAGCTACTCTGGCTATGCAGGAAAGTATGGTTATCGATTTGAGCAAATTCGATGACCTTACGCACAGCATGTTAGTACGTGACCTAAAGATGGCTGTTCGACTTCGATCAAGTGTGCAAGCTGCCGTTAAAGCACATCCCGAAAGTATTGCATCTGCTATCGACAACGTGTGGCCTATAAGCGTCACTGGGGGCCATGTATCGTGGCAGAACTTGCCAAAACCTTATGATCTATGGGTGGCTGCTGAGTCTGGGGCCACTGAGCACACCCTTCCACAAACCATCCACATTCACCTACTCGAAGGCCATTTTCTTGTGGATGGGAAACCGCTGGGAAAGCTTCCGGCTGATATTCGCGACTCAGGAATACTAAAAGAGCTCTTTGGTAACCAGAGATTGACCGCCTTTCCATCAAATCGGCCGGGAATGAGTTACACTCTGGCAATTGATAAAGAGGGATGCCAGATCCATTTGGGATATCGGAGCCAAGACCTTGTGATCCAGACTACTACCAGGGATGGAAGGACTCTGGAACTGATTCCACGGTCAGTATTCAGCAAGGGCCAAACTCTTGATTTACCTCTATCTTTGGTTCACCATTGTGTGCATTGGCTTGATCTGAGAACAGGGATTCTCGAGGCTCGGCGTATGCCAGCTATATGGATAACAAGGCCAGGAAACTGGAAGCTGGACATCCGAACTCGGAAGGCGCAGCGCCATAACAAGTCTTACCTAGTTGATCCTCACTCCCAATTAGCGGCGACGATCGCCAGTATGTTTCTTCATTTTGAGCAGCCATCGATGTTGACAATATATCAGCCGCCCGTACGAGGACTTTCTGTTGAGCTGAAACGCATGAATCTGAATTTCCACGTCAACAAGAGAGGACTGTTGCAAAGCCAGCAGCTGGGCGTAGAGATCGATCCGGATCAAGATGCCGGCACTTTGTATGGGCTACAAAGCATGCTAGTTCTTCGCAACGTCCACAATCGTTCTCAGCGCAGTATTATAACCACGCTAGGGAATATTGATTATCGACGCCACGGAGTTCATGTGTTGGTGCGGAAAGAGAATGACGGTGATTATGGAAGATATATGATTGATGATGTTCTCGGCCGACTTCATGGCGCTGCAGAGCCGCGGCTGCTATATACCTTGGCACAGCTACATGCGTTTACATCTTTCTGTATACCTGATCCCCTTACAAGTCGAAATGGGGCAGAGGAAGCGTTGTCCATTCTACAGTCGGCCTATTCGCAGCCATGGTGTCCTCTCAGCTTGGGTGTCTTGGATCTGTTGCAAACCATCTCGAATATCACCCCGTCGCGACAGTATTACCCAAAGGGGGTCAAACGCCTGCAGGTCGTCAATTGGAATGAGAGATTGACAGTAACTATACAACATGAGGCCTATCGACCGACAGTGGATGCAATCTTAGCGAGGTCGCAGAAGCTTTCATTGTTTAATATTGATGGAACCTACCACCAACCACAGATATCCGCAAACGAGCCACATCTCAGCGAGAGGGCCCGCTGGCGCCGATCCTTGCACGAACGTACGGATTCGTCTTGTCAGTCCATAATCAGGCCCTCTGACACCCCCTACATATCACGGGCAAGTAAATTCTCAGCCAACAGCATTTCCAATGTTCGAGAGGTTGTGACCCTACTCCGAGAGCGACCTGCAGTAATTCGAACCACGCACAAGCTTGTAAGCTTCCTACGCAAATGGACATACATTGGTGGTTTCAACGGGAGTTATTGCCCAAGTTCTATCCAGGAGATCTTGTCTGCGGACCTTGCATTGGAGTGGGGGAGCTTGGTGCGCCTCTGCAGAGACTGTGGGCCTCAAGATGCGTACAAGCTCATGTTCCACCTAGGTTTGATATCTTATGGAGATGGTGTCAGTATGGATATGGTGAGAGTTCTAGCTGCCTTTTCTATCTTTCCTGAGTTGAAGGACCTTGAGTTGCCGCCTTATCCTTCTTTCGAAGGCTTCCAGGATGATGGGCCCCCTGATGTTGCCACAGTCATGGCTCTAGTGAAACCATTTTGCAAAGAGTACCATAGTCCAGCTGGCCAGGAAAACCGATCTCGAAAGAAGAACAAAGCATGGTATAAGGAGACTGGGGCGGAGCGCGTGAAGCACGAGACACAATGCCTGACCGAGTGCGAGTCGTTCGCTTTATCCCTCATTAAGGGGTGGCCTTGTTCCGAACCGTCGGCAACTTGGTTCTCAGGAAGTGTCTTGGACGTCGAAGGTGCTATTCAGGAAATCTGCCCGGACTGGCTGCGACGTTACAAGAACCTTCAGCTATCAGGATTCGTTGAAGATGTCCAGAGGGTCTTAGATGCTTCTAGTGCATCCGTAAATGGGTTTAGAAATCCTCCCACTAACCTCAAGCCCAAAATAGTCTGGGCCCGGTCAGCAAGAGCTTCAAAGATCACTTTACAACTGGACCAAGACCTCATGTGCCATCCTGGCCCAAAAGTGGTACCGAGCGCAAGTGTTCAAATACCTCTGAATCAGATGGCATCTGCACATCAGTTAAGCTCTTCCAATATTACGGCACTACCAAGCAGTAAGAGAACTAGGGAATCTCAGATTACGGAGCTTGAGCAAATAGTGCGTGGAATCACGAATTCGGAGTGTTCAGTCCGATCGACATATGGCCAGGACTTGCAGTTAAGCATTGATGCACTGAGGAAGAAGGACGAGCGGCCAATGGATCCACTTGCGGCGGATGACTCTTATTCAGTGGGGATGGCTAAGTATGATAACGAGATCAGGAACGCTCGTACTGCTGTGCGTCGGATTTACGATCTGATATATGAAAAGCTTTCAGCTCGTGACACCAGAGGCCTTTGGTTGCAGCACGGGAACATCTGGCCGTGCATCACCCCAAGAACAATTCTACAGCAACTTCGAACAACTACGCCTATAGCGTTTGAACCGCGTATGAAACAAGCCCTAATCTCGTATGGCCTTGCCATCGTGAACTTGCAGCGTCTAGTTCGTATGCAGGAGCTATTTGCAAAGCATGATCTAAGCAGGCTCGAGCAGGAGCAACGTAGTCCATCACACGCTTCATGGGACTACATGGAGTACCCGGACTGGATTCTGCTGGAGATTGATGCAAATATGCAGATTCGCCAAGAGCAAGTGACTGTCGCACAACAGATGGTTGCCCCCACGTCAGGTTCGAATTCTGTTCTCCAAATGAACATGGGTCAGGGCAAGACTTCGGTTATCATGCCAATGGTCGCATGCGCATTGGCTAATTGCGATAACCTTGTCAGGCTTCTGGTGCCAAAAGCCCTTACGACACAGACCGCACAGGTACTTCAGGGGCGGCTAGGTGGCCTCGTCGGCAGGGAGCTTGTACATATTCCTTTCTCGAGGCGCACTCCGACGACCATGGAGTTGATCGGGGAATATCGCTCCCTTCACGAGGAAGTCAGTACCAGAGCCGGGATAATCTTGGGTGTTCCCGAGCATGCCTTGTCGTTCAAATTGAGTGGGCTACAGAAGGTTTCAGACCTGAAGCTTACCGAGGCTGCCGAAATGATCATGATTCAGGAATGGATTGACACCGTCGGCCGTGATATTCTTGACGAGTGTGACTATACTTTGGCAGTCAAAACGCAGCTTATCTACCCGAGTGGCTCTCAGCTTGCGGTGGACGGGCATCCCGACCGCTGGGAAGCTACTATGGATGTGCTAGGGCTGGTCGCTCAGCATGTACGGGACCTAGCTTCAGCCTTCCCTCATAGTATCGATGTGGTTGAAAGGCCTCTCTCATCATTCCCACTCGTGTTCATACTCCGACAGGATGTGGCGGTTGCACTCAGTGAGCGATTAGTGAAAGACATCTGCTCTGGCCGAGGGTCTGTTCTTCCGGTGCATAGCTGGGGTGTTGCCGAGCAGGAAATGATTAAGCAATTCATCTCTCAAGAAACTTTGGATCCCTCCATCCTTAAATCTATCGAGAGATTGTTCCAAGATGTGCCTAGAGCATGCAAGAGGGCGTACTTGTTGCGGGGGCTAATTGTTCATCGGATACTCTTGCTGTGTCTGAAGAAAAGATGGAACGTTCAGTATGGACTGCATCCAGGGCGTGATCCTGTGGCAGTTCCTTTTCAGGCAAAGGGCGTCCCATCAGAATATGCGGAATGGGGCCATCCAGATGTTGCTATCTTATTTACATGCCTCGCATTCTATTATGGAGGGTTGAGCCAAGAGCAATGCCGTCGGTGCCTCCAGGCCGTACTCAAATCAGATGATCCTGCGACGGAGTATGATCGATGGACGCAGACATCAACAGATATCCCTGAAGCATTGCGGCACTGGAACCTCTTAAATGTGGATGATCATGGCCAAGTCGCCGAATTTTGGCAACATATGCGGTTTTCTATGGTTGTGATCAATTACTTCTTAAAGCATTTCGTCTTCCCTGTTCACGCAAAGCAGTTTGCGATCAAGCTCCAGACTTCGGGATGGGACGTTCCATTCAACAATTCTACTAAGGTTGCCCATAGGAACAGTGCCGGACTGACCACCGGTTTCAGCGGAACAAACGACAATCGTCGACTATTGCCGCTAACCATTGAGCAACACGACTTGCCGGAACTGCTGCATACTAACGCTGAGGTTCTTACCTATCTTCTCCAGGACAGAAATAGAGAATATAGACACGCCTCCTCGGATGGAAGAAGAATCTCTGAAGCTGATCTGCTAACTAATCTGGCAAATAGCGAGATCCGGGTTCTCATCGATGCGGGCGCTTTTATATTGGAGATGGATAACTTGACGTTGGTAAAGACATGGCTCGAGAAAAGCTCCGAAGCTCAAGCTGCCGTGTATTTCGCGCCCGACAACAAGCCCTGGGTTTGGTACAGAATTGGGAAAAAATTACCACTTCTTGCTACACCATACGCTGATAACTTGAAGGATTGCCTGGTCTATCTGGATGAAGCGCACACGAGAGGCACTGATCTTAAGCTTCCTGCGGATGCAAAGGGGGCCTTGACACTGGGGCTCAACCAGACTAAGGATCATACTGTACAGGGTAGGTATCACCGCATTGCCCATCTGAAAGATACGAGGACAGATTGATGATCTAACTAATTGATGCAGCGGCCATGAGGCTTCGCCAGCTGGGCACAACGCAGTCTATTGTTTTCATTGCTCCACCGGAGGTCCACCAGAGCATCTTGGACGTTAACCAGAAGAGCCATGACGAAAAGCTTGACTCTGCTGATGTGATAAATTGGCTTCTTCATCAGACATGCGCAAGCAACGCCGAGCTAGAACCGCTGTTTCATTCCCAGGGTGTTGATTTCTGCTGCCGCATGCAAGCTGCATCGCAATTCCCAAATTTCTTGAATAACAAGAAGGACCGGAAAGATTACATGGCTGTTCTCCAACAGCCTGAGCAGCAAACCCTGGAAGAGCTGTACCAGCCACGTCTTATTGATTGTAATGGGGAGGGGACATCACGAATCAAGATACTACCAGCAGCTGGAAAGGTTGCCAAATTCTTAGAGGAGCTCCAACACAGACGCAATCAGTCCGATCTTCTTCAGAGTGCGATTACGAGCTCTGCGTTGGAAGAGGTTGAACAGGAACGGGAGGTTGCTTATGAAATTGAGGAGGAGAGAGAACTGCAACGCCCACAGAAGCTAAAAGGTTACCACTTTCCTGGGCTACACCCAGCCTTGGCCCAGTTCGCGCAGACTGGCCGGTTGCAAGGCTCAGGGGCACTTTCTGCAGCGAGCGTGCTTCAAGGCACTCATCTAGCATTGAAGTACGGAATCAAGGACACCAATCAGTTGGCTCATCTGCTCGTTTCTGTTGAGTTCACCAGGACCGTAAAGTCAAAGCATAATACAGGGGACGAATTCACGGTAAGAACCTTGACATCCGACGCATGACACATTCTTATCAATTGACACCATTATAGCGTCCCGTGAACTGGCTTCTTTGCAACACCAAGAATGAAACAGCGATCGTGATTATCCCTGAAGAGGTAGAGGAACTAATCCCCATCCTCCGTACCTGCGCTGCTCCATCGACATACCTTATCACATACGCAGCACCGGTTACGAGACGCATGTTGCACTTCGAGCGACTGGACTATTACACTATTCCAACGTTGTGTCCGTCGGATGCACTCCCATCATGGCTCTCATTTGAGGTCGGAATTCTCGCTGGACGGCTGTACTTCGGATACAAGGAGTATGAAGGCATGATGGAACAGATGCAGCTGGGGCCTGAATGGGTTGATGCTAACAGTCCCGCGTCTCGAAAATTGACAAACTACATGAGTTTCTTGCAAGAGTGGCTAGCGCTTCGCCGGCAAGGCCAAGACATATCTCATACACCAATGGGCTATGTATGTCAGCGGAGGCCTCTTCGTGCTGATCATCCTTTCTTCGCAGACATGAATACGAAGAAGGGCGGCGACCATATACTTCGGTCTTCGGGGTACGCGACTGGAACGAAAGAAGAACAGTATTACGATAGCGACGAGGATGACGTTGGTGATTATGCAGTCGTTGAAGACGAGTCATTTGAGGATGCCCATGAGGAGCATGGGAAGGCCGTTGAGCAAGAGGACGACAAGGTTGATGAGGAGGATATCGAGAATATCGAAAATATCGAGGAGAGCAAGTAGACCTAGTGATTGACTTGGGTTCTCATCCTTAAATTGCTCAGATCTAGCTTATCCGGGTATCTATGTCTGCTTCATCTGTGCTGGTTTCAGATGTGATTGCTTTCTTGTGTATCATGACTGGGCTAGTTGACGAACGTGGCTGGGCCATTGAGTAATCAGACTAGACTAGAAGGAGTGAATATGAGAATCAACGATAGTGCCGTCGAATAATCTCGCTACAATCTCTCCGTTGAACTAATCCACCCCTTCCTATTCATCCATAAGTACTATCCCAAGCCATTTACGTATACGTCCGCAATTCCATCCCACTATATAAAGCATCCCTAGACAACAAATAATACTTACTGTTGGCCCTTCGTCAATCTAGTATCCCTTCTCAGACCACCCCTCATCCAGTTCAATGTCCAGATCTACAGCAGCCAGACAAGGTACTCAGTCCCTCTATTAATCCCCAAAGCAAATAACCACCAAGACACCGAGTGTAGTTATCACTATGCAATTGGCACATCTACATCTATGTTAGATCTGATTGTAGTTGCCAATGACACACCGAAGAGCACGGTCCGTCCGTTGCTCAGAAGTAGTCACTTGTTGGTTGGGAGGATAGCATGGCGGAAGTATCAATGACCTTGATGATATTATAATAGCTGAATGACTGCCTTGTCGAGCACAGCAAGCTTTGAAATAGTCATCTCACTAGCGAAAATTAATATTCTGAATCTTAGCCCGCCTGCCGGTTAACAGCCAGATTATAGTTAAGATATAACAGTCAGGTATAACCACTCTACTGATAATACAGTAATTCAAAATATGTGACTCCTCTGATATACTATCTCTGTAAGAAGTCTGTATGAATTATGTATTAATTTCTAATTGTTATTCTAAACCCTATCTATTAGTTCTGAACGACTCACTTGCCGCTTACGTTAGTTCTTGCTGTTTTTTAAACCCAACAAGAGACAGCTAGGCATGTTAATCTACCGTCCGGAGTACTCGTGGTCTGAAAGGCCAAGTGGGCCTTCTCCGGACGATCCGAATATTGGGGGAGACAAGCCGCGTGTGCGGATCCTTTACCCATTTCCATATTCAGCCCGTACTCGTGTTCAGACGGAATAGGCAAGATACGACGTATTATCTTAGATCTTGCTTGATGCTTTGAGGTTTAGATGAGCAATGTTACGTAATCCAACAACTTCATGTCCATCAGAATTCTTGGGCCATTTCCAGTGTGAGGGAAGAGAAATGCTGAATGAGACACCGAGCAACGCCAAATTATTCTCGCAATCCGCCAGGGCGCCGCGTATCATCGTCTATGTACCCAGATTCAAGCTAACCCTCTTTCATGGAAGTATCGTGCGTGCTTTTGATATGACCCCCTTCGAAATGGTACAGTGACAGTAGATAACTTTGTCATCCTCATGTTTGGTTTGGACGCTGCTGCGGGCATCGCCGTCTTATTACGTTTGTTAAGAAAGCATTGGTTGATATAGGCTTCTGCTTACAGAGTCGCGGTTAAACTATTCGTAATCAATAAATCGGGGGAACCTTTGCCGGCGTTGGGGTTGTAGCTCGTTCAGTTTTCTTATCTTCGGGACTTAAGGGGTTCTAGTACGTACATGCACCACCACTGCCGTTCCGATCACTCGCAACATATTCGGCTTTTCCGACTAGCACTACTGTTTCGGGTGGGCTGTCGTCAGGATGTTTGTATAAGGATATCCATGCAAAATAAGTGTCACCTTACTTAGGCAGCAAAGGGGTAGACTGCCACGTCCCACGATTACAGTTCTAGTACTCAGAGTCGTGTTCCAAGGTTCACCCAAACAGGATCCACCCAGGGAACAATAAATAGAATAATATGTCCCCTGCCTTTCGCATTCAAGCTATCTCGATACTCAAGTAATAATTTGCCTTCACCCAAGTCATTCGCTCCTGTCTAAGTTTCTCTACTCGCCAAAAATGAGGGTTGCCCTGATTGCTGGGGTGGCTTCCTTACTCGGCTTTGCCGGTGCCACCTCAAGTTCATCCACGCTAGGCATATTGAAAGCCAATGGTGGTGAGTGAAAAAGCTGCCTTATACCCTCTCCCTCTCCCTCTAAGACCTCTCGGAAGATACTCACAGCATTGGCATTTGGTAGTGGAGCTAGGGGAATGGGAAGCTGCATACGAAAAGGCCTCTGTTTTCGTAGCGAACCTAACCACTGCTCAAAAGGTAGCGCTTATCACAGGCAGTAGCGTCGAGTCAACGAAAGCCAACTTCACTGCATTTTACTTTCTTGATGGCGATATGGGCTTACAAGACTTTTACTATGTCTCCGCCTTCAGTTTATCGTCTGCGCTTGCCATGACCTGGGATCGCGATGCGATTTACTCGCAAGCCAAAGCTGTAGGGTCGGAATTCTACAACAAGGGCATCCAAGTTGTTGCTGGACCCACATCCCAGCCCCTGGGACGTACTGTTTGGGGCGGCCGCAACGTTGAAGGCTTTGGTCCAGATCCTTATCTCAATGGTCTGGCTACTGGTCTCACCACCAAGGCATACGTCGATGCCGGCGTCATTGCTGGCGGTAAAGTCGGTAATCCCCAGCAAATAAAAACGCCTTCTTATACCACATACCAGTTTTGCTGATTCTATATACTCTCTGTCTGCGGATAGCACTTCATCTTTAATGAACAAGAAACCAACCGTTCTGCCAGTGATGCCACGGGGGCTCCGTATTCATCCAATGTGGATGACAAGGCTACTCATGAAACCTATCTCTGGCCCTTCTACGATGCTGTGAAAAATGGCCTCGGCGCTGTGATGTGCGCTATGAACAAGGTAAACGGCACGCTTGCCTGCGAAAACTCCGACCTTCTAATGAAGACATTGAAAACCGAACTGGGATTTCCCGGGCTTGTCTGGCCTGATTTCAACGCTCAGAGCTCGGCCAGTACTTCTGCGCTGGGTGGCGAAGACTATGGGTCAAGTACATACTGGAGTACATCTACTATCCAGAAACTTCTGTCGAATGGAACTCTTTCTGAGGCGCGCTTTAACGATATGGCTATCCGGAATTTGATGGCCTATTATTATGTGCATCTGGATAATGGCCTGCAGCCAACTACCAGACCAACAGACACTTATGTGAAAGTTCGCGTCAATCACTCCAAGCTTATCCGTGAGAATGGAGCCAAGTCCATGGCTCTACTCAAAAACAAAAACGGTGCGCTGCCACTGAAGAGTCCTCACGTTATGGGGATCTTCGGTGCCCATGCCGGCAGTGTTATGGGTGGGCCCAATGGTGCAATCGATGTGGAAGGCTCTGGTCCCACTTACCAAGGCCATCTGGTTACCGGCTCAGGATCTGGAAGGGGTTCAGTCCCGTACGTCATAACGCCTTTGCATGCTCTGACCGACAGAGCATCACAAGATGGGACTATGCTGCGGTGGATCTTGAATGATACCTATACGAGTACTGACAGCTCTTCTCTGGTGGATTCGAGCACGATATACACTAACATTGAACCTTCTTACGCTAACTTTGCCACCGAATCTTCGGTCTGCCTTGTCTTTCTCAATGCTCTCGCCGGAGAAGGTGCTGATCGGACAGAGTTATATAACTCAGATCAGGATAGTATGGTCATTCATGTTGCAGACAATTGCAACAATACTATTGTCATCATTAATACTGTTGGGCCCCGACTGATGGAACAATGGATTGATCACGATAACATTACTGCGGTTCTATATGGTTCGCTGCTCGGACAGGAATCGGGAAATTCCATCGTGGATATCCTTTACGGCGATGTCAACCCCTCCGCCCGCCTGATCCATACTATTGCCAAGAATGAGAGCGACTATAATGTCGGCATCTGTTATACCGCCCAATGCAACTTCACCGAGGGTAGGTAGAATGTCACTGTTCATTTTTGACTTAATTTTTATTCACCATGGTCTGAGAAAGAAGGATATATAAAGCTGACACGTGCCGAATCGAATACTTCTAGGGGTTTACCTGGATTACCGCTACTTCAATAAGCACGACATCACCCCGAGATATCCATTTGGGCATGGTCTGTCATACACTACCTTCGATTACTCCGACCTCCACATCACGGCGCCCTCGTCAATTAGCAAGGCTCCTCAGGGCAAGAAAAGCGTTGGTGGTCCCAGTGATCTCTGGGATAACGTGGCCTCAGTTTCCGTCTTGATCACTAACAACGGCACCTTGGCCGGTGCAGAGGTGCCGCAGCTGTACATCGAGTTTCCCGAGGCCGCTGACCAGCCAGTCCGGCAGCTTCGTGGGTTCGAGCGGGTCGAGATTGATGCTGGCGGTCACTCGTACGTCACATTCGACCTTCGTCGCCGCGATCTCTCATACTGGGACGTCCTGGCTCAGGAGTGGCTCGTCGCCTCCGGCTCATACAATGTCTACGTTGGCGCGAGCTCACGCGATCTGAGACTGAATGGAACGTTCTCTTTGACTGTTACAGCCTAATCAGTCAATGACTCTTTCCTACTTCGTGAACCGTTCTGTCAACGGTTTGCCCAGGCACGGGTTTATTCTTTGCGCTTACCTCAGTCGGCCCGAATAACCCGTTATAAATAGTCTATGGTCAATGTATCTTCTTCATCATCTCGCTTCGTCATGATGTGAACTTGTATAGTATTGTTTTTTCCTTTACTAGACCGATTATGAGGAATCCAGTTTTTGTTAAGCGCTGATATAAAGTCCTTTTCTAGAAGAATTTGCGATGAGGAATAGAGTTATGTGGATCATAAGTCTCAACACGTTGAAATAAGTATGTACCCATCATCTAGACTACCTTTAGAATTTCTATCTTAATTTGCCTGTATTCCTTCTAGTAGATAGGAAAATCCTATTCATACGTTCCTCATCATTAACAGAAGTCCGCTGTTTTATTCCAATATTAAAAAACTAAACAAATAAGTCTGAATAATTTTATAACAGTAAGACTGGATTTATAACTTCTTGAATATTTTACAAGCAGAGAAGTGAAAGTAAGGAGCATAATAAAATTGGTATTACTTGACTATCTAGAAACATACAACAGAACAAGCGTATACTTGGATTGGTGGTCCGAGCACAGCCACGTGACAAAGCCTACAGTAAGATTGCCTCAATGGCTCTTTATAGCTGTTTATAAGAAGCGTGGTGATAATCCTTCGCCGTCGGTATGGAACTAGCGAGCATTGTGAAGTAATCCCAAGTTGTCTTCTCGGGAGGGATGAATTGGGACAGAGGACTGCGCTCTCAAAGCTCCGTTCTACTACCCCTAGTAAGCAAATTTCAGTTACTTCAACTTGATTTCCCACGGCCTTGGAGTTCGTATCTGACTCGGTGAACACTTCTACTGCTGGGGAAAAGCACAGAATTCACGATAGAAGATCTCCGTGACAACCCAGTCGTACTGGGGCTTTGTTACCTTTTCGCAGCATATCCTGCTGCTTGCTGTGAGATATCATTAACTGAAGTGGTATGTGATGGGTGGTCCTCGAAGGGTCAATGTTGCAGCAAAGGATCGGGCGATGCATGCTCGGTGCAGCATAAATGACGATAAGCGCCACCGCTGCGTAAGCCGGGATTACCTTGAGCTCTTTGGCGACAATGTCCAATAACTTCAGGGTAGACAGCCACATCTGACGAGTTAGTCGGTCTCTCGTATCAATCCGAGCCGTGACCCCGCCTTGCTTACTGGCGACTGTTCCGAGCGCAGCTGGGCTAAAATATTTATGAGACCGATTTCCCGGCACTTTTGGTCTCACATCATGAGAATCCATTCACAAGTCCATCGTCATGAAAAGAGATACTTCATCATTATCCGACATCCAACCAGTGTACGACTATGTCGTCGTTGGGGGAGGAACTTCCGGGTTGGTCGTGGCCAGCCGATTGACTGAAGACCCCGCAGTCAGCGTTCTGGTCTTGGAGGCTGGAAGCGATCGTGTCGACGATCCGCGTATCGCAGCCCCTGGCCTCTCGGCCAGTACCTACTTTGACCCTGAGTTCGACTGGGGACTTATAAGCGAACCTCAGGTATATATCCAAATCTCTCCTTTAGTGTCTCACTCACATAAATCAGGAAGGCCTTAATGGCCGACGCCTTGCTCAATCCCGCGGCCGAACACTAGGAGGCTCCTCGGCTATCAACATGGGAATGGCAATCTACCCTAGCCGTAACGATATCGATGCATGGGAGCAGCTGGGAAACCCGGGCTGGAACTGGAAGTCTCTATCCACCTACATGCGAAAATCGCAGACATTCATACCGCCATCGAATGAGGTTCGGGACCAGCTATCGCTTGGCTATGTTGATCCAGATGTTCAAGGGACCGATGGACCCATACAGATTTCATTTGGCAATGGGCCTTTCCCGGCATTCACTGCCGCCTGGCCTCGGACATTTGAGGCTTTAAATCATCGGCTCACAGGCGATCCAATGTCTGGTCGGGCCAATGGTGCCTTTTGCAATCCGGCTACAATTCACGGAACCTCACGGGCTCGTAGTCACGCGGGCGTCGCCTATTACACCCCCGAAATAGCGCAGCGCTCTAACCTCCGAGTCATTACTGAAGCATTTGTGGAGAAGGTTTTGCTCGGCAAAACAAATTGTGTCGATGACGGCCAGGCCATCGCGACGGGCATCCAATTCCGAGGGAACGATGGAACTCAACGCACAGTGGCCGCAAGAGCCGAGGTTATCCTGGCAGCCGGCACAATCAAAACACCGCATCTGCTAGAGCTCTCAGGCATCGGTGACGCCAAGCGTCTTCAAGAGCATGGTATCAATACCCTCATCGACAATCCTAATGTAGGCGAGAACCTGCAAGAACATGGCCTCGTCCCATTTACCTGGGAGGCTGCCGATGGCCAGATAACTGGGGAAGCCTTACGCGACCCTGAGGTAGCCAAAGCCGCCATGGAGGCGTGGCAGTCTTCGGGGGCTGGGCCATTAGGTTCCCACCCACTAGCTTCGGCTTTCATGACTCTCCCGGAGCTGGAAAAGGGTGAGTTATCTGGCCTCATAGAAAAGCACCTGAATGCGGACAGTTCAGCCAGACAAACCGCGCAGTACCGTATCCTCCGCCAATTTCTCGAAGATGCCGACGAGCCGACGTGTCAGTATACGCTAGCACCATTCCAGATGACGCCCGACAAAGGCCCCGATTCTAAAGGTACCTTTAGCATGTTGGAGCCAGGAAACTATGTTAGTATAGTGGCTGTCTTGAACAGGCCATTTTCCCGAGGCTCAGTACACTTGGCCTCCTCAGATCCGACAGAGTTGCCGACCTTCGACCCCCGTATGCTGTCACATCCACTCGACCTGGAAATCCAAGCGCGCCATGTAATATGGCTTGAGACGCTGGCAGCCACCGAGCCCATGGCATCGCTGCTGAAGCCCAACGGCCGTCGACTGCATTATCCGACGCGCGTGACAAGCTTAGAAACAGCGCGGGAGCTCACGCGGGACCGCTTACTATGTCATTATCATGTTTTAGGAACAGCAGCCATGATGCCGCGAGAACTTGGAGGTGTGGTTGATGATCGGCTGAGGGTATATGGGTGTCGAAATTTGCGCGTGGTGGATGCCAGCGTGATTCCATTGATTCCTCGCGGCAATATCCAGACGACAGTGTATGCTGTGGCCGAAAAGGCTGCTGATATTATCAAGGAGGATAGATTGGCTTCACTGTGATGGTATTTGGCTCTCAGTAGCTTGCGATATGATGGTATCAGGCTTACTCTGGCGCGTAGAGGCACAGTCACTCAGCTGATACTGGGTCTTTCTTTATGCTGCCAAGTGTGTGAATTTGATACGAAGCACATGCATATCTTTTTGCTAATGCGTTTGGAAAGGATCTGGCCGTTAGTCGTGATCAATAAAGACAAATTTCCCATTTTCTGATGGTTTCTGGTCAAGGGGAAGGGTGAGAAATCTGTGTGAAGTAATAGCTAGAAGGCACGCCTTATATCACCTGACCTACACTAGAATAGAGAGGTGACCTTCTACCGTCTCTCAAAATTGTAGGCCCTTGGCTTCCATTGACCTTGTGCGCTGTGTATTTGTTTCATTCTTGACTTCTAAGTAGTACTGGTCCAAGCGGGCTCAACCCTCAAGACGCCAAAATCCAGTCAACAACGATGTAACAAATACATTGTGTTTCGTCATAGTACGCAAGTGGATTCCCAACTAAACTCACAAATATAGTACAAACATAGGAAAGGTATCAATCATGACTCGTGACTCGTATCCTGCAAAGAACCACACAACGCGATACCCGAACCAAATTATAAAGAAACTTCACGATAGAAATACATGCTAAGAATCGTAACTTCGTATAAACCAATCTGCCATATCCTCCACTATTGACAAACATCCGTATCGATCATCAGAAGGAACATTACACGTGTCCTAGAAACCTTTTGTCAGCGCCATCCTTTACACAAATGTAGGAAGAAAGAGTAACATACTTCCCAACGGCTTCGCCCTCTTCGTAATCGACTTCACCTGGTCCTGCTTCATCTTTGCTGCGCGCGCCCTGTCACCCAGAGTCAGTCTGTCTTAAGGGCAATACCTAATGAGAAAGAAACTTACTCCATCTTTGCTTCTTCATCCAACCTTCTCACATGTTCTCTGGCCTCACGCACCGCCCGCTTCGAAGCCATCAGGGCCCGATCAGCCTCGCGCTCCGCAGCTTCTGCACGGGAGACCTGTTCTTTAGCGGCGAGGATGGAAGGGTCTTCGTTCTTTCTGCTGTGACCGAATAGGGAGTGGCTGTGGTGGCGGGAGGAGGAGGGAGAAGTGGAGGATGACGAATGGTAGGAGCCGGAGCCGGAGGAGCGGTGGGAGCGACGGTGAGAGTGAGAGGATGTAGTGTTGGGGTCATCGATACTGCTCCGGTCGGAGCTGGAGTGGGAGGAGGAGTGGAAGAGGGGCATGTTGGTGATTCTTAGTAGCTTGTGGGTAGAGTGTAGTGGAGCGATTTAGGCCAGTGTCTTGGTTAGTAGATTAGAGATGAAAATGTAGATGGCTGGGACGGTGGTAGTGGTGTATATAGCTTTCCCTTGGTCTTCACAGTCCAGGGTATCAAGGACATACGTAAGTGGCGATTGACGCGAGACGGTGAAGAGAGTTTAATTAACTGGTTTATGATTATGGGCTGCGGCGTCTCGTTGATCGTCGGAGGAATCCTATAATGCCCACGTGTTGTTGATATTTACCCCAGGAATGAGAGAACTGATAGGACCCATGGTAGAGGGATGACGATATACTGGGCGACATAAACAATGCGAGTGGATGTGTGGTTCCGCGATGATGTCAAAGGGACCGTTGTGCCGTCCCGATAATAAAGCTTCGGAGGATAATTGGTCGCAGATCTGCGGTGACATCAGATCCGCCGGACGTGGCATCCCAAATATGGGCCAGCAAGGGGTGGTGTTGTTAACTGCAATAGGTCTTGTCAATCAGTCAGTGGCTGAAGAGGAAGCTTTTTTATCGTTGCACGACCTCATAGCTGGAGGTAGCTGCAGTAAGGGCATTTGGAGCTTCAGCACTAGAGTATAGTGGCTTCTTAGCAGATGCTTATGCCTAGCCTTCTCCACAGCCCCCGACATACCGGAATATCCTGTGGAGAATATTGGTCTGCGTTGCTATCCGTCTTTGTCTTTTTGTAATTATCTTGGCTCATGGCACTGGTGTCGCTATTTCTAAGGTCGATATGTCTCTCATACAATTTTTCCGTAGATCATTTGACAATCGCAGATGGCATTAGAGCGACGGTACTTGCAGCACTTTCGACCTTGTAGCCTCTGACAATCTCGGCTATCGTGTCGTAGGTCTCTTCACTCTAGGGCGCTCGCCAACCTCTCGTTGACGCACATCAGGTAGTTGTAGCTTCGACCAGATGCAAAGTATACTGCACATAATCAAATTAGTATGCCTCTTGGTGTTTTGTCCGATTTTGCAGACTCACCAATCGCCGAAATACCACGGACTTCGATAATACTGTCTGACCAAGGCGTATTGCCTCTGCGAAAGGTGATGATCCAGGAAGTTCCCCGGTACTCGTTTGAGGCCTAGGTTTTCAGGCAGGTTAGCAAAGCTCATGACAGGCCCAGGAAGCAGACATCATGCCTTCATGATCGAACTGCTCGTGGAGAGATCGTATAAACTTTTCCACTGTAATGAAGTGCGGCGTCCCTGCTAAGTGGGTATAGTTCTTCACGTAAATCGATACCTATAAACATCGTTAAGGTATGTAGATAATCTTTATTGATGTAGTGGATTAGACTGGACTTTAGCCGAATATTCTATCTGAGATGTCCCTCTAAGATCCAAATTCTGGCCACCTTAATGAGCTAATAGCTTCAACACTAATAGAAAAGCTCACAATGACGACCCTACCATATCTGATGCAGCCATGATCAATCGACTCACCACCATACTTCAACACAAATTTCTCATCCGCTCAACCCCCTTCCTCTCCAGAAACCCCATTTATTACCCTGACATTAGCATCTGTCATACCACACCCCATCCCATCCCCAAAATGCACCCCTCCAAACTCCTTCATCCCAAACGAACAATCTCCTCCTCAAACAAACTCCTCTCAGCTCTCCTCACATTCATCCTCCTCACACCCTGCCTAGCAGACCACAGCACCACAAAAACCACCAACACCACCGTGATCTACGACTGGGAGACACCCGATCAGAATCTCACGGTGGTCTGGGATCAAGATAATGCCGAGACTGTGAGCGTCTATGGGAATGACGCGGTGATAGTTAAGCGAAGGATGATGATTCCGAGCTCAATGGTCGCTGCTGCGTATTTGCTTTTGTGAGATTTGGGGTGTATCTGTGGTAGGATAGGTAGGATGATATGGGTGAAAGTATGTTGATGTAGTTGGTTGGGTACTTTGTTTCAATGCTGTTTTGATCTATGGTTGAAGTAGTAGCTATGGTTGGGTGTTCGTCTTGGTGTATCGCTAGTAGTAGTAAGTAGACTTGGGGTTATAGAGATACAATCTGGAATTGAAGAATTCATACTATCCAACTTTATTGAGAGACATCGAGGTGGGAGTAATAATACAGTTACTAGGAGTAATAGTAGGCAGGTTAAGGAATGTGTTCAGCTGTGGGTGTTTACACAGACTCGAGCTGTAGAGTCATGACTATCCCCAGTTGTATACTAAAGATATATTTCCCCGGGTGACCACAGCAAGCACCACTGAACACTACCATCATATGCTGAACAAACCACCCCACCCTATACGAACGCACATACATTAACCCAGGAACGGCCCCAAACAAAACCTCATCCTTCCTTGGCAAGGCTTAAAAGGAATATTCAGGGGAAATGCAATGCAATGCAGCATGAGCTCTGTCCTGTCTCTCACCTCAGCAAAAAGCAAATGCCAAGACATGGTGGGTCCAAAGCCGAAAGAAGGAAGGGCTCTTAAACTCCGCCGCAATACAGAGTTTGGGTCGATATCCGCTTAGAACCCACTCATCCACACTCACACTCGTTTGCAGAGATTTACAGAGCAAAAAAGATGACCGACGCAGGACTCGAACCTGCAATCTCTTGATCCGTAGTCAAGCGCCTTACCATTGGGCCAGCCGGCCTTGTTGAAGACTATGAGTAGGAAAGAGGTTTATATTTCAGATGGACACATCGATTCATTCTAATTTAAATGGTATTCATATGGACAAAAATCACGTGGGTATGTATGCTATGCTACATTGGATATCATGAACGTCGACACAGAGACACAAGGAGAGGGCTGTAATGTACAGGTGAACGTCAGGGGTAAAGAGAGAGAGAAAGAGAACGTAAGGAAAGGAATGAAAGAGAGAAAGATCATGGGAATGATTGGCGCGTCTAGGTTCCTGATCGCTGTAGGGTTCAAGAAGGGCTTCCTTCTCGGAGATAGGCTCGCCCTCTTCGATGCGGATGATGGGAATGTTCTGCTGCTGCTGCCGGCGGCTCGCCGCGCACAAGTAGATAGAGATGATGAGACGACCCAGCAGGAATCCAACAATGCAGGCAACTCCACCAGCCATGATTCCCATCAGGGCGGGGAGGATGACCGGACGAGCGATCTTCATGATGCTCTGTTCACGTCCAGTCCAGAAGAAGTGGCCGCTCTGGCTTGAGGGGTAGTACTTGTTGGAGGAAGGACGGCGGTGGGGGTGGGAGTCCGAAGAAGATCCAACCGTCTTGTGAGGGTGCTCGTGGGAGTGTTCATGTTCATGTTCGTGCTTCGGGTGTTCAGGCTTGACGCAGTTCTTGACGGCCTCCTTGGCATGGTTGTAGTATGTTTCGAGCTGTTCCTTCCAGGCCTTCATCCGCCATACACGGTTTCCGTGACCGTAATCGCGGCTACCGTTCGGGTCGATCATCGCCAGCTGCAGACCACCCTGGGCGTCTCTGATTAGACTGATCGCGATGGAGTTCTGCGTGGCAGCTTGACCGTGCTGGTCGAAAAGCCGGAGCTTGAGGTAGTAGATATCGCCCAGATCAGCGCCAGGGCGAGCAGGCAGCGGCCGTACGTCCAACGAGTAGGAGACCTGAACCGGCTGAACGAATGACTCCCACTTGCGATCCGCTGTAAACTGCATCGGTACGGTAGCTGGGAAGATGGGTTGTTTGTTGGCTCGAAGGGTGCCATTTTGGGTGGAGAAGTCGATGGTCTATCGGGGGTTGTTAGTATGGATTATGGTCGACTGCGTTGATACCAACGTGGAAGACGTACCAGTTGTGAAACAGAGTCGAAGGATTCAGTGCAAGTCGAGTCGGAGAAAGCGCAGGGGATAGCAGGGAGGTTGATTTGATGAGATCCAGTGGTAGAACGCAGTTGAGGCGCAGGTAGAGCCGCGGCAGCTGCAGTAGTGATGCACAAGGCACCCGTTGCGGATAGAAGGCGAAACAACATTGTCGTGGGTAGATGGGATGATGGATGATGAAAGAGTGACAGGCAGTCAGGGATGAAGGTAAAACAATGACCGAGTCGCGAACGGGAGAAACTTTATAGAAGTACTTTTTCTATCGCAAAAGCAAGTAAGGAGAGACTGAGGAACTAATGCAGAACGAAGAGCGACCGGGCGAAGCATATAAAAGCGCATCAGATCAACCGACGATGACAACATTCAGCGCTAACGGAGGGGCCGAAAGTAATTGGGTCAGTGCAACTTGCCAAAGAAGTTAAGAACCTAACTTCGACAGGACCAGCACCAAAAGGAGTAAAGAGGAGGAAGCTAAGCTAAGGCTGAGCGACCCTGATTCACCGAGGCAAATGCAGTTGATGGGCTGCTCCGCCTGTTCTGATTGATCTGATTGATCGCGCGGATCGTCTTTTCCTCGCGACGGGAAGCGACGCCGTCCAACACAGCCTCGCCTGGCCGTCTTGTTGGTTTCATGGTTTGCCCTTTTTGGGGGCCAGCCACCCTTTCGCTTCCTTCACCTCTTTCATTTCGTTCTACTTTCTACTGAAAAACGCCAAATCGCCCCCAAGATAAACTAACTAACTATCCCCGTCAGCCACGCTGATGCAAATGCAGCGATCCGTCTATTCGAAACACCCAGAAAAGCGACTGGTCTTCACTTTCACGAACAAAGCACCACTACTCGGGTTATGGAACAACGGCGCTGAGAAACACCGCCCTCCGCCCCAAATCACTAACTAGACTACAAACTAGACTATCACATGCTCTGTCTATCTAGCGGCTATCTAAGATTCTAGGTATAAAATTCTGCCATACCAGTGGCTATTTCTGGCCCAACTGTCTTGGATTTAGCGTGAGACAAGTCAGGGTCCACATTGCACCACGCGATGAACCGTCACTCACCACTCGCCGACAAGAAAATCTACCAATGGCAAAAGCCTCACTGGCCCCCACGGGCCATTGAGGCATAAACGGACCAGCCAATGCAGTCATAGCCATGGGAAGCTTAGCAACGAGGTTATCGAGACTAGCTGGCTGGCTGACAGTAAGACACGGCTTGCCTGCCCCTTGGGCAATTTTGGCAATTTTTCTCTTGCATTTTGGCTTTGACTATGACTAAACTTTCCGCCTCCCCCTGACACTTTACCAATAATCTCTCTCTCTCTCCACATCGGCCTGTTCCGACCGTGAAGGTGCAGCATAAAGAATGGAATCAATGGAAGAAATTTCTTTCTGCCGATCATCTAACCAGGTTACCTCCGGACATGATTCTCTCCGCCCCTTTGTCTTGCCGAGTGCGCCCCCGAAAATCCCCCGATGCTCTCTTATGCCCGACGCTTTTCTGATCGTGAATCTGCCTAAAGACGGGCTCCGCGGCCACCGCCTACTAGTAGTACTTGCTAGGCAGCCATGGTTATCTCCGATCACAATTGGTCCTCGGCATAGCTGGGGAACTACTAGGCACCAAACATACGGAGTAGACTTTTTTTTTTTTTTTTTTTTTGTTTTGTTTTGCGGCTTCTAGCCATCCAGTGTCACCGTTGCCGTGTCTCAACTAACGTGCAGTGGGCCTGGCGACTGGCACGTTTTAGATCAAGCTCTTCAAGTCGTGGCATCTACTCCGACCAAGCATTCTAGCGCCAGCGCTAGCGGAGGAATTGCTGCTATTTTTACTGTTACTAATGGCTGTCAACTGTGGTCTGAGAATTTGCCATGTCTCACTGCAATTAGAGACTATTTACCGGACAATGGGATGGTCTTCCCAATTGTCTGAATTTTCAGAGGTTCAAATGCGGCTCAATGCCGTGTTGATCATTGGCAGAGTAACAGATTGTGGTTGCATTCGACATCCAACTTAATCATAAGCACTAGCAACCGTACTGAATATGCAGGGTGCAAATCAACCGGTGGGTAAATTGACTTGGGGCGATATGGTGGAAAAGGACTGAATCTCACTCAGGCGCTTCATCCAGTAATGTTCCACCAGAACCGACACCGATCCGAGTTTACAGGATCGGAAGTTATCGCAATATCTTGCAATCCCAGGTTCATCACGAGCCCATCTTTCGCGTATTGCTCCCAGTCAGTAGTATTGATTTCAGTTGAACTGGGAAAGCCTTGCTTCACGAATGTAAGGAGATAATCCTGCATTGTTAATGCGAGGCTCTCGTTGAATATGCCCAGTTCCGCGTCTGGCTGGGAATGGTCGTAGAAATTGAAGGCCACATCTTGGGCATGCAACCCCGGTGGCACGCTGAATACCGACGCATATGAGGTGTCGAACACTGTATCGAGGTAGAGGTTCTTGCATTGGAAGAATGCATCGCTCATCAAAGTAGATGTTCGCTCTAGGGGACTGCTATATCCCAGTGTCTCTGATGATGAAGCGTTGTAGACGGGGGGATACCAATCTTGGGCGATGCGATCCACAGTTTCGGGCGCTAGACCTGGGACATAAGTCTGGATAATGGATTGGAAGGCAGAGCTGTTCATGCCGACTGGTGGGGTGAAAGTCAGCCCTTCGTTGGTTGCGTGGCTTGTCATCACGCGGACGTTCTTCCATTTGAAATTAGGATCAAGCAGAAGCCGGCTGGGAAGATCCGTTATGAAGCTGTTGTCGACGACTGGCCCATATGTGAACGTTCCATATATCGATGTGGTGGCGATTTGGTAGGCGTTTGCAGTGATCAACTGATCTGACGGGAGTTGACGTGCTTCTTCAACAGAGGTCACGTTCAGTAACTCCAGGAAGTCGCGTAGGCTCGACTTTTGCTGTTGGACCGATTGGGTATACCACCCTGGACTTTGGATGATAGCCTGCTGAAAAGGCAGGTCTCCCTGACCCCTGTTGTCATTGCCCCCATACGCTGCCAATTGATGGACGATAGATCCACCTCCCGCAGACTCACCCATGACAGTCACTCGATTCGGATTACCGCCAAACAGGCTAATATACTCCTTCACCCACTCCAGCGCCAACCGTTGATCATGAAGCCCAGCATTACCCATACCCTCGCCATCAGACAACCAGCCAAATGCTCCCAGCTTCGAAGGTTAGCCACACCAAACTTGAACACAAATCAACAATTGGGTCGGATCCCACTCACCCGATAGTTCACCGCAACATACACAAAATCCTCCCCAGTCTCTAATCCCCTCTCGAAAAGCCCCGTTGGCAGCACCTCCGTCTTGTCGCCATAAGCAAACCCTCCACCATCGAACCAAACCAGCACCGGCGCAGTTGCGGATGGCTTCTCAAAAACACTTTTAGGCACGACCACATCCAGGAACAGACAATCTTCCGTTATCCTTGAATCTGCGGGTGGCCAAGCAATCGGATAATCGCTCACATCATCGGACCCGTTGAACGGCGTGCCAAGCAGAACGCTTTCGACGAAGGGGACCAAGATATCTGCCGACCATATAGGTATCCCTTGGGGACAGACGCGTCCAACGGAGCCGGTTTGAATCTCGGTTCTGTTAACTGATGGAGGAAGTGGTGGACGAAAGCGCCGAGTGGTTGTCGGCGGGGCGGCGTAGCGGATGTTGCTGAAGTTGTAGGCTTGGGTTGATTGCTTGGACAATCGGGCCAAGTTAGGATACGTGAGTGCTAGTAGTTTGGTAAAGGTAAAACTTACATCGAGAGTAAATGCCTGGTGAAGCTCATATCCCAGATCTACGATAGGTAAAGACGTGTTATATGCATATGATGGGGTGATAGAGGAGAGAAGAGTGAGGGGGAGTATATAGCTTCTCTTGCCGAGATGCATGGTAGGCAACCAAACAGCTGGATAATGATTCCCAGCGAACAATATGAAATTCTGCGTGTGATGATTGAGATTGTGAACTGTCTAAATCCGAAGCGAGTCGACGAAGGAGTGAAATTTAGTGCTGGGGAACTCTTGGAGAAGAGTAAATCGGAGGATAATCGAGACGGTGTAGTTATGGTTCAATAGTATATGTCGGCGTCGCATTATCGCAACCTAATGACTCGACAGAGGGTCGCAATGATGGTATCTTGCATCTGGCATCCATAACTTATATGTACAAGATCAGCTAAGTAGCGGTTTATGTAGAAACCCAAGCATAAACCTCCTGAGACACATCATGGAACTGTGATGTTTTCGGCAACGCCATGCAACATCCGCAACCGAACCATCCTCCCGAATCCGGAATGTCACACACCGAGTAGGTTCCTTCCGCATCTTAAATCCGTCAGCAGCGCCACAAATAATTACAAGCCATTTGACATATGAGCAAATCCATTCAATACCACTATACTATGTTCACAATTACCAATCATACCCAAAATCCAACCCATCTCATTCATCTACAAATCATCCACCTCCCTTATCCCCACCCCGAACATGCCATTCGACTCCACCGCACTCTCGTCCTTCAATTTCTCCGCGGTCTCTACGCCCCCAGCAGGAACCTTATACTCAAATCTCTTCCCTGGTGCGGGTGTCTTCCCGCCCGGTAGCTGGTACGGAAAAGGCAACCACTGAGGTAGGAGGCCCAACTGCACGAGAACTGTCGCTTGGTCCCATGCGATGTGCTCGTGGTAGAGCCGGTCGCCGCGGATGTTGACGACGGAAGTGAAGGGGATGCGGAGCGGTTTGTGGGTTGGGGGGATACCGGGGATTCTGTCACAACCTTGTCAGCTACTACTACTTATGTGCTTTGTTCAATATGTAGGAGCATATTGAGAGGTGAACATACAACCAATCTACCTCCTTGTCATGTGTAAAGGAGAAAATAAACTCGTCCACGACGCGATCAATACCCACAGTACGACTTATCAGCTCTAGGGCGGTGTCGTCGGGGTTATTGAAGATAAAATGATGGAGGTAGAAGTTGCTTAGTTTGGCGCGGCCGATGCCGCCGGTCATCTATGCTTGTCATTGGTATGAGGATAACTGACGGGGCAAGTAAGTGGCTTACTGTCGGGATATGGTTCACGTATGGTTCTTGAACCATCGTGGCCATGGTCTTCTCGACTGACCGAACATCGAATTGGTAGTACGTGTGCTCGGCCCAGATCTTCTCCAGGTCGAAGTATGGCCCGTTCAGATGGGTTTTGAGGAAGGTGAGGGAACGGGTATGTGCTACGCTGGCGGTGGAGTATTTGAAATCCAGGTGGCCAGGGATGATGAAGCCTGGAGAGGATACGTCAGGGTAGACGTAGTTAGTACCATTGGTAGTGGGTGCTTGGGATCCCGGGATGTGTGTGAGGGATGGAATGTTGGAGGCAGCATCCCAGATGCTGTGGTATACTGTTGCTGCAAATTGATTGGTGCCGCTGATGTGGTCCAGCAGTGAGTGGATGAGTGTTGGGGCGTAATCGGATTGAGAGCCGTAGACTAGGCATTCGGATTAGTCTGCTTGAAGGAAGCTATGGATGGAATGAGTATAGACCTAATATGCCAAATTTCTGCTTGTTATTGCACTCAGGCAGGGCGATTAAGCCAGCGATCGCGCTGTCAACTCTGACCGACAGTAGAGAAGCGTTTGCGCTAGAATCTATGTCGAAAGTGATCTGGGCAACTGCATAGCTTTCCTCGGCCCACTTTTGAAGTGGCTCTGGGTCTAGACTGGTGTTCTTGCTTTGGCATTCTGTAACATTGGCTGGTCTTATCAGTACCAGGCCTGGTCCCTGTCCGCACCGTGACAGAGGGGGCTGAAGGATGATGTTGTCGCCCAGGTTGACGCGCGGCGCGGATGGGAGGGATGTGGAGTTCGAAGTCATTATAGATGGGGAAACACTGGCACCACACGCGATACTTCAGGACCGGAAAGTATGTTGCAGGGAGAAATGACCTCTGGTGGAAGTTTCATGCTGCAATCTTGGCTATCGGCACGGCGGAACGCGCCCCGCAGTCTGCGGGGTTAGATCCGAGATTCTGCTGCGGCACTTATCGTCGGTTGTCTATCGCGATTTGTTGCGGCTGTGGAGGATTGTTGCACAGTTTACTACCTGGATTCAACCTAGTAGGAAATGCTATGATACCCAATATCCTAGCACAAACCGGGCATCTGTTTTGATATGTGATTTGCTCAATGGAGAAAAGAGGACGATGGTGCCATTTACTCAAATGTTGAGTTACTGGTCAGGTATGAGAATTAGAACCATAGATAATCAGACTGGAGTACGATTGCTCTTCCTATCCTTCTCTTCTTTCGTTGTAACCACGACATATCCTACGATCAGTCCATAGGTATACCACTACAGACTGAACCATTGATTGAAAACATTGTCAGGGTCATACTTTGCTTTGATGGCTTTCAAGCGGTCGACATTTTCACCATATATGACTGACAGTTCCTCATCAAAGGCGAAATTGATGTATCTAAATTCAACCATAGAAGTTAGTTTTGCAAACATACCTAGAGGGGGCACATACACTGCTGGTGAGTCCAATCCATCAGTAGACCGCCATAAATCACGCATTTTAGATGCCCACTTTCTCGCGTCCGATTCAAGGCTATCATCGAAATACCACGCTATAGCCATCGCGTTGAAGTTTACCTTGTTTCTCCAGGCGTAAGCTGACGAATCCTGCCCAAAGAAACGCGTCTTTTCGAGTGGAAACGCCTCCAAGAGGACCAGACTTTGACCGGTGCCACCCAGGGAAACGAAAGCAACATACTCCTCCCAGGCCTCTTTCCAAGTGCTGCTAACCATCCGGCTAAGTCCGGCAGAGTATGGAATTCTGAACCCACTCTTTGAACAGGCTATGCTGGACGCATCAGTCCAGTGAGCGTACTCAGTTGCCATCGTGGTGTCATTAGTTGGACCTAGGTCGAAGAAACATGAGAATGCAGCTCGCCCTTTGTCTTCGGTACCGTAGTAATATAGCATTAGAGAAACCATAGGTATATTGTCTGGTTCACCACTGGTCATAAAATATAGAAAGACGCTCATCTCCGGTTCTAAAGTTATTCTGTCCATTGTTTCCACCAAGGCCTCCAATTTGTCGGCAGAAAAGACAAGTTGCCCCGTCCAGGCGGCTTTGCCAGAAGCTAGAACCGGGTATGATTTCATCTTTGCGGACGTGACAATGCCAAAATTAGGGCCAGCACCGCGAAGAGCCCAGAAGAGATCTATATCTTTCGGGGTTATTGTATGCAGGCAACCGTCAGCCATGACCAGATTGAGAGATATTATATTGTCGATTCCGAGGCCGACCATGCCCATCAGGCTACCATATCCGCCCCCAAGAAGAGCGCCCAGAGCTCCAATACAGTTGCAATTGTTTGTCTGAACTAAAGCGTTATTCTTGGATGAAGCCTCAATCACCTGAGCAACAGAGGCGCCGCCTCCAACAACCACATCTCTCCTGTTCTTACTGAAGGTGACTTCATCAAGCTGTTTGAGATAGATGAGCAATCCATCCTCGTCCAGATGCAGCGTTTGTGACCACCCATGCCCACCACTCTGGGCTAGGAATGAGATATTGTTTGAAATACAATATGACACCTATTGTACATTTAAGATTAGCTGTTGCAAGTTATCTTATGCATCCGTAACAAAAGAGCAACCTACAATTGCCGCCACATCCTGCTCAGTAGCTGGTGTGACCACAACGCCGGGCGTAGGTGCGTTGGACTTGATCCAGCGCTCATGATCGATTGCATCCCAGCTAGATATAACAGCCAACTTTGACAGTTGTGGCCCCAATTGCTCGCAAACCTCTGCAAGATACAAAGCCCAGGGCTGATATGCAACAACTGATAGAAGAAGGGCAAGTGCGAATGGATCTCTCATGATTTATGAATCTGTCGCTTTATACCAATAACTAGAAAGCACGAAATTATTGGAAGTGACACAGGAAAGCCTTTAAGCGTTGCTAGTGATGGATCCCTTAGCTGCGCCAGTAATAACGTGTACCAAGTAGTGGGAGAGAAAAGCGGCTATTGCATATCCGAGCTAACGTCATTATTGCTATCCCCAATGTTTACCATTCACACCCCGCTTAGGTGTCCTTCTATTGGATGTGTTAGTCTCTTTGACATGTAGCAATCGCGATGCTAGCCTTGAGGGACTATGCCAAAGGCGAAGGCGTATAACACGTGGAGTCTGGAGCAGACACTAGTAGTGTCTGCTCCTCTTTCAGCAGCGGATATTAGCGAGAAATTCTAGAAGTGTGGTGCGCCATTTCACATGCTGGACCCTTTCAGCTTTAGAAACCGTTGTGGCAGGCCACACTAGGAGTAGCCAAGGTATACTTCTTAGTATAGTTACGGCAGAGGCGACATTAATAATTTGATGTGAGGATTCGGTACGAATGCACTCAGTGTGCCATTGTATTGCATTAAGAAGATATAAAAGCAATAAGTAGTGCAATGGGGTATACTTCGACAAATCCGATAATGACATTGAATTTACGGAGTATTCGCCCTCCTGGGGAGTGACGGACTGTTAGCCTGCGATGGCGGAGAGGACCGGCAGGAACCCCAGTCACGTGCCGTAAGAGCTATGATCACGTGTATTTGCCGGCGATCTCATTGTTTTCCGACAACAAACCAAAAACTACAGAGCTACTCCTGAATCGCATTACAAGAGGTACCCAGGTTGTGGTTCGAATTTTAGGGATTATTATCTTCTCCAGTGGCCTTCTTCGACTATCAAGTTTGCCCTGCCAATTGAGTCCGCATACCTCAAACAACCTGTTGGTCCTAGCTCTATCCTTGCCCATCGGACCGGTTTCGTGACAGCCTGAACGGAGCAAAATGAACGTCGAGTTCCAAGGGACCCTCTCCAACCTGGAGAATAAACTAAATGTGCTCATAAATAGCCTGACAACATCACCAACAGCTGCAGGCGCCCCCGCCGCTGCGATCGGTTTATTGGACGCCGACGACTCGCTGACCTCCGCCGTCGAGACTCTCCGACAACATCAGCAGAACTACGCCAAGATCTTACGGCTCCGTGAAGAGGCTCAGGAACTGGAAGATAAAGTCAAAAGCATTGTACGTGAGGTGATGGCCTACGAAAAGGAAATCATAACCACTTGTGGAGACGAGTCCGATAGCGATCTGGACTCCGAGGATGATTACTCGGATTACGACTCGGACGAAAACATGGACGGTGAAAAGCCTAGGTCTACTGGGTTACGGGGGATCAAGGAGGTGGACTACAAACTGCTTCTGGACTTTGCGCGGCGGATCAGCAAATACAATCACCAAGCGGCTGCCGATGCTGCAGCGACTGCAGAGGCCAAATCACGAGAGAGGTTGCAAGAAACCAAGGGACCAGACACAGAAATGACGGGGACAAATGGCAACCAGGATACGGAGGCAGCGGAACCGGTCGCATCTGTGACTAAAGACGCGACTAGTTGGCTTGACGAATCGGCGAAGATGACTCGCCAGGCTTATATGCTACCGTATCCAATGGAAGACCGCATTCGAATGGGGCTTATGGCGCAAATACAGCTTGCTGCTGCCGAGGGCCGCCCGGGATTTGAACCCGAGAAGGAAGTTGAACGTTTGATACGCGAGGCCGAGGGTGTAGGGATCGCGGATGCGATGCCGCAGGTCGACGTCGGCGAAGAAGCGCGTCATGCAGATGAGGCCGCAAAAGCAGCAGCGCATGCTGGATCCGCAGCAACAAGCGGATCTGGAATGGGAGCCGCGTCATTGCCAAAACCTAAGGCTACATTGGACTTGGATCTGTACGACCCGGATGAAGACGACGAATGATGCGATAGTGCTTACTGTAAACATAATGCAATACTTGAGACGACCAGCCAACAGCAGGCCTGTTGCTTCTGGGCATTCAAACGAGAAGAATTAATATCGGCTGCTAATTCACATCTTGTGTACTGACGACTTTGCTGTCCACTTCCTGAAACGCTTTCCATACAAGTAGAAGGGAATCGCGAAGAGACACCACAGGACTGCAAGCGACATGTTCAACATTATTGGTTTCACGAAGCCACTCTTTGCCACCCATGGTGTAATGAATTCGCTAAAACCATAACCCCAGACATTTTTGTTTACTGTGATCGAAACGAATATCGAGCCAGCAACGGGCTTATAGCTGTCCACTGCGTAGGTGCTAGTGATAGCCGGAATGGCAGCAACCTGGATACCAGCCGCAGTGTATCCTATTATAACAATGGCCTGACGGTATACCAATCAATTAGCTTTGTTGATACAATCATCTGGAACGAGGCAAACCACGAAAACTCACCCTCCAATCCCATTGATATTGATATCCAAATGCCACCACGAAATTCCCAATGATGGATACGATCACGTACGGTATGATTGCGGGTAATCTCATCTCTGGCTCTCGAATGCCCCGATTCCTTTTCGTGGCTCTCATTGAGATCCAGTCCGAGAGAGGTCCATTAGTCGCCAGTCCAATGAATGCTCCGATCCAGATTGCAAAGTTGAAGAAGCCGATCGTCTGGCTGGAAAAATTGTATGGAGGCCCGGAGAAAGCCTCGCTCTGGGTGAGGTTTAGGGTCAAAAAGACACTGGCCGACCAGGAGACATTGAAGGCAGCAAACTCAACAATGGGGAAACAGAGAAGCTTCCACGGAACCCAGAAGCTGATTAACAGGTTCTTCAGATTGTGGCCTTCTAGCTGCCATAATCTGAATTGCTGCTTTGACGGATAGCCTCTGCCAAGCCATGGATCTGTATCGCCTCTCTCTGTCGAAACATTCTCCTGATGGGTCGTTGCAGATGGCTTTTCTGGTTCCGAGCCAGTATCGGATGAATTTGACACCTCTTGCGGTTGGGTTTCCTCACTAGGGTGGATTCGGTGCCATTTGGTCTCTGGAAAGAGAAAAATGACGAGAATGAGCACCAGCCCCAACAGCCCGACGTTGAACCAGAAAAAGCTACGCCAGCCAACATGCTGAGCCATTGGACCAGCAATGATAGGCCCGACCTATAGGATCAGTCAGCCATGCAACCTGGCGGCTTATCTCTTATCTTACCATGAGCGAGCCGAAATAGAACGTGAAATAGAGTGTGTTAAAAGAACCTCTTTCGTGCAGAAAGATGGTATCTGCAATGATTTCTGGTTGAGATGTCTACCGTCATCTGTCAGTCTCAACTACTACTTCAATTATTGGGACACCAACCTCGGCAGGGCCAGCTCCGAAACCATTGAGGACACAGGCTCCCATATAACTACCATAGGACGTTGCCATGGCCCTCCAGATATTACTGGCCAAACAGATGAGAGTGGAGAATATCAAGACGGGTCTCCGACCATAGGCGCTCTGTATGGGAATCCTTCTTTTCGTCAGGCCGTTCGGTAATTGCGAAGTTGGTCTAAGGCTTACCAGAAGAAGTTACTGAATCCCAACCCTAGAATACACACACCAGTGAACTTGACCACGGCGGCAAGATCCGTGTCGAAAGCCTCCATCAATTGGGGAAACATTGGTGCCAAGGCCAAAGGTCCTAGACCCTGACTGAAAGAAACTGCAGTAGATAAGCAGATAACGGTCATCTTCCACGTTTTGCTCCAGTTCTGTGGCAATCCGATCAGCTTTCAGGTGTCATATTGGTCCAACTGCACTATTACCCACCAAGGGATCATGCGGGCTTTGCGATGGCTGCGGAACGAGAACACGATCTGACCGCGATGACGCTTTCACAAAGTGATGCGACCCAACATCTGCCATGATCTCTGTTCCGGGATAGAATTCAGTATTGAGCTCCCGCTCAATCCTCGAGATTATTAGCAGCGATCAGTTCCTGAAGATGTGTAACATACTGATGGAGAGTCTACACACCCATCCTTGTCAGTATTCCACATCTCAAGCAACAATCAGAAGAACCACATACCGCTTCATCATAATTCATCTCCATATTGAATTCCGGCACAATCAAAATCTTCTACTTCGAACGAGAGAGCCCTGAAAAGCCCTGCTTCCCTCAAAATCCTACAACCATCTCCCTCTTTATTTACCCCAGATCCCTAACTCTACCATCTACGCCAACACTCAGACCCTTCCCGCCCGACGCGGAATTCCCCCGGACCCCAACACCCCCATAGCCGACCCAAGGAACCCCAGACAAGCGATATGAGCCAAGAGCGGGGGTTTCCGAGAGGGACGCCCAAGATGAAACTAGCTGCTGTAGCCGACCCTCTGGAAACGGGTCCTTCATTGGTTCTTATAGCGCCTGCATGTTCTGTCAGGGAAATGTCTGTGCTGTGTTGAGACCCACTTCCCCGGATTTCATTCCTTCTCCACTTTCATTGCCGTTCGAGTTGGCGGGAATATGCCGCTGTGGGGTCTGATGGCTGGGTTTGACTACGTCAACGAATGGATTCTAGGTTTAGTCTCTTGAGTCCATTGACTTCGTAGGACGTACGTGGGTTGTTTATGCATTCATAGGAACAGGGAATAGATGGTGTCGGGTAGATGAAAGACAGGTTTTCTCCCGGTATCACTCCCGCTTTTCTTCTGTTGAACGGTACAACCATACTCTTTTGTAACAGGCTGCAAGTACCATCCAATCATACACTTTATTTTCGAAGTTTATTCAGCTTCGGCTCTGCCCAACTGCCGCAGCGGCACTCGACTGTATCCAGGATTCACAACTCATACAGAACAAAACAAACACCCTGTACACCTACCTACCTACCCAATCAATTCACTATAAATACATCCACTCCAGACAAATACACAAAAGTAGAACTACTTACCTACCTCTCCTCCCACAAATCCTTCAACCTCTGAATCTCCGAATCCGTCTCCCATCCCAAATCCGCCCCAATCCCACACAACAACTCCTCCACAACCTGCCTCTCCGGCTGCTTCTCCAGACATTGGCCCGCGGCGAACAGCAAAGCGGGCATATAAATCCTTGCGCAGCTCTGGGGCCTCGCCGCCGCAATCCCCACAATCTCCTTACATCTGTAATCCACCTCCTTCGTGACCTCCCTGTACCCCTGTAGACGGTCGAACGCAGTCGTGGGACTCGTGATTACGTCCGCCGGGCGATTGAGACATAGAGCTAGCCGACCGAAGTGGTATTGCTGCATTGTTGATGCGCAGGAGGGAAGGCTGTAGTAGACTTCCGGGCGGGGAGTGTGGAGGCGTAGGCATGGGCGGAATGTTTCGGGCATCCGGTCGACCCAGGATTGGAAGGAGACGGAGATGTTGAGCCAGGTTGTGGAGGTTGGTGGGTGGTTGGGGGGTGTTGTTGTTGTTGTTGTTGTGGGTGGTGCTGGTGGTGATTGGTGAGTGATGAGTTGGTCTAGCTGGGAGGTTCGGCAGTGGGCGAGGAAGTTGGTTAGGTTGGATAGGAGGTAGGTGAGGCTGTTGGAGGCGAAGTCTTCCGGGGTGGGGAAGGATGTGCTGCTTGATGGGTCGATTTCACCTGCCTCGGTGATGGAGAGGCCGGCTGCGCGCCAGAGGGGGAAGTTTGTTGGGTCGAAGTAGGTGGGGAGGCGGTTGAAGTAGGAAGCTAGGTAGTCTTGTCGAGCGAAATTCCAGAATGAGGCGTTGATTCCGTGGGGGAATCTGATTGGGGCATTGTGGGAGTTGCCGTAGAGATGGAGGACGGATTCGAATAGGGAGTTGACGCTGGTGAGATGTCTGTGTTTGCATGTAGGTCAGATATATGGATTCTGAGGGGTGTGAGTCAAGGGGTGCGGAGAACTATTTACAAATTCCATTTCTCTCCGGGCTCGTTGATGAGCTTATACATCGTGAGAATGGTTGCTGTGGCTAGCAAGGCCTCTGCCTTCCTCCATAAAGTATCATCTGTTGCGGAGGGAGGAGTAGTCTCTGCGTGGCGGTGCAGCCAATTGTTCACGATGTCGACTGGGCCTTCCAGAACAGCGGAACTGGACGGAGCTGCAAAGGATTCCGGCATGCTCGAGTTCATGCGCGCAATAGATAGATAGTAGTAATTGGCCGCCTTGAGATACCAGTCCACTTCTGGTGCGTTGGAGTACGTCTCCATGACTGCAGGGCTGGTAAACATGCCAATGCTTTCTGGACATGTTGCGCCCTTCATCTGGCCCAGATGTTTGGCTGCTAAAGCGGCCATCGAGTACCGCAGGTAAGCATCGTCTATCGCACGTATAGGAACGTAGGTCGTAAAGAACTTTCTGCTATCCGAAAGGTCCAGCCTAATTGCCATAGTCATGTTAGATCGCAGATTAGATACAATGCTGGGCCGTTACGAACCATGGGGCGATGTATTGCGAGTAATGGCGTATAAGAAAGGATACCTCATGCTCAGAATCGGTCATCAACTCCGATACTACCTCGTGGAAATCCTCCTTATCGCTTTGCACGGATTGGCCATCATGAGATGATAATTTATCATGAGCCGCTGCATGCTCTTCATGATAAGTCATGGGCGCATCCCCGTGGGAGTGGAGTCCATCGTCAAAAGGGCTACTATGACTGTGAGAGACGTGAGCGGCACGAGTATGCAAGCCCGACAATGATTGTTCACGCGCTGCAGTAGCAACAGCATTAGTGTCAGAGCCATGCTGAGTGTCTGCTTGGATTTGGTTTTGACGTCTTGAATCCGCTATGGGTGAAGCAAAAAAGGCCTGGCTAGCATCGGCGGACTGGTCGGCTGCAGTTGTTTCGGCTACATGAGTGCGTATGGGCTCCTTCGAAGCATCATTTCTAGTTGCACTTCCTTCAATATTGGACGGACTATCTCTCGTCACCTGGCCCGTGTGAGCAGCAGTCAAACATTATGGACTATAGTGCATGCGAGAACGAGTAGCCATACACTCAGTGTAATGTACTCACTTTATTTGGACTATGCGAAGCATCCCTTCTGGGATTACTTTCCTGATATGGGGCATATCGACGCCGAACAGAGGCACCTTGATCGATGAACTTCCGAGTTTGGACATATCCCGGGCATTCAACTCCGGCATTGGTGCAGCGCTGGCACCTAGGACGCGTCTCGTCGCACTAACATAGTCAGACTGACGCAGCAAGATGACTGAAAGAGGTGATGCCAACCTTGAGATGGCGCTTCTTACATCGCTCACACGCCTTGTTTGATGGAACTCCCGGCATCGTGTACTGTTGGTGTGGCGTCAAGCGAGGAGTCAAGGCTAGGGTTGGGGGCGAAGCAAGCACTATTACTCAGCCTAGTGAGACAATTAATATAATCAGACCACTGGGTTTATACACCTACGTAAGTTCCAATGTACAATCGACATATCTAGTTCCGGGTAGTTGAGCGAGGGAGCTTTCGTCGTCGCCGAGCTTGGCACGCCGGGATCGGCTCCGGGAATCGTTCGGAGAAACGTCGGCACGGCTATCCGTCGCCGGTACTTCTGGCCGGCTGTAGCCGCAACGTCCATCCATGGCTTGCTGTTATTCTAGAGAGGGAAGCTATTGCGGTCTCATCTCAGTACTTTTCCTAATCGGATTTCATGCATGCATCTGCTTGCAGTCAAATGTCGGTTAATCGAAATTTGGGGAAGACGCCTCCGCAAAAACGAGCGTGATCAGTGGTGTCTGTGTGTAACCCAACTACACCGTGGCTAACATATGCAAGTTCATCAGCATGACTGATTACTAAGAGCACCACTCTTCACCGTTTAATTATTACTCACATCCATCAGTGCTCCCTTTAGATCGAGCCATAGCAGCTACTCTCTCCTCAGTTTCCTCCCATCACTATGGGAGATGAGACCCTGGAGGACGCCGCCCCGAGCGCCGCAGAGCGGCAAGCTGTATACGAAAAAGGCTTTCGTATCTGGAAGAGCCTTTATCTTCACGCGACACAAGAATCTAGCTTTCCAAGGACATGCTTTGATATCCAGCCAATTCTTACAAAGCAGCCTCAATTTCCAAATGACTTGGATCTGAAAGCTTCTTACAACCATCTCTTTGTTCAAGGTACATCAACATGGAAGGGATCAGAGGATTGCAATATGCCTTCCCAGGAACGGCACCTGCAGATTCCTGTTTCGATTAAATGTCCTATTCCTCTTAGCTTATCAGCCGATATAGATGAAAGCTATCTGGAATGGTTCACTTTGGAGGAAAGTCATATCGCAGTGTTAATGTGTGCGTGGAGCTATACCCTTTCGGCTCGCTGGGCTGAACTCATGCCCGAGGCTATACTCGCATATACGGAAGGCACAGCATACAATAGCGACGGATCCGGAGATCAAAATTCTGTTACGGTAGATATAGGGGGCGTTGACGATGATGCAGTGAGGTGGTGGACTGCTATTTTAGCAATAGGAGGGTGGGAGGCCTACATTGTGGCTGGGGAAAACAGATATCGATCCCCTTGGTCAACTAATCTTCCAGCGGAACCGATTTTTAGCATCGCCAATCACAGCAGAAAAGGTCCCTACTTCGGAACACCTATCTCAGATACAACTGCCCTGGGCTTACTATGTGATTATTGCGCGCTACATGGCATTGTGGATCAGGGCTATGCAGCATTGTCAGCCGTCCTACTTCTTCCAATGGTACATGACAACAGAAAGACTGTCCAAATTCCGCGACCAATACAAAGGCACAAACCCAACCACAAACTCAACCGTAAGGCCAAGTCATCAAAGCTCACTTCCCACCTTGACCTTGCCTGCATCCAGGAAGTCAATAATCTTGATAAACTCCTCACCATGAGCTGCAATACGAAAGGGATGCGCTCGCTGCTATCGAGCATATTCTACGAGTCAGGGATAGCTTGCAATGTTGTAAGCCCATGGCTGCAATCTATAACTGCTGTTGTAATTTCCGTCGCAGACAAACGCATTCTCACCCATATGCTAATGAGACGAGTCCCTCACCTTGCATTTTTATGGCTAGGTGGAGCAGTTTTGAACATTCAGGAGCACATCTTATATGAGGGAAAATTCGGACTAATTCCTACCGAGCTACATGCTGCAGTGTGGTCTGGAACCACGCAATCATTCATGCAGGAGCCTATTCATCCTGCAACAAATGGTCATATTCGGCGCTCTGACGAATGCCGACTTCTTTATTTCATTCAGGAGGAACATCACACCCGATGGCCTATATGTCAGTGGACGCCGTTCGGCGTCACGGCCCTGCAAGACACTGAGATCGATGTCCGTCTGCATGCAGACTGTGCTGGGCATTGCCTTCAGTATGCGGGGTGGAAGTGGACTTGCCAGAATGGTAGGGTGGCATATCAAATGTCCGACAACACTCCTCCTCCAAACCTCCCCCCCGAAGAGCCAGTGGTGACAAATGTCACAATCGACTACCAAGGTCTTAATCATGGTGACGAGGGTGTATCAGAAAATGCAACTCGGAGCATCTTCGGCTGGCTCCGAGTTGAGGGATTCCCTCCCAATGAAAAGAAGATCCACGATTGGATCTACATCGATGAGTCCGATTATGAGCACCCATGATTCTTAACTTGGATTTCAGTCGCGGTCTCCCGCGAGCGTTCATCATTCCCGGGAATGAGGGGCCAAAAGGCCGCCTACCACAGATGCTTGCGGGAGATTAAAGTTTACAGGTAATAGATAAATATAAATATAATTTATATTAATTATATTATTACCAGAGTATAAAATCTCAAGCTGAGAATTAGTTATTAAAACTTTATTATATAGAGTAATATCAGTTCATAGCTGGCCAGTCTGTAAAATATACTGATTCTAACTGATATAATTAATAATATTTAAGAGTCTATAACTTTATACAGACTGCTTATTATAGTAGAATTCTGTGAAAAATATAAAATATATATATATATATATCCCGGCTATATTATCTTATGATAATTACTAATATATGACTGGCTGTGTAACATAATCTGATTAATCTCTATAGTTAAGACTCAGTCTTAAAAAATCAACAGTCTTTCCATTGCCATGTATGGTTGGAAGAAGTAGCACAACTGACAATGCTGCATAGTACTGCTCTACTATGTTATACAGATTAGCAAAGATTAGAAAAAAAGCACAAAGCCGTTTCAGGTATGGACGTACCGAAAGACAGAAACTAGTAATGTTAATATCTGAATTTGATTATCGGGTCCGCAAACCGGAACATGTCGTTACCAACTGTAATATAGGACTCCCAAATCTCTCCAGGAGCCATGATAGCAGCCCACTCCATCATGATTAGCCCCCACATCTATCACCACGGAATCTCGATCTTCGGGTTCGTTAGTATTGTATGCTTCGCTGTCCGTATACTTGAGTAGGATGACGGGCATGAGTTCAGCCCAACTTGCCGAAAGGAAATACGTCCACGCGCTCACGAAGACCGTGATATGACTCGCTTCTGTATTGAACCATTTCAGAGCTTTGGCCCGGATTCGCATCTATATTGATGTACTGTGAATAGAGAGATGACTATAGGGCAATTTCAGATACAAGTCACTTGGAAAGTGAGGCTTGTTTAGATAAGTAGCTGAATGTGAGAGCATGTCCAAAGAAAGTTGAATACATGTGTAGAATGGAGATAAAGACTTTTCTGAATATGAAAGTCTATTTCGTATACAGCTTGCTATTCGGCGGTGCTTGGACGGCATCCTTTAGATTGTAATTATCCGTAACGAAAGTGTAAAGACGAGAGTTGTCAAGGCTGAACCAGAATACTCCTTTTCGTCTGATGCGACCACTTTTCCAATTGGTAAGTAAACACTGGCCTCTGTGTTGTGGCAGATGGGGGGGGTTGGCATTCACTTAGCATCGGTAATGACCCGCCCGCGCCTAAACATTTCTTTCGGACGGCGCGTTCCGTCAGTTGATGTACTTCTCACATCACAACACTCCCAAGTCGGTGACCAGAGTTTCTTGAAGCATCATCCGTTTCTCTTCAATTCCTTCGAGCATTGTTCCACTACAAGGTCTACACGATGCCGCCTAGCACTAGAAGCCGTGTTGTTCTAGAGAGGTTATACAAAACCATCATGGATTGGAAGAACGTGGTGCCCAAAGACGGCCACGTAGATATTAGCCAGCTGACGGATGTTGAATATGAGCCCCTATTCGACTTTCATGACCTGGAACACAGTGCGGAGTGGGACCGGTTGTTATGTCCCCCTTTTCTATTCGAGCCTATGGAATCGAGAAAGCTGGAAGAATCCCCACTCGATCCGGCTGAGGCCAGAGCATTTTTCGATATCGATAAGAACAAACCTCTTTTCCCTCTGGGGCCTATGGACCGTGTCGAGCAAATTTCCAGCCTCCTCGAAGACCGGGCCACGACTGAGGCTGAGTCTGAGCAAGGCCTGCAGGTAGTTGAGTAAGTTTTGCTCCTCTCTGAATCACACATTTCCTAACTTTATTACGAAACAGATCGCCGTTCTCGACTTTTTGGTTAGACGCCCTCCTCTCATGGCCCTATGGCAAATCCGACTGGTGGGATACGCAATGTGTCAGGGAACCATGTCCGAAAGCAGGGAAGGTTTTCCCTCATCTGGCCTTCCACCTCATTGATGAGAAAGCGGCCCGGGATGGCTCGATACTCTTTTCGGAGTTCAGTGCTCTCGTTATAGCCATGAGAGGCCGGGCGAACCAGAGGAAGGTGGACTCGGAGGACAAGCGGGAAGAGCTTTGGAAAAACGATGGCGAGGGCAAAGAAGATTATCCGTATCTCTTCAAAGATGAAGAGTATTTTCCTGTCCTTGTGGTGTCCTGTGTCCTGCCGCAACACGCGAGACTTCTGACGGCTTGTATGAACCAGCGAAAGTTGGTGATCAGGCAATCAAAGCTGTATAGTTTTGAACATAAAAAGACAGCACCGGTGGACTTTTTTACCCGTTTGTTTCTCAGCAAGCCACTGGAACCACGGAGAGAGGCTGAGTTCGGGGTTTTGGGGCCGGAAAAGGGAGGAGGGTGAGCACCATAACGTGGGGGTAATTTGGTACTGCTCGTGCGTTGATTTTTTACCTTGCTACATCGCAAGCATTGTTGACATTTGTCTGATGATATGGATTAAGGATTTGGGTCAAGTCTATTACGGGGTTACCTACAATCGGGTGCGAACAGGGTTGTCAGTGGCCATGGTTTTGCATATTGATGCCAAGAGATACTGACAAATTACGAACAATAATCCCTTCGGGCTAAATATTTACCCCATGATTTGATTTTCCTTTACCTAGAAGAAGTCAAGTCGGATATCCTTCGCTCTTAGAACCGGGAAGATGCCAGAGTATATAGTCAATCAGTGGTTGCTCATGCTCGGGGGCAAATCCAAGTCCCGAGTACCCCAGTCGCTCTCCGTAGGGCCTAGCTCAAGCTCGAGGGTCCCTCCATTGAGAAAAAAATCATGGCTGATCCAATTCTTCGTCCAGGCTTGGCCGTCCCGCTTGGCACTCTGGATATAGATTGATTTATACGTGGGGTCGAAGTTCACATTCCGGATCGTGGCGACCTTTCCAGTCTGCTTGTTTTGTAGACTTATTTCCTCGAAGAATGGAGGGCTGATGAGATACACGTCCTGTCCATGGACTGGGAACAGACCCATCATGCTAAGCACCGCGAACGCGCCCATGGCTCCACCGTCGTCGTTGCCTGGAATGCCGGAGACAGAGGTGTTGAACTGGGAAGGAATGTAGTAGTGAGCACGTTGAGTCGATAGTCCGGGCCGTCCGGAGTAGTGAAATTGGAACACGGTGAGGAAGGCCTGTTCGTCACCAACGTAAAGAAGACCTGAGTCATGCAGATAAGAAAGGCGGGAAGTGAAAGTCTGTGGTCCGCCTAAACGTGTGACCAATGCAGCCATGTCTTGAGGTACGAAGCTTTGAAAAAGTCCATTAGCTTAGTGAAGATGGACAAAGATGAGTAAAACTCACAATGAATAGAGCCAAGCGCTTCCCTCATACGTCTCGTGCCCGTCCGCGCTCAGATAACAAGAAGTGAAATTCAGTAGAGGGCTGCAGAAGATGGGATCTTGATAGCCCCAGGTGCCGTTGGGGTATCGAGGCTGAAGGAATCCTGTAAAGTTAGTATCCTTCCCTTGCAGGTACGATTTCTGGTCGTCTTTGAACATGTTCTGCCAGTTATTGGCACGTAGCATGTACGTTTCGTAGTCACTTTGATGACCCAAACGCTGGGCCATCTGAGCAATACAAAAGTCATCGTACGCATATTCGACAGTCCTGGAGATACTGCGTGTATGCAGCCCAACACCGTATGGATCAAAATCATCAGTCGGAATATAGTTGAGTGTTTTCCAGCTAGTTAGTCCGCCGCGACCTTCGACATTCCAGTTCGCGGGCTCAACCTCCGCATCTTTCACGACAGCCTCATACGCCGTAGACCAATCAATGTCGCTGACATTCTTCAGGAGAGCATCGGCAAGAAGAATGTCCGCATTTGACCCTCCCTGAGTATATCCCTTACCTAAAGACATACGGCAGTCAGGTAAGTAGCCTTCGTGGCGATAGATATCCACCAGGCTTCTCATCATTCTAGACTGAGACAGTGGATCGGCTAGCGTCAGAAGCTGATGAACGCCTCGAAAGGATTCCCATATACTAGCGATTTGTGAGTAGGATATTCAGTTATTCCGAAGGGCCACTCACCAGTAATAGCTGTCATAATACGGCTCATCGCTCTGCCAGAGTGGGTTCTCTCCTGTATAGTCCTGCGGGCTTATCATTGCACGATACATTCCGCTCCAGAACACCTCCTGTAGATCGGATGAGGCATTGCCCGGATTGACACTAAAGACATTCAGTTTATCCCTCCATGCGGCCTCTGCTGCGCTCACGGTACCAGCAAAGTCAAAGTTGGGCTGTTCTTTTTCAGCGTTGGCGCAGGCCTGCTCTACGCTGATGAAGCTCACACCTACTCTTGCCATCAGAGCCTGGTCATTTGTTGACATATTAAATCGGGTGAATGTGCTAGCAGAGAGGGTCGCGGCGGTGTTGCTCCCGTCAGACGTGAGTGAAATCGTTGTCTGCCCTTGACCGGCGCGATTGTTGGACCACACACCAGTGTCTCGAACGTCACCACCTTTGAAATCTACGCAAAAATGGAGATCATACGTTCCAATACCGAAGCTGGGGCTGAATGTACCATTTCCAGTTAAGCGACCTGTTGACGGATTTACTGTGGCCGTTCCATTTGTGCGCGACTGTGGAAGATCCATGAGATCAACGAGGACCACAGGGCTGAGCGACTCGGTGGTCGCGTTGTCGAAAGTGAACCGATAAAGAGCCGAATGGTTTGTGACGGTCATCTCTGCAAATACGCCGCTCTGCAGAGTAATGCCAAAGTATCCAGGGCGCGCTTTTGGCGAGCCTTTTGTCCAAGGAATCCCCCGATCAGACTGTTGCCATGTACACTTATCAAGAGCATCATTTGGACAACCTGGGTGCACAAAAATGGGAAAGTTGCCTAAAGATGGCGACTAAAAGGGGTAGTCAGTATTAACAGCACATCCTTGCAGCGAGATGACTCACGCCACCAGTTCCATCGTCATGCATGTGCGAGAACCCCGAGACGTATGTAGTGTCATACGCAAAACCGGCTTGGTTTTCACCAATGGTATCTGCTACCGCTTTTGCCATTCCTGAACTCTTGTTAGGGGCATGAAAGCCATCTGGCAGGTTGGACCTTCTAACCAAAGGGTAGAGTTGCCCCTGCAAATGAGTGACCTATACCACTATATCAGCCTGGCGACTTTAGATAATCTCAAAGGAATATTCTTACCTCCATTGGAGGTGCCGATCAGTGGATTAACGTAGTCTAGTACATCAAAGCTCGAATTACTGCTCTCTTGCCCAGTAACAACCCAGGCTAGAAAGACTGCTGGGATGGCGCTGTGGACCTTTCGTGACACGAGCATTTTGGCAGAACAATAGCTTCAACTCTAGCCATGCGAATGCTGCAGAAACAGAAAAAACCGGTCGTGAAGCCTGGTATTTAACGACCGGGGCGTCGCGTAGCGTAGTGACATTCCATTGTAACCCAAATTCCCCGCGACATGTCAAGAGAGCCCACCCCTCTCTTGTTGCAGCGTGACTGTATGAGGGGTAGTGGATAGGAAATTATGATCACTGCCGAGGCCAATCATGGTGCCACATTTCGCTTGACATCCCCGTAATATTGGCAAAATTGCTTTAGCTGCAGTGATTGACACAGTCTGATTCCTGATTAGGAGCAGCAGCCAGCTACTGCGTGTAACGCTCCATCGGAGCAGTGTGCTGGCCAGTCCCTGCAAGGGATGAAATGATCCGAGTGCCGAAATGCGGAGAGCCGACGATCCCCTGTCATGCTGGCCCGTCCGCAGTGATGAGAGTATCCTAATTGTTGCCTGAGTCGGTATGCGCTGTCTCGTCAGAACTGCACCAGATACAGATTCACATAGTTATGGGATCTGTTGCTCGGCACTGACCTCTCAAACATCCCACGCTGCATGACAAAAGTAATTGTGGTGAGCCATAGCCAGAAGTTCCACGTCTATCAATTGTGCAACCTTACATCATTGGCCGGGGACTCAAAAGCCCCATGGCTGGTCTTGCAGCCTCCATTAATAGGACATGGCGACAATCACGGGCGCCAGAAGTCTCATATCAGAAACCTTATTCATGTCGTACGGACCGTAACTGTGTAGATTTGCGAAAGAGTTGCCCGCCTTCTGCCCCTGTCTTATGTACTTGATCCAGTCTTGCCCATACTCTAGGCTCTCCAGAAAGATTTCTTGCCCACACTGGCCCGCAAGTGGACGACTATACTTGTTAGCGCACCAGATTCTCGAAACGATTGTCCAGATCACGGATGATACGTACAAGCGCACAGGAGGAGATATCCGGGCATCAGGATACTCCTTTACCCAGGCCACGAGCTCGGCCACTTCTTGCATGGTGATCCTCGCATTCAATTTCTCCCTTTCCCTCCCTTTGCATTCAATGGGCGTCCTGATCTCCTCCGTAGCCTTGACCTCGAACTGGCCATCCGTGATGGCTACGTATCCATTCCTTAAGCCCGTGAACGTCAACCTGCGCTTCGTTGTCCTCCACCAGGAGTCCGTGGTGGGAACCAAGGAGGTCAGGGCATTGAGGAGCTCGATAAAGGCTGCATTCACAGTGTCTTCATCGGTCTGCTTCCCGCCGCCCTTCGCCCATCCCGCACGGATCTCCGCCTGGAGTCTCAGTACTGGTCCAAAAGGACCCAGTGCTGGGTCAGCCCAGTTGTTCCCTCCAATGTTCTGGAGGTATAACTGGTAGCTTGGGATCATTTGTAGCAGGTTTTTCGCTCGGGTGAGGAGAGCAGGAGTGATGCCAAACTGGCCGTTGACCAGCTGGCTTGGACCACGCCTCGGGGGGCACAGCACACGGGAGAGAAGAAACTGTTCGATACTCACCTTAGACCCTGACCTGAGATCAGGCCAGGCTCGAAGGCTCTTGCCTTGTATTTTGTGGATAGTCTCCGCGCTATCCCACTGAGTCCTATTGGCGGGTAACACAAACTGTGGCATTTTGTACCTTTAACGAAGTAAAAACGATGAAAATCTACTTGGCTGGAAACTCAAAGAATCATACCAAAGCAATTGTAGATTATTACTAAAGTTGACATAGAACGAAACAACAAGGACGCGTAGAAAATCGCGAAGTGGGGCGTCTTGTTTGATTCAGTAAGATACTAACCCCCTCCCTCCCCGTAGACCCCGAAATCAGCCTATCCCCTCGGCACCAACGGCTTGCTTAACAGAAGTCGTGCAAAGAAATCCACAGGCGCGTAGCTCTTTCTTTCGAAGCTGTGAAGCTTCGATTGTCTTATCAAAAGCTTGTGTTGGCACATGCATGCCGTAAAGACCCTGGCATGCTGGGGGGCAACACAAGACACCACGAGTATAGGAAAATACTCTTCATCGCTGAAAAGATAGGGATACGCTTCTTTTCCTCTTCCATCACACTCATCAAGTTCCTCCCGCCCACGCTCAGAATCCACCCGGCGTTGATTTGCACGGCCTTTCATAGCCTCGACGATAGCGCTAAGCTCTGAGTACAGAATGGAGTCTTCATTGGACACTTTATCACCAAGCACGTGGAAGGCTAAGTTTGGATAAACTTTTACATCGTCAGGGCACGGCTCTACCAGACACCGGGCGGTCCACGAACTATTGTAGCTATAGTTGCGGTATAGACTGGCCTCAAGCAAAAACGTACTCTCTGGGGCTCTGATACGCAATGATGTCAGGAAATTTCTGTTATAGAGTAGGCAAAAAGAACACTTACTGGACGGTTTGGAGATTCTGCTTAGACCGGGCCTCATGTGTGGTGCGATCTTCTATGAGTGTAGAGACTTGACGTACACGATCCACCGGCTCCATTGGAAAGTCGCATTCGTCGTCTTGGTCGATGTCGAAGAATTCTCGTGCCAGCTCCGGATCGACTGGATGCTGCTTCAAACTCGCCCAATCCATCGGCTCAAACAAAACAGGGGGAACCAGTGCCAAGTTGACTTCAGCGCTGTCCAACTCATTAAAGTTGAACTGGGTTACATGTTCGATGTCTCGAAATCTAGCAATGCTTATATGGCCATCCTCTGGGACACGGTCTCTCATATCCAGGAGTTCTTTGAAAAGCCCTTCCAATATATTGCGGTTCCTAGAAGTGTTGACGGACATGGTGGCGGTCTAGTGTATGAGAATGCCAAAAGACAAGATAGTTCTCGATGTTACTAGTAGAATCAAAGGTAAGAAGATTAGGTTGGAGAAGTTGGGATATGGTAAGTACTGCATCAAGAGATGGAACAAGAGTCGGAAGTGTTTAGTCAGACGAGGTCGGGTGGGCCATGGAAACCCCTCAGTGTTTCCCCTTCACTCCCGGTGCCATTCACTGGCAGATGACATGTACGCACGCTGGTGCCAGAAAACACGTTGAGAGACTACCATGCATCATACAGTAATCACTATGATGACATGATATGCAACCCGTCTCCGTCTTTGTTTTTCTGGAGGTCGGGAAGTCGCTCTTTCAGAGCGGTCTTTCGATGTCAAGATCGAATATACTTGGGTCTAACCAGTACTAGTGGACAGCCATGAGTCAACAGCAGATGCCCAGTGCGAGCAGTAGCCGGTGGCTGTCGCAGCGGGATACCTTTGGCAAAGAGAATGTGGAATGGGAAGAAGTAAGACGCTTGCAATTCTTGCAAAGAGGTACCCTTATAGTAATAGAGAGCTGACCGCAAGCCCAGTATTATGGAGGCAACAGAAACAAAGTTCCTAATCTGACTGGTTCAATACAGCAATTCCGTCAAACAATATGCGAAGCCAAAATGCGCGCACAGCATCAGGGAGAGTCCGTAATTGAAGGACTTGACGTTTATGACCTGACTACAGATTTTCCATCGAAATTGAAATTGAGGATATACAAGCCGCTATCGCCTGAAGCAAATGGGGCCGTCATGATATAGTATGTCTTCGGAGAGATGTCATGCTTCGGAACGGTCTAATAGTGTTGTATCGAACACGAAGCTTCCATGGAGGCGGCTGGGCAATGGGAGACCTTGAAGGAGAAGACAGTACCTGTCGGACGCTATGCGTGCAAATCGGACTCAATATAGTCAGCGTTGACTATCGCCTGTAAGTGATCTACTGTTTCTGAGGTCTCGCTAATCATTTGAATGGGATCACGTAGTGCCCCAGAGAATCCGCATCCAGCAGCTATTCAGGACTCGATCACAGCACTTCGTTGGGTATATCATACTTGTCTCTGTCGTAAAGGTCTAGGTATAGCTAACAGCACCTCCGTTGATAGGTCTTCCAAAACAGTCTTACCCATGGCTTTGACAAGAGTAAGATTTACGTTGGCGGGACCAGTGCTGGGGCAAACTTGGTATGATATTCCCATGCTGTCTGGTACCAGAACGGGTAATGTTCTACTAACATAAATGGGACACTTTCTACCTAGGCTGCTGTTCTGGGCCAACTATATCGGAGCTTGGGAGTCTGTGTGCGGGGTCAGCTTCTCCGGGCTCCAGTCTTGTGTCTCAGTGAGCCGCACTATCAGAGAATGGGACTGAAAAGTATGGATCAGTTCGCTGATACGCCAATTCTCAATCAACCCTTAATGAAGCAATTTCTTGAGTGGTATCAGCCTTATGACCAGACAGATCCTACGGTATCTCCACTACTGTTCCGCCGTCTCGATGCGTCTCCGCCATGCTTTATCATGATATGTGGCCGTGACCCACTCCGCGACGAGGCCCTAGCTTATGCGGATAAACTTGAAGAAAAAGGGTACAGTAGCTCCTCTCAACTTTGTGCTTTTCATTACGACTGAGTATATATTTAGTATATCAGTGCGGGTTGCTGTGTACTCGGGAATGCCCCACGCGTTCTGGATATTACCTGAGCTGACCACAACGAAGACTGCTACTCAGGACTTAATCGATGGTGTCAGATGGCTTATGGGGTCCGCAAATTGGAAATAGCCAATACACTCGGGTTCTCATGATATTCATAATCAATTCGATATCGATCACAATGATCTTCCCCCATCTACCGCTAATTCCACTCCCGTGATGAACGAAGCCTCATCACTTGCCAGAAATGCAGTGGCATTGGCAACATCCGCCGGGGTAGCAAATCGCCCCATAGGGATGGTGGACAGAACAATGCTCCTATTCTCGGGCGTGTCCTCTCCGCCGAGAATCAGAGGCATCCTGGCCATGTATTAGCCCTCATGCAAGGTAGTAGAGACGCTTTTATTGGGAGAGCGGGTAATCAAGCTTGACGCTTACATTCCAGTTTCACCCGCAACAGGGCACACAGTGTTGAGTCGAATGTGATTGTTCGCGAATTCTGCAGCCAAGCTTTTGGTAGCCTACGGCCATTATATCGTAAGAGTCTCTACATGAACAAAGTTGAAGTGGAAAAGGAAGGATAGACGTACCGCACTCACTGCGCCTTTAGTAGCGGAGTACCAAGCATACTTCGGCCGAGGACGAATAGAGCTCATGCTTGAGATATTCACGAAGACACCCCCACCCTGCGCCTGGAAGTAGGGAGCAATTGTCTTGGCCGAGTGATAGATACTCTTGACATTGACTTTATACATGCGGTCTAGCATGGTTTCCGAGGTCTCTAGAGATGGCTAATTTGACCGTCAGTGGACTTCATAGCTGGAAGAAAAAAAGTCTCCAATACCTGAACTACATGGACAATCCCTGCATTATTGACGACGATATCGATCTTCTTAAAATTCTCCAGTGCTACCTCACGCACTCTCTCCCAGTCAGACTCACTAGATACGTCTCCTTGAACGAAGACTGCACGTCCCTTTGGCTGAGCACACTGCACTCGTTTTCCATTTTCCTGATCGAGATCCACGATCACCACATTGGCACCTTCGAGAATGAATTTGTGGACGATTCCTTCCCCGAATCCGAAGCCTCCACCTGTCACAATAGCGATTTTGTCTTGCAGTCTGCCTTGTCCCATAATGACAGGAAATCCTTGACGAGAGGAAGATAATCAATCCACTGTGTCTCTTCTGGTGGCGTTCCCCGCGTGTTGGGTTGATAAGTGCGGGGACAGCCTCAGTACCCCGCCATCAAAGTCACTGTCTCTATTGAAGCGGCACTACATGAAGACCTACTATCTATATGCCGTTCTATTCCCCGTCACTGATTGAGCAAGAGTAATTGAGATTTTTCTGCAAGCCTTTTCGAAATTATATCCGGGTTACATGGTAGATATCTCTAGTATATCTAATGATATTGAGAGTCATAGCACTGGGGAACAGTCCACTCCAATATATTAGAAGCCGGTATGACCACTTTCGGTCGGCCATCATTGTCCTTCGGGTGCTTGATAGGTTCAATCCCCGAGCCAGGCAGCGTTACAATAGTTTGCGCGTGATCCTCGATTGTACCCCAATCCCACCAGTCCAGCGTATTTCCTGTGAATTGGTATCGGAGCTGCTCGCCAGGTCGGGCGTCCTCGGGCCGGCAATCTCCATCCGCCGGTAACGACCAGGAATCAGACCAGGATTCCCCGGGAAAGAGGCTTGTGAACCGGTCTTCTTCGTTTTCCGCCACATTAAGTTGTCTGTCAGGATTATCCCAGAAGACATGTGCTGACCGATCGCCTATGCATGTCTTCCATTCTTTCTCAGTCCCCAGATTAGACTCTTCGGGAGAAATACGACGATAGACGCTGAAGGCATTAATTGGGCTGAACGCCCAGGTGTGGAAAGTGATAGGGTCGGCTGATGGACCGTGGTATGTGACCTTGATCGACATCTCTAGATTTCCAGAAGGAGGCATTTTTGAGCTGCAGATCAGCTCAAGGCTCAGGACTGGTGCGCCAGGACTGTCTTGATGTCAGCTGACAAAAGCCTTCTCCATTGGAGTTGAAGGGCTTACACTCTCTCGCTAGGATCAATTGGCGGTGGTGTCGGAGGTGAAGGAATGGGGGGGCGCCTCCCTTCCTGTACAGTAAAGGTGAGGTGTGCACCGCCTGGAATCACTATTGGAGACCTCTCTAATTTCGTTTCCATTTTCTGCTGCGGCGTACCCCAATCCCAGTATGGAATTTCTTGGCCCGTCCAGAGAATGGTATAAGTGCGCCCCGGTTCTAGGAGCTTGGTCCAGGTATCGGGTAAGCTCTCTCGCACAGTTATTTTACTGCGGTCCCAATTTTTCTTAGCCTCTTCAACATAGAAAGATGCCGGCTCATTGGGGAACTGTTCAATCATTGATAATGATGATGGATATCTCGAGCGCTCCTCAACACCGATCCTTTCGACATTGTGAGACAATAGAATAAACTCTTCCTTGCTAGGATCTATGAATGGTTGCCAGCGCAGCCAAAACTGTTGATCATTTAGAACCCTGCGTAAAATAATTGTAAATGAGTAGCCTGCTTCCTTATCCTCTGTCCAAAGTATCGGGCTGCCATCTAGCTCAAGAATCAATAGTGGAGTATCAGGCCTATGCAAAAAGCTTCTCAGCGGGTGATTTCATAATAGTCATATTCAACGTACAGCCTATTGCTTTCCTTCCATCTTATGTACGTATCCATTGAAAGACGGTATGGGGGATCAGTTGTCAGGGCCGTAGGCGGCAAAAAATCAGGAATAGGTTGGGGCTGGAAAGTAAGAGTCTAACTCGTAAATTGCGTGAATTGTCTCTAACTTAAATAGACCGATCTATGCGGTGGGTCACTTGCTAGCTTACTGACAGCTTACTTCCTCCACCAACCGGGGCACTCAATATCATGGATCTAACATGTATTAGTAGTTAGTTCAAAGTACTTCTCTACCCTAGAGATATACCTAATTTCCGACACAAGCCCTTAACCATGTTTCTGAATGACTCACGGTCCCCCTCCATTTCTCAATTCCTTTACCAAGTTTTACACCCTCAAATCCACCCACAGGTCGGGCCTAACAGGGGAGATAGTGGAGAGAATACCAGAAAAGATGACCCTCCCATGCCCTAGCTGGCTTCGCGTGTAAGTATCAGAGCCTGCGGGTATATGCAACCCTACTGAGTCTTCACCCCAAACAGAATCCTCCTCAGTCTCGAGATCACAGTATCCCCCCCTTAAATCTGGCGGATCTGGTCCCAGAAAACAAGCACTGGCCTTTCCCTCCTCTACATATTTCTCAATCTTCTCAGTGCCACTGAACGCTTTACTAATGCCTTCTTCGAAGCCGTTAACTGGACTATCGCCAGGGCCGATGCACCAGGCTTTTTCGTCCATGATCCTAGAACAATCGGAGATTAGCTGAACCTAGTGCAGCTGGGTGTCGATTGGGTGCTGCTCTTGCTTCTGTAAGATTAGTACCCTTTTCCACGGTCCGCGCTCCGCCGACCCGAACACTAACTGAAAACGGCCCAAGCTTCATTTTATGTCTCACTTATCCCCCTCCCCACTATCGCAGTCAGGCACACACGCGCATTCTTAGCGCAATCCTGTACACGACGTTTGCTCTCATTTCCATCATCCCGCTCTTCATAGACGCTCTCTTCCCCTCGATCTTTCACGAGCCTGGTGAGCGTCAACCCGACTTCGGCGTGGCGATATTTGCAGGGTTTCATCTCTTCTTCCTTAATACTATATTCACCCTTCTCAGCATTTGCTCGATTATCCCCCAGGCTATTCAACTCCGCTCGCTGTCGTTGGCTTCGGGCGTGGTGAGGGTCCGTGAAAATCTAGCTGGTTCCAGGTATCTAACTAGTCAGCTGAAATAGAATCATACGACCAAAGGAAGACTAGAACTGTCTAAATTTATATCTCTGGTTACTACATCGTAGTTCCGTGGAAGTATCAAGTTCTAGAACACTTGTCGTTATGATCATGGAACTAATGATATCATAACTATCCTCCTCCTATTATAAATCTCAGAAAGTATCAAATATAGAAGGCATAGTTTTATGGGACACTTATTTTTTTGTATACTTAAATTCTGCAGCTGAGACTTTTCATTATTCTGACACAATCTTATTATGAATGCTTTCAATAAATTTAGTCTGGCTAGTGACGTCATTAGTGTCTTAACTTTTATTGCTGCTCTTTTTACTTCCATTTTAGCATACTATACGTTAACTGTCGAAGCGGACACCGAAATCAAACAACTCAACAGTGAACTAGCCATGGCCGAGGAGCAGTTCACCCCGCTCTTACGGTGGCAGGTAGTGGCCGTTCCTTCTGGCCATCCTGCTACAGAGCTTGACCGCATCCATCAAGACACCATTCAGCTTATGAAAAATATTGTTGAGTCTATAAGAGTCGATCTCAAGGCTACAAAAGGGCGTCGCCTAATCCGGAGACTCCGATGGGCTTCTCAGAGAGGGAAGGTTATTGGAAAATTTCAACAGCTATCAAACCAACGAGTTGCTGTGATCCAGCAACACATAGAGATTGAGAAAGCGTAAGTGTTTCTCCACACATTTGAGTGGCTGAATCTACTGACCGGGGTTAAAGTCTGCGTTATATACCATATCCCAGAAGAGAACCGACAGAAGATCCGAGGGATCACTAGGATATATATATATATAAACTATTTTCGGCTGGAAATGCCATCACCTATATGTCTTTTCATCACAGCATTCTTGTTCCACGTTCACTACTTGTATCTCAATATTCTACTGGCTCCCTGTGTAATAGTACAGTTGCATGCAAGATAAGCTCATTCCCACGAGATAATGTGTGTTTTGGTCAAGCCGATTTCGAAAATGACATAAATGCCGAGTACTTTCACAGCCCCTATGACTCGAGTATCGAAGACATTTGCATACCTAGACCGTGGGTATCCGTATGAAAAAATATTTGCCACTAGCGGATATACTGGGAGCCTATTTAGTGGTGCTGATGGTTGCCTTGATCACGACAATTGGATAGAAAGAGTATTTATCTTCAGTTGCATAATTGGATATGAGCTTACTTCTGACCCAGCTTACGATGATGTGCGACCAGGGAGTTCCAACGCCTGTAATGCAGAGAAGCAGGCGATGGCTAACGAAGACGAGAGTCTAACAGTAAAGTGTGGATATTCACTAGAAAACTGGAAGAGCAAAACAACTATATACATCCAGAATAATCATGTATGTTTAGACTGTGGCAGATTTCGGAGTTTGATTGAAATCAAAACTAGGATCTCTTTTCTCCTGAAGACCTGCTAGGATACTCATCATGACTCTCAGCCTTTTCCAACGACAAATTGCCAAGGTTACAGACATTATCTGGACATGTGTTTAGATCAAGCCGAATATTCCAGAATCGTATTTTATCATGGTACATGTATTGTAAATAAAAATTTGTAGCGTGAGGTACAGAATAATTTCCGCATTAACATTATTCCTACACTATTCTATATTTACATTAGTGATGCCAGTGTCGATACTAACACGGTGGTGAAGGATATTGAAGAGGCTGGCGCAATAGGTGCTGGAGGGATGGAGCTCCTCGGCCTCTACAACTACGGCGGTTCGCTGGCACCACAGCCCGCTGGTGCCGACTGGGCTACGTATGGCTTTGGTACACCGGCATTCAACGCCATTTTCAAGGCCTCACTGCAGAGTGCAAAGAGCACAGGCATGATCTTTGACTTTGCTCTGGGTCCGAGTCAAGGTCAAGGCGTTCCAGCCAATCCAAATGATGAGGGGCTTCATTGGGATTTGGTAGGATACCCTTCAAATAGAATGTCTTGACGTAATCTGATATTCCAAGGCACCATTTAATGTCAGTGTTCCGCCGAATGGCGCATACAACGGTCAAATTCTCGGTTGGGGAACAGGTGAACTTGTTTCTCTGGTGTCCGCGCGGGTCGTGAACACCTCTACAGTTGTCAATCCCGCGAGCAGTCTCTTTTCCACCCCTGCAAATAACGCAACACGCTTGGTCCTGGCAGCAGGATCACTAGTGGATCATACAGATGCGGTCAGTGTTGATGGAAAAGTTTCGCTGTCATTCAATGTTAGCGAACATTCAACCTATCGTCTTTTTGCCTACTATCAGTACCAGGACCTTGTTAAAAACCTTGACATCCACGAAAGCTCTACAGGAAGCATTTTCGATAATGGCTCCTACACAGTTGATCACTTCAGCGCTCGTGGTGCTCAAACTACGATTGACTTTTGGGAGAACTACATCTTGAATGATACTGATATCAAGTCCCTTTTCCAAGAGGTCGGCCGCTATGGCTGGGAAGACAGCATCGAAATCAAGTCTAACATTTCCTGGTCACCTTCCCTTCCAGGTATTTTCGAGCAGATCAACGGCTATCAGCTGGGCAAGTACCTTCCTCTCGTCATGTACGGAAATAATAACCCCGGCGTGCAGCCGTCATACCCTGGTAATCTGGAATGCGTCTTGGACCGTGAGAATCAGGGACAAGGCTACGTCAATGACTTCCGTGATGCTCTAGAAAAAGGATATCAAGTTTACTTGGACACGCTTTCAGCCTGGCTAGAGGGTCTGGGCTTAGGCTACTCAGCCCAAGTCTCCTACAACCTGCCGATCAACATGGAAGTAAATATCAATCATGTCCTCGCCCCGGAGTGTGAGAGTCTTGCGTTCAACAATAACATCGATGGATATCGTCAGTTTTCGGGCGTCGCAAATCTCGCTAATCTCGCTCAGAAGAACGTGATTCCGAATGAAATGGGCGCTAACTTAGAAAAGGCATTTGCTCTTCCGGTCAGTGAGCTACTTGGGCAGATCAATACAGCTTTTGCCGGTGGCGTCAATCAGATTGTGTTACACGGCCAGTCATATACTGGTGACTACCACAAGACAACGTGGCCGGGGTATACATTTTTCTTCATACTTACTGCAGAATCCTACTATAACAAGCAGCCTGCATGGGGCCATGGGTTCTCAGACGTTATTAATTATATCAGCCGGAATCAGTATATCTTGCAGGCTGGCCAGCCACGAACCGACATTATTCTGTATAATAGAGTTTCAATGACTGATCTTCAGCTTGAGGCTTTGTACTCTGCCAATAATATGATTAATACAGATTATACTTACACTTATCTATCACCTGCAAACTCGAATCTCTCGCAAGCATCTGTGGCAGGCGGCCTTTTGGCCCCTCATTCCCCCGCCTACAAAGCAATTGTCGTAACAAGCGATCAGAATGTCACTTTGGCTGGTGTCAATAAGCTCCAACAGTACGCCGATGCCGGACTCCCCGTCATTCTGAGTGGCGGTTCTCCGGGATAATATCCCAATGGTGAAGCGACCGATAAGGCCGCGGTCTACGCTGCTTTAGAGGCACTCAGGAGTTCTCCAAGCGTCTATACCACTGGGTTTGGGCAAATTGCTTTAAAGCTCGAGCAGCTCAACCTCACTCCGCGCGTCGCAGTTCATTCTAATGGCACCTGGTATCCGGTTCTTCGGATGGATAATAACACGGACTACCTTTTTATCTTCTCCAAAGAATCGGCTTCTCAAGGCAAGCTCACTGTTAGCTCAACCAAGACACCTTACCTTCTGGATAGCTGGACTGGCAAGCGAAGCCCTTTCCTCCATTACAAGAGAAGCGGGAACACGACAGTAATTCCTCTTCAGCTTGCTGCGAATCAAACGATCGCTTTTGCCTTCAGCAACGAGTTGAAGTATGAAATTGAGACCCCGTCTCTTCACGCTTCACGTGTTCCCTCAACCGTCCTGGGTTATGATTACAGCACCTCTGCACACATCCACCGACCCCTGCAACGACTGCGTGTTCCAACTCTCCAACGGAACTACCTATGACCTCGCCCTCAATTCCACCTCTCTCTCGAAGCTGACCAGGTTTACGTGACATATGAACCCATAGAAGGGAGACATGCGCCCCCTCCTAACGCTGGGATGGTCTTAGTGACTCGCTCGCCAGCATTGCATGATGGGGACATTCAATTTGCACAGAACGTTATTCCCCCTGACAACCACCCGTTGGCAGAGCTTACGAATTCCATTGTGTTCAGTAGCAAGGGGTATCGCGACCTACCTAGTCAGCTCAGCGGGGGGGATCTCGACGGCGATATATTCAACGTCATTTGGGATACCGATGCGTATCCGGTGCGGACATTTGCGCCCGCGGATTATCCTCGCGTAAGCCCAGTCGACATCGGGCGTCCAGTGGAGCGCGACGATATGGCACAGTTCTTCCTTGACTTTATGAAAACTGACCATCTTGGGGTGATCGCCACAAGGCATATGATCATGGCTGACCAGGAAGCTGAGGGAACATCCCATCCGGTCTGCAGAAAGCTGGCACAGTTGCACTCTACGGCGGTTGACTTTTCTAAGACGGGTATTCCGGTCCAAATGTCGGAAATCCCTAAGGGAAAGCCTTTCAGACCTGACTTGTACGTTATCACTACATGTTTTCAATAACCTATATATGGGTACTGTGATGCTAACAAGTGAATTAGCATGGCACTAGGCCCGGTTGCACGTATCCACAATAAGTCCGACATCGAGCTGGAAGAGTATGTTATTCAAGCAGCATACGATGAGGATGATGACATGGAGCCGTTCCACAAGTACTACAGATCAGAAAAAATATTGGGCAAGCTCTACAGGGGTGTAGATGAACGACAGATCTGGCAAGAAGACATCCAGAGCAAAGTGCAGCCCAACGAAGACGAATTCTGGAACGAATTTCTATGGTCTACACTTGAGCGCTGTGACAAAATAGGAAATCTGTCATGGGAACTCTGGCTAGACGAAGCCCGGCACATTCGCCTGAGGTATGTCCGGAGACCCTAGGTGCCCGAGGCTGACTGACAGTGGCTTCAGATACGAAGAGGCCGTATTCTCGGCAAGAAACAATTACTCCGAGCACCCTATAGACCCACTGAGTGAACTAGAGGTCTTTATTGGGTCCGTCATGAACAAAGGTGTACAGACCCGTCGGCAGCGTGATCAATCTAACAAACTCGCCGATGAATTCGATCGCATCTCTACTTGGATTGTGGGTCAGATGCGCGCAGGGAGCTCGTCCGAGTCACCAATAACCAGTGTGTCGGATCAACTCAAACCTCTGGAGTTTTGTCTCGCCTGCATCCATGTCGGTGGTGAGAGCAACAAGGATCCCGCGCGCCGTCGTAGGGAAGTGTACGGTGAGATTAAAAGCTTCCGGGTGGTTGCAGCGTGTGCTTTGCTGTTTGAGCTTGACCTCATCGAAAAGGGGAGAAAGCGAAAGTTCTAACTGAACACATACTTGTAACTGGCCATGCATATGTTTTCATGCTTAAGTTGTTAATATGTTTGCAAAGACAGGACGACCATCATTGATAAATGTATTCGAGCGGCCACTGAATTTGTATTTATTGGTTCCCTCTGTGCCACATGCATACCATCAACCAGACACGCATGGTTAATCCTCGCAGATACGAGTCAGCCCCATACTGATGTAACACACGGTCTCAAACACATAGAGAAAACCCGAGACGTTAACCTCCTGCATCTGGTAACAACGGCAAGCATGGATATTCTCCTACTGGATAGCCAAGAAAGCCATGTTCCCCTGGAAAGTTTCCATCAGGTCCAACACCCTCCCCTTTTAGGTCCCGTACATCCAATATATGTAGTATAAGCCCAATCCCTTCCTCTCATAACAACCCTTATACTCCACGTCTGATCTATCACATCGCGTTTCCCCTTGCCTCTCGCTCAATCAGACCCCGCAATAACTAATAGCAGATATCAATCTCCAGCCCACACCTCTCACCCGTCCTTATCCCACAGTACGCACCAAATATATCAAATTCCAGCCGTTTCTCGACATATATTACTCTCGTCCATCCTAACTCACATACAACTCTAAATTCCTTATATATTCGTCGATTACTACAAGTATTACGTATTTCCTCCGCCTCAGGCTCACAATGATAAATCTAATCTGATATGATGTGATATGATCTGATCTATATCTGACGTTGACGCGTCACCGGCGCGTCTATCTATTGGCTTGTCAAGCAAAGTGGATTTTCGCGATTGTTTCGACATCTCGGACGTTTGGGGGAGGTGGTTGGGTACCCTTCTTTGTCTTGAGTTTTTGGGGTGTGGAACAGGTTGCGATGTGGTGACGGATGAGTGAATGCTACTGGAGGGGAGATGTGGTGATGAATTATTTGAGAAGGCTGACATCATCTACGAAGGAATGTTTCCATGGTTTGGCAATGAAATGTTCAATTATGAAAGACTGCTTCTGTATGTATATATGCTGCCGTGTCATTATGTCTCGTGACCGATCATTCCATCATTAAGCGTCTAACCAGAAAGAGAAAAGATATTAAGCGCTTAGGGCGACCTGTATATAAATCCCGAACAAATTTCGAAATAACGATGAGGGGAAATAGTGCAAGGATAAGAGGAGAATGGTGACTACTACTTTATATACCCGACTCGTATGGCCCAGCGAGAGCCCGGTACTGATGTCCGTAGGGATTCACCTTGGCATACTCATCCCACGCATCACAAGTGTTCTCCAGCAGGTCTTCGCTGAAGAACGTGTTGAACTCACTCTGTCGCTCGACAATCTGCTGCGCGAATCCTTCTGTTGCATGGAATCCAATGTGGCAGTGGATCAGCCATACACCCGGGTTGTCGGCGGGGAAGCCAATAACCATATAGCCGCCGCCACCATTTTCAGGAGTGGCAGCGGTCATGAGCGCAGTGTCGCGGCGGGGAGGGTTATGCGTTTTGAGCGTGACGTTCTGTGGATTGAATTGGCCGAATCCCTGAGCAAGGAGATAGAAATCATGCCCTGCAGTCGAGGATTAGTTGGATCACATGCCAGGCTCAGCTACGAGTTTACTTACCATGCAAATGAATAGGGTGAGGAACAGGAAGATCTGTCTGGACAACCAACACGGTCCATTTATTCGGGATCGCAGCCTCTATCACGCCCTGGCTTGCTTTCCAGTCCATTTTGTCGGGATCTTCGAACGTTTGCTGTAACGTGGGATCTTTCCACGAGATGTTAAGGGCATTGCCTCCCATTGTCCACAAATACAAAGGAACATCCCCGAACGGAGTGAAGTCCACGTCTGACTCGGCCATCTGGGCACCGCCAATATCTGCATCAAGGGCAAGCCAGGGGACAAGCTCATCTAATGAGAAATCCAGGCACTGAATGTCGTCACCATAATCCCACTTTGTGCTCGTGGGATCGCTGTTATCGGCAGCACCTTCGTAATGGAGGACTCCTTTAATATTGTCTGAATTCGCGTTGTCACTGCAGAATGACTGTGGGATTGCACGAATCCAATAGTTATCCGGAGCTTGGTTTGCTGTCACGATAATATCATACCGTTGTCCCATGCCGATGGGAACGTTGTTCGTCGTGAATGGTACAATAGGAACAAAATCACTGGCAATAACGGTAAGGTCATGATTATCGATTGAGAACCTAAAATGGGTATGCATGGCGGCATTGACCAACCGAAGCCGGTATCTCTGGCCTGGTACAAACTCTGTTTGGAATCTGCGACCAACGGTTTGGTTATCTGCAGTGACCCAGATATTGCTTCCGTTGATAAGGCCTGTCTGAAAATGCGGCGGATTTTGACTCTCGAGTACAGATTGATACATCTCGTCGACTGTTTGATGCGACCAGTCATTGAGAAAGACCATTCCCAAGTCGTGGTCATATTCCGCTGTTGAAGGGCCGTGAATCAAAATGCCTCCGAAAACCCCTTCCCATGCCTGGAGAGAGAAGTGTGAGTGATACCAACTCGACCCATATTCTTCCGCTCGCCAGACATAGGTATAACTGGAATTCGGAGGAACAGGGCACTGAGTCAACGCTGCTACGCCATCCATTTGGTTGTTGTAGAGCTGTCGAATTCCGTGGAAGTGGATGGCCGTGCCATTGTTTTCCATGCGATTCGTAACATGAACTTTAACGGTGTCACCCCAGTTTGCCTCAATAGTAGGTCCTGGAAACTGGCCGTTGACCAGAAGCACTGGTCTCTCAACTCCATCAAGAGCAGCGGTCGTGTTGACGATATCAAACCAGTATTCGCGGACAACATTGGTCTGTGGGATGGTTTCATAGTAGTTCGTGTTTATATCGTATCCCTGCCATGGGGTATTGGGTGACTGCGAAGAATTGCCTTGCATATCTCTCGGTATTGGGGTAGAGTGGGAAAGATGCGGAGTAACGTGTCTGATTGGACTGCAGAGGACCAGTGGGGCTAGAAGCCCAAGGAGTAGCAAAAAGATTGTCATGATGGGCCCGCTAGTGCTCAGTAGCGCAAGACTGAAAGAACCAAGTGAAGGCAACGATCTACGTGGATCGCCAGCTTCTTGCCGTGTCCTTGTCCATGATGGCCCAGCGGTTTATATACACTCTCAAGTCGGGATTGGTAGTATTTTTAAATCATCATCTTTCTTTTTTCTCTTTTTGGTCTGCATCTACAAGAGTCATTTGGCCCTGTTTGGCCGGGATGTTGCCTCCACGAAGACCCAGGGGGCTTGTATCGCCCGGGATTGCCTTGTCCGCAAGAGTTCACCAGATGTCGGATCGACTGCACAGCCTAATGCAGATAATCCTCCAGCTGTACGAGCCCCCACCCAGATGGTTGGAACGGGGCATCAAATGAACGGAGCAATCAAGTAACGATTCGGGATCCACCAGTGTAGCTGCACCATGTGCTTGAGATGACACATGTGAGGAGGCTCGACTGAGCCGCAACATCCGATACAATTTGATTTGCTGGAATTCGTATTGAACACATCATACTGGAAATTGGCTTCCTTCAGGGGATGGCTATGCCTGACTATCAGCCCGATAATTCTCAGGAGCGATCAGGAATCCCGTCCCAGGTCGTCTCAGCTGCCAGTCGCTTTGGACTCCCGACAATCAACTGACTGTCTAGGCCCAGTACTTGAGGCCATCCACCGACTGGAAGTGAGGTTTAATACATCCTACCGAGCCATAACTATACTGACTGGTACTATAGTATCAGTCAGAGCTTTGATCCCGGACAGCTCATCCCAGCAGAAGTGGCGCACATGGCATACTCCATAGCCAATCGATTTAGCTTAGAATTCGTAAAACCTGTCCAATCCCACACTCGAAGCCTACCAACACATGGATTGCCAGAGTTTGGTACCGATCGTGTTATTTTGGGGCTGGCTGACCGCTAGTCGCCAATTCAGATCGTATAGCCTCCGCTCAGGCACACCCACAGGAAGCTCGACGTATCAGATCATTCCCGTCAATCTGGTAGCTCGACGATTCGAGCAATAAAATACCCCAAGTTAATAAAGATAAGGCTGGTGATAATTTTAGTCGGATCGTCCTCGAGATGAGCACTAGCAAATATCAGGCGAAACACTGTTCAAATCTGCGATAGTAGTTCTGGATGTTTTCTCGTTGTTCGACTTAGGCCACCCATCTAAGCCAAGGCTTTGCGAGTTCACTGCCTCGAATGCCTGGGTGAGTCGCTCTTTCAGATGAGGTCAGAGGATGCTCTGCAGCTCGGCCATTTTCACATCATCCGAGCCAAGTAGCGGTGGCAGTCCAACCGCAAGCGGTAAACATTCACCCGACTCTGTGATGCTGCAGCCACCATAAGAGACGTGGGCGGGAAAAAGCAAACACGGCTCGGCCCCTCTCGGGTCTTCTCAACATTCTTACAGATCCCACAAAGAGAGCAGTCTTCAAGGCCATGCGACTGCCTACATCCACATTCAGAATTTATGATCGTGGTCATGCGCGCTCTGGTATGACTCCTCAACAAGCAATATCGACTGTGGAGTAACTCCCCAGGTCTTCCGTCATTGGTCTCAGCTCCACCGATGCCAGCTAACCCACCAGAAAACCGAGGAATATTCGAACTATTTTCTTATCGAAGCTTGACTTCTAGAAGTCATGAGTTGCATCGGTATTCAAGAACTGAGCCATTTAAAATTGGTGTGCAATAATCCATTCAGAAAGCCGAGGGGACCCAGATTGATCTGGCACGCGATCGCAGGTTTTGAGCAAGGCCCACAAAGGTCGCTTAAGCCCCTGGGGGTGTAGCAGGACCATCTGAAGATGAACGCAGGTGAAAGAGTACTTTCCACAGGCAGGCTAGCATGTCAGATTTCCGAACGCTGTGGCTTGGACTTAGCTCTCGTGCAGTGTTCTAATTATGACAATAATCTCATCTAGTCAGACATACCCACCGGCCCATAAGCCGAGTGAACTTGTTCCGATATCTTGGCTGTGAGTTTCAAACCAGCCTGCCTGACGCTGTTCATCGCACTACCACGTGCTTTCCTCAGCCTTTCAAGGGCTGTCCGACATCATCGCATGTGCCTTGATAATGGCTCACTATCAAACCGGCCCATGCTAGGCTTATCCTCATGGTATCCCAGTCAGCCCTGCTACTTAGAATGCACCTCTGCCGGGATATCCGTATTGTAACCATGTGCCATTGACCGTGGAGCATCTGCGCCCAGAAGAAAATGGCCACATGCGCGGGGCACACAGTGAGAGGTTAAGCGAGGTGTCTGGGGATACCTTGATTGCGAGGACACGAGGTACCTGTTATCAGGGGTGATCCTGAACGCCCGCTCAAGCAAGGAGTCACAGGCAAGTTCCTCCAGCTCCCAGGGGTTGATTCCATCCTCAGATGCGATCTGAAATTACTTTCCAAAAAGTGACACAAGTATTCTCCGGTTCTTTTCTACCGTGCCGTTGGGTTCTGTATTTCGCGATGACGATGCCAGCTCAACCGGTCGAGGAAATCGTGTTTGATTGGTAGGTACTGTGGCAGGTAGTCTTGATACTGCAGAATAGGAGACATCACGAGGACGCAAGTACTGAAAGCCGAGAAAAGCAAAGCGAGTGAGGTGATGTCTTGCAAGAACGAAGGCAGAAGCAGATGACTTGGTTGAAGTCTTCCAAGAATGTTGCAGTTGGCCGACATCTACAAACGGAAGCCGCGATACCGGCCTCCGCCGATTATCCACTTCTCCTCCTGTTCACAGTTTTGCGGACCTCATTGACCGCTGGCTAATCACTTTCTCCGCGAAAACAGCCTCTGTGTTCTGTTTTCAATGCCCGCATGGAGCCCACCGACTCCGCGCCCGGTGTTCCAATGACTCTTGATGCCCACAAATGGCATAAGCCTGTCTTTCGTCACGTCCTCTTCCTACTGTGGAGAACGGTTTATGATCACTCTCGGCAGCCTGGGTTCAGAAGTAACCTAAAGAGTATGGATATCGTGCAGCGAGCCATTCAGAAGGAGTATACCCCACTTCCTCAGATTGGAATGGAATTACTCGTGATGGCTGCAATCTATATGGCAGCAGAACAACCGCCTGAATTACCCTGTTCGAGCAAAGTATGATACAAATCCTTTGGTCTCGGTTTCAATCGGCGACTGAACTCCCTTCTTTGATGAGACATGTACTGCTGACGGTATTCCAATGATTAGCACTATCCTCCTAGTCGAGCTCAGGTGCACGGCAACACAATAGTGAAAATTATTTGTGGTACTTGGTCTCCATGGCATTACTACCCAGCTGTAAGCATTCGTCCGGGCTCACGAGTCGGAGGATTCTCCTGTCACAATGTTATTATATTCGTGCAGTGAAGCTCATACCTCAAAATCTGCTTGGGAAGGAACAGCCATACTTCGTACTACAAATGTAAGGAAAGAGACCCAGTACCTATCGGCTCCAGTCTACTTGAGAACAGAACATGGCGAGTCAGTCTGTGACTCGTGTATACAATCAAGGTCGTAAAAGATGGGATCGGGCAAAGCTCTAAGTTCAGTCATCACGAGCGGCTCGGAAAGGCTCCCGTGTCCTACGGTCGGCATAGTGGTTCATCGGAGAATACATCTCACATGTAACCAATAGTTTCAGTTCCTGCTGTGCTACCTGCACTATACTGGTATGCGCCAGGCCTGCAAGCCTACGGAGATTAGTATTCGGAACTAAGTACGATCGGAGTTTGTCAACCTGCTATCTGTCGGCTGCAGGTACTTCGGGCTGACGCCATCGCACGCCTATAAGGCGCAATGGCGTCCACGTTGATATACAAGCTGGACAACCGTTGAATATAGATGACTTAATTCAACATATGTCAGCCCTGTTTATTCAAATCTACGAATATCCCGATCGCGGATCTGTGATGAACATTGTGAGCGCACATGGACAATCACCATGATCGGGAAACTTCACCTCCGTGTTCTCAATGTCGGTCGCGCAAAGTAAGCATCCGTTCAATGTTTGCTTTTTACCTCGCGGCAGTTCTCAGTGGTTAAGTCATTTTAGGTTCGCTGCGATCGTAAAAAGTACACTTGTGGGAACTGCAAGAGGCTAAAGCATGCATGCTCCTATGAGAGAGATAACCCATCCCCTGGACGCCCGATGGATGACGGTGGCCATCCCGGGAGACGTCGTGGAACTCGGGCGTGCATCAATTGTCGTCTTCAAAAAGCCCGATGTTCAGGTGAGACGCCACAATGCAATAACTGCCAGCGACGCCATTTGGAATGCCACTATCCAGCCTTGAGAAGAGCCCGCCAATTTTATCAAGGTCGAGATGGAAAGTTGGCAGTCACGTCTCCCAATTGCTTGGTTTCCCTTACTGAGCTTCAGCAAGGGCTGTATGGCAGTCCTTATGATCGTGTTATAGTTGATCGGGCCGCTGATTTCTATCAGAGTTTACCCTGTAAAGGATAGCGCGGAGTTAGATGGGGTCCTTGATGACTATTTCTTGCACTTGTATCCCTTGCCCTCCTACAGCTTCCTTCACGAACCCTCTATTCGGCGAATGTGTGCTGGTCGGACGCTCGAGCCAAGCCTCGTGTTATCTATGTGCGCCTTGGTCAAACTCAGATGTAGGCCAACTGGATCTCAGCCCTCCGAAAGCGTATTATTGATCGAACTTTCGGAAAAGAGAATCTGGGATATGATCGAGGCGCCTTCTATATTCAGATTACAGGCGCTCTTCTTGATAATCCAGTATCATGCTGAAGTTGGCAGGTTTGAAAGAGCTTTCATGATGGCTTCCATTGCCAGCCGTCATGTTACTGCTCTCCAGCTGAACCATGAGAGTCCACACCTCAGCTTTGTCACCCAGGAGATTCGACGAAGAGCTGCCTGGACGATGGCACTGCTTGATGGGTACTTTTCTGTAGGCCTGCCTGGCTACAGTACGATAAATTATGAAGAGATTTATCAGCAATACCCATGTCGTGAAGATGAATTTGGCTCAAGGGATTCTGACACCATAGAGGGCCCTTCCACCGCTCGGGGTGAAGATAAAGCTCACTCCAGCATGCTGGAGCTGATACTGCGTATCTCCAGGGTGCGCAGAGATATCATGCGCTTCACCAGGCAGTTGGCCCTGCTGGAGCAGCCTCTCGAAGAGTTCCAGGGTATTGTGCAAGGATTTCAAATGAATCTCGCTCAACTCCAGGAGAAAATAGCGTCCGTGGTGGGTTCTTCAGCCACTGGGTCCATGATCCGGCCAAATTTCCGGTGGGTTGTGAGAGCCTTAGAAATCCAAATAGCTTGGCGTCAGGCACACTGTGACTTGTTTCGCCTCTTCCTCCTCGGACATCCCAATGCGGCCCCTGATGTGGTATTGCGTCCCTTGGGATCAAGTACCTATGCCAGTCAAGCCCAGGCAATATGTCAAGAACACAGTGGCTGGATCGTAGAAACCATATCGCAAGTTCGAAATAGCGATCTCCAAGTGCTCTTCTCATTCGATATTGCGAGATGTGCTTATCAGGCTGCACGCCTCAATCTCTTTCTCGCTCATATGCCAAATGCGCGGTCGCAGCTAACATCAGACTCTGCCGTTTCTAATGCTGCAGCATGTCTAGCTTTTATCAAGGAGAAATTCGCATCGTCTGCTCATGCTCAACGAATGATCTCAGACCTTAGTCTGTTGATAGGAGCCTACGAGACGCGCGATGGCCATTTTGGAGCGGCGATGGCGCTTGATTCGTTGCGGTTTTCTGGGGATGCACTCGAAAAGCACAAACAACTATCGGCACACAGCCTCATTCATCAGGCCAACTTCGTGGATGACAGCTATCTCTATGAATTGTGAAGATCTTCTATCTGAGCGCGTGAATGTGATGCTCCAGGTGAGGCGCGCTCAGACAAAACACTTCCACGTGCCAGTCTCGGAGGACCTCCGCTGCGGGGGTCTATTGCGGGGTTCCCTACAGCGCAGCGAGTACTTCACTCATACAAGCCTCACCATGTCGCACGAGCACACTCTCAACGACTTTTCGCTACAACACAGTCACCATGGTCCTTTCTAAGCCTGAGAACAAGCACGTCCTCAAGTCCTTCAACCTCACTGGCAAGGTTGCTGCCATTACTGGTACCTTCCCTTGCATAGATATGTTAGCAGCTTCTAAATGATCGCAGGCGGCGCCCGAGGTATCGGACTAGAGGTCTCGAGGGCTCTCGCAGAAGCTGGTGCCAACGTAAAGATGAAGCGCTCTACCAAGCATTCTTATGCTGACTATCGCAGGTGGCCCTGATTTACAACTCGTCTAAAGCTGCAGAAGCCCTTGCCGAAGAGATCGGCGCCCAGAATAATGTCAAGTCAGCTGCCTATAAAGCTGATGTCGGAAATCAGGAGGATATTGAGAGGGTAATCCAGCAGATTGCTTCAGACTTTGGCAAGCTTGATATTATCGTCGTGAACTCGGGGGTCACTTCCAATATCGCGGCAGAAGACTACACCACCGAACAATGGCGTGACATCATGAAGGTCAATCTAGATGGCGCATTTTATAGCGCGCAGGCGGCTTCTCGGATCTTCAAGCAACAAGGACATGGAAATGTAATCTTCACAGCCTCTGTCAGTGCAACATTGGTGAATGTGCCTCAGAAGCAAGCTGCAGTGGGTTGCGTCATATTCCGGTCCTAAAGTATCTACTAATCAGCATGGTCCAGTACAATGCCTCCAAAGCTGGGGTCGTGCAGATGGCAAAATGTCTGTCTGTTGAATGGGTTGATTTCTGCCGGGTCAACTGTATTTCCCCAGGGTTCATTGCCACAGAAATTCTGGATATCCACCCTCTGGAATGGCGCGAGAAGTGGAACGATATGGTCCCGGCTAAGCGAATGGCTGATGCTTATGAGCTCAAAGGAGTAAGTCATCTTCTGCCTTGTGACTCTTCGCTGCCTCCTTTCTCATTCGAGACGGGACAAAACTTACTAATGTTTCAGGCCTATGTATTTTGCGCTTCCGATGCCTCGAGCTATATGACTGGGGCCAACCTCGTGATCGATGGCGGCTACACGCTGCCTTAGACATGACTCTTGCAGCCTAGCGTCCACGCTATGTTGGACTTTTTTGACGGCAGATGAAGGCGACAGGGTGTACATATGTAAGATGCGGTAGAGATGTAGGCACACTCAAGAACCGATTTCACAGATGGATGATCGGGCCACGCGAACACAAGGTCTATTGTAAGCGAGACGCATCATTAAGCCCGCAAGGTTTCTTCTCCAATACCCGACCTGTTAGTTTAGGCACAAGTTAAGGACTTTTGTATCAGACGTCCACCCAGGGGAAGACACATTCAATAATTGAGGGGGGAGAGTATGTGATTTTCCGCATGTTGCTCTGGAGACAGTCCTGATCGTGTGCAGATCGAGTATTATCCCTCATAGTATGGTGGTCTTCGCCATCATTGGCACTAGTGTGTTTTTGGTATTTAATGCCTCAGGTGTCAATAGGTGTCCGGTGACTATGAGATGGACTGAGACTTTTGCAGTTCCCCAACTCTCCATGCACCCATCACAATCACTTTCTATCTGCGACAGAAGATAATGCAAGGGCTATATCATCCAGATAAAGCTAATGCAAATACCTCCTCGATGCGATGATCAACTTTAGGCACCATCATATCCTCACCCGAAGTCCCAATGAGCATGGGCCGCTGGTTGCTTCACCCAAGGATGACGGCGCTAAGCTCTGACTACGTGGCTGTCACCCCACCTATGAACTGTGGCTGCTTGAAGTTAAATCCCAGCCCGACATGTTCCCCCACGATGATAAAACGAGCAGCGTCGAATGGGGCCAGGAAAATACGGTGAGTGCGCACTAGCCTTCCGCTCCAATGTGCCCAAAGAAGCGAGGCGTTGATATGATTTGCTGCTGCTTAGAATCCGCATTGACAATGTCGATCAATACGTCGGGCCGGAATTAATTCAAGAACAGTCATCACTGGCTGCACTGATACCAGCCCCGATAATGCTTTGAGCCCGATCAGCCGTTGACGGGTGTGCGTCATTGCCTCTGAGGCGGAGATTCCCATAAGCAGTGTTCGGTGTCAGCGTCGATGGCATATAAATAGTATCGGAGTCCGTGGCTCATGGTGGCTGAACCATGTTGGCTTCTGAGCTCATCTAGAAGTTCAGCATTACCGTTTGCACCATGGTGAGAAACATTAGTATCCTCAGCCTCGATGGCGGGGGTGTCCGCGGATTATCCTCCCTTTACATTCTGAAGCACATTATGGAATCTATCGATCCTGAAAACACACCAAAGCCATGCGAATACTTTGATTTGATAGGAGGATCAGGATCAGGCGGGTAGGCATTCTGACGGCGCACAAATCGTTCCGACCGGGTTTATTTTCTAACTGCTTGAAAATAAAAGATTAATAGCCATTATGCTTGGCCGCTTGGAGATGGACATTGATCAGTGCATCAACGCATACAAAAGGCTGTCAAACCACGTATTTGCTCGAAAGCGACTTCTGCCAGTAGGAGGCAACTTGCGCCGACAATCGAAGTATGACGGTCGCAGGATTGAAACTGCCATGAAGGCGATTCTTCATGAGCTTGGCTACGAAGATGACATACTTCTAAGAGAACCGGCATCTTCCTGCAAAGTGTGAGTCTCTCGCAATGATTTAGAAACTGCGTTCTAATCGACATAGCTACGTTTGCGTGACCGATGACGGTTCAAAACGTAACCTAGCACCCTTGACAAGCTACCCGAGCAAATACTGCTCCAACGAGCTTTACAAGACCGCCAAAGTATGGCAGGCTGGTAGAGCCTGCTTCTCCACAGAGCAGCTCTTCGATCCCGTTCCTATTGGACCAAGCGGACGGCGATTTTACAATAGCAGCACAGACGCTAACAATCGCGTGCGAGAAGTCTGGATAGAAGCGAGAGGGATATGGCCATCCGGCTCATTGGATAACCAGATACGCTGCATGGTATCAATTGGCACGGGTGTGCCGTCGATCAAACGATCCGGCAAAGCGATGTTCGGCTTACTGAAGACCTCGCGCACTGATTCCATTGATACCGAGATGGACATGAACAAGTTCCTCCGAGAGCATACCGAACTAGACGACGAGAATCGTCTATTCCGATTTCGATGTCCCCAATGGCTTAGCGGATATTTCACTCGATGGGATTGATGAGATCGACACGATCGTGGATGCTACCGAGGAATATCTCGCCAAGGAGCCGGTCTACAAGCAGATTCAGAAATGTGGGAGAGCTCTCAGTGCAGGGCCGTAGGGCATGTTGTGGTGTTCTTTTTGTATAGAATTGGGTGGCAGACTGCAGGAGTTGGATGCAAACGTCAATTATGTCTAGACTTATTAATACTATCGATACCATTATCGCGATTCGCTTCGATTCATCGCATGCTATGACTGAATGAACAACAATCAATCTCTTCCTCATTGGAAACCAAGACAAGAATAACCTTCCCGAACCTTATTCTCAACCAGACACACAACTGATCCTCTTTATCTCTCTCCAACCACTCCACCTCGGAAATTGAGCGATGACGAAGTATCTGTTCCCGGAAACATGACGTCAACAGAGCTCCCATCAACTACAAAGCCAGAGCATCTCACCTCTAGCCAGTACTCCTCTACCATCCTCACAATCTACACAATTCACCACATCACAGAAGGGAGTAAAATACCGCCAAAATGGTCAAAGACAAGGAAACCGTCATCGAGTATATCCCCCTCTCCATTTCCAGAATCCATTCCACCCAAAAACATTAATACTAAAAACCGGACAGCGAATTCAACTCCCTCGTCAACATGACCCCCAACGAACTCCGCGACTGGCTCAAGGGCACGCAATCGCAGTCCTCCGGCTGGACGAACGAGTCCTCCTCGTCAGGAGAGACAATCGGACATGAAAGGCATACCTCCACCTCCAACCTTTCTCCACTACTACCCTGATCCGAAACCTTCCATCTTCTTCATTATTTGAGCTAACGGTATGTCTACGATTATATGGTGTTGCAGCGGCCGCAAAATCGTCTCTATCCTCGAACATAACCCGTCCAAAGACCCATCGGGGTACTCGGACGAAGACGTCGTTCATATGCGCAAGGTAGTGTCGTACTGTAAACGGCATTTGGCGCAGGAGGAAACGGCGAAGCAGAATACGGATAGTAAGAGTTATAAGTCGTTGAAGAATTGGGGACATGATCCGTTGAAGGGATAATCATATATTTCTCTTCTGGATGGGGATGGTCGTTGAAGACGGTGTTGTGTGAGTGTATTAGTATGAGCAGGATCGATTATGTTGATTGTTAGGAAGGGATGTGCGATATTGAATAAATGTACTTGAGAGCTCTGTCGGATTAAGATGATGACTTTTAGTAGTAGTCCACATGATAGGGGTACTATTTGGTAGTAAATATGTTCATTGCCTATTATGAGTCTCTATTGGCAGACTTGTAAATCAAATTGTCAAGCATCATTACCCTCATACACACTACAATAACAATGAACACCACAACACCTACACAGTTAATCAACAATCCAAATCATCAATAAACTGTCATCTGCTACACTATATATCTACCTAAAATCCACTATCTACTGAGCTCGACTTAGCTTCACCCACCCCAGAAAGGGGACAGGCTACTAGACTCCAGCACCACGATGAGGTGCGAGCTCGTTGCTGGAGGACCTGGCCCGCACAACCAGGCGCTCAACCATTTATGTTGGAAACATACATGGCTGAGACTTTTCGGCGCTATACAGCGCTGGCTCAAACTTGTACTTAACCAGGCCAGCTGGTCAAGTGTGCGGCTTTTTGTATTCCCCATCATCTCGAATGAGAGAGGGTACTAGCTTACACCGGGTGGAGGCATAGTGGGTTCGACGTATCAAACCGCGACTACACCTGGACGGCATTGTGCACCGTCACGCACCCCCGGTGACTCCCTTAAGCCCGTAGGGGGGCAGGAGCAAGGTTTTGTTTTGTATACCGAGGTGTGGCATGGCAAGTTGTTTCAAGAACGTCTCGCAGCGCCAGACCAGCTGCGTGGGCAGCCCCCGGTGGCAAGGTGGGTAGGTGGGTAGGTGGGTAGGTAGGGAGGGAAGGAGAGGAAGTAGGTAGAGGCAGAGGAAGATAGAGGCAGGTCAGGTAGGCCCAGGTAGGCCCAGGCAGGCTCAGGCAGGCTCAGGCAGGCCAAACAGGTGAGATAGGTGAGGCAGGTATTGCTCACAAGTCCCCAGGGCTTGGCCTGGGTCGACTGAGGACGGGAGGACTTACCCGATATATTAGTTATTGTATATCGAGGTTGGTGAAGCAGGTTAGATAGGCAAGGTGACGTGAGGTAGGGCAGGTTAGGCA